AATTAGTTAGCCTTTTCTTTTCCTTAAGATAAAAATAGTAAAAATAACTACCTTATTATAGAGGCTTTTACCTTTAAAAAATATAAAAGGAGAGGTATAATTATAGGGCTAGAATAGAAAGGAAGGCTCTATAAGCTAAAGTCTATATTTATAACTTAGTAAACCTATATTAAACTCTCTCTATACTAATTCTATAATCCCCTATCTCTATTTAGTATACCTAATATATCCCCTTATATAATTATCTTATATTAGGTATATATAAGTACTAGGTATTTAGAAAAATTATAGGCTATAGTACGTAAACCTTAGTTAATCTAGATTCTAAACCTATATTATCCCCTAGCTAAACTAATATAGTCCCCTATTTAAACCTTAAATATTAACTAAAATATAAATTAATAGAAAACTTTATAATTTATAATATAAAAATAAACTTATTATAATTATTTAAATCTAAATAGAAAATAAAAGCTATTTAAAAGTTAAAAATATAAAGTTTTATATTTTAAATATATATAACTTTATATTTTAACTTTTAATAGTATTCTAATAAAAGTTTAATAATATAAATATAATAAATATAAAACTCTCTAATATATATTTTATTATATTAAGTAAAGAAAATAATTAGATATCTAAGAGGAAACCCTTTTAAAAAGATATTAAATATATCTTATAAGATTAAAATATTATTATATTAATAAATATTAGTATTATACTAAAATACCCTAGTAGCTATAGCTAGTATAATTATAGCTAATTATAGCTAGCTAATAGTATTCTACTATAGCTAATAGATATTAGCTAAAGATTATCTAATAGTTTATATAATTACTACTTAAGATCTAAAAGGATAAAAGATAGGTTATCTTATAGATAGGTAGCTAGGAAAGTAGAACTAACTTATATATTTATTTATTACTAATACTTAACTTCTACTTTAAATAGTAATATAATATTCTATAAGAATATAACTACTACCTAATAAAACTAATAATCATTTTAAAAGGTAGATAATACTATTTTACTAGTTAACTTACTTATTGATAGCTTAGCTAGCTATAAGTAAATAGTAAAATATTTATTATAATAATTAACTATAATTAATATACTTTTATTATAATAAAAAACTAATATTTTAATAAATAATTACTATTATTATTATAATAAAATATTATATTATCTATTTATTATTATAACTAAAGGTTATATTAAGTAGCTTACTAATAACTAATCTATTAAAGCTATTAGAGAGATAGTAATATCTCTAAAGAGACCTAGTAATCTTTTTATTATTATAAAAGTTACTAATCTTTAAAGGTTATTAGATATTACTTTCTTATAGGATATTATAGTTATAATAGAAGCTATATTATCTAATATAAGGTAGTAAAAAGGTTAGTTTCTTCTCTATAGCTAATAAGGGATTCTTTTCCTTTTATATCTAATATACCTTTATTTATAATTTATAGTCCCTTTATTCCTTACCTTTAGTTCTTACCTATAATAACTATCTTAGAAGATAGCTTACTATTAAAAGTAGCTCTTACTTACTTATTAGTATTTACTAACTAACCTAGGATTATAAGCTAATATTAAGGTTATAGTTCCTAATAGGTTAGAATTATTAGCTAGTATTTTAATATAGTGTTATAAAGTACCTTTAACTAGGGCCTCACTATATAATATACTACTTTTAATAACTAATATACTTTTTATATAATTAGCCCTATAGGGTAAAGTTATAGTATATTAATATTTAGGCCTACTCAAAATATAGTAGTAATTAAACCTAGTAAAAGGTACTTATCATACTATACTAAAACACCCTTTAGTATTAACTCTAGTCTTTATATAAGCTTCTAATACTATATCTATACTAAAATACCTCTAGTATTAGATAAAAATCTATATTCTATATACCTTTAAATTTAAAGTATATTTAATTAATATTAAAAACATTTTAATATAATATTAGAAGGTATTTTAATATAATATTACTAGAAGGTATTTTTAATATCTTAGTATAGTACTAGAGTGTTTTTTAATATTAATTTAATATTCTATTAGGACCTATTCTATTAGTAGTAGAGGGTGTTTTAGTATAGAACTATAGGGTACTTTCACTAGGCTTACTATTAGGCTTAGTAGTTAATATACTATAACTTTACCCTATAGGCCTGATTATATAAAAGTATACTAGCTATTAAAAGTAGTATATTATCTAGTAAGGCCCTTTTAACTAAGCTTAAATATTAAGATATTATAACTTTACTATATAGGGCTAATTATATTAAAAGTATACTAACTATTAGTAGATATAGAGTGAAAGAAAAAGGATTTTATATTTAAGAGGGTTATTAACTTACTATTAAGAAAAAAGGACTATATACTATAGTAAATATAGTAAAATAGGGTAATAATAATAATAATAATAATAATATACTAGCTATAAAAAGTAATATATTATATAGTAGACCTTTATTTTAGGGTAGGGCTAATCCTACTAGGTAATTCTAGCTATTCCTACTAGGTTAGCCTAGACTTTTAGAAAAATACTTACCTTTAGATTTCTTTAGCTTTTAATTAAGAGTTTAATATATTAAGATAAAGTATAGGTAAAATTACTAGTATTTCTATCCTTCTATTAAGGATATATTACTTAATTATCTTATAATCTAATATCACTATCAAGCTACTATATAATATAATTAAAGGTTACCTAGTAGTCTAGGATATCTAGGAGTATGATTATAGCCTATATATCTAGCTAATTACTAGTATTAATAGCCTTCTAGATTAAAAATATCTTTATTAAGAATATAAATAAGTTAATTTAGAGGTTTATAATATCTTATTAGAGTAGTTCTTCTTAATAGGCTTCCTAAAAGATATTATAGAAGAATAGATTATATATTTATTAGCTTAAGTTTAATAACTACCTCTTAATTACTATTCTTATTATTTATTCTAGATCTATTTTACTTTTAGTTTATAAGTAATATTCTTATTAATATATTAAAGATAGATCTACTAGTTAATATTAAACTAGACCTAATTAATTATATTCTTAAATATCTTCTTAAAGTCTATAATAATAGTTTAAAGTTTAGATACTCTAATCTATTTATAAATTTTATTAATCTATTATATTATTTAGAGATAGGTATTTTAATCTTTTATATTTATAATTATAAAGATTATATTAAATATAATATTAATATTAGTTATATTTATAATATTTAAGAATAGTATATAATATTAGTTAGTCTTATAGATATTATTAAATTTAAAGATTTTTAAAAAACTACTTTTATATTATTTTATATTAAAGTAAAGTCTAGATAATATTAATAACCTATTAGTTAGCTTAAAATATAAAATATTTAATATTTATATTAATAAGAAGTTTTATAAGTATTTAATTAGTTATAGATTATTAGAAGAGACTAGCCTATTCTTTTATAGATTTATTTTAGATATCTTTTTAATATTAGATATAATCTAAATATTTTATTTAGAGATATAATATTATAATATAGCTATTAAAAGTAGAATATAAAGTCTAATAAACTTCTTTAGTTAATAAGTCTACTTATAATATAATAGATATATAAAAAGGTCTAAAGAGGTTTATAGTTATAGATATCTATTATTATAATAAAAACTAATAGTTATTATATTATAAAAATTAGATAGCTTTTACTTTTATAGATATTTAAGCTTATATAAGCTTAGCTATATAAGGATATATAGGGTATACTTAAGTAGGGATAGGGGTTTATAGAGTAGGTATAGAAAGAGTTTAGTATAGGTTTGCTAAATCATAAGTATAGACTTTAGCTTATAGAGCCTTCCTTCTTATTCTAGCTCTATAATTATACTTCTCTTTATATTAAGTTTCTACTCTTCTAGATAAGATCTATCCTGATCCTAGATCACTAGCTTATCTAGGAGATATCTATCTAGATCTTAGACTACTAACTTATTTTAGAACCTCTCTAGTCCTTTAATAGAGCTAGGTTTAAGTCTAAGATATCAGTCTTAGACTAGCTTCCTTAGTTACTAGCGACTTAGGTAATCTTTATGATATTAGGTGTGCTTAGAGTGGGTTTAGGGTATGGTTAGGGCTTGCTATAGGCTGGCTCTACCCTGGGTCTGAACTATTCCTTTATAAGCTATTAGATCTTAGTTAAAATAGATAGTAAGATTAGGCCTCTTCTATTATAAATTAAGTTAAACTAATATAATATATTATCTTTATTATAATTAGATATATACTTCTTAATAATTATATATCTTTTAATCTTTACCTAAGTATTAATAAAGGTAAGGAGTATATTAGTAGTTATAAATCTATTAACTAGAAGATTATAAGGTACTTTAAATAGTATTTATAAAATTTTTTTAAGGATAATATTAAGGAAGGCTAGCTAGATTATCTAATCTTAGAAGAAATCTTAAAAGCTGAAAAAATCCTAAGGTAAGTATGTTTCCTAAAAATCTAAGCTAACCTAGTAGGAATAGCTAGAATTACTAAGTAGGATTAGCCTTACCTTTATTTTAATATTATTTAATAAAATACTAGTTAACTATACTTTATATCCTTATTTAATATCAAAGATAGATATACTAGTATAATGCTAAGTAGGTCTACTTATATAAACTATATGTTAGGAGCCTAGAAGTATGTTTTGGAGCTGGGCCCTTTATATTTAGGTGAACTTTCTTTATAGACAACTAATAATACTAGATATGAGAACATGGATTTCCAAAAACAAAAAGGTGTGGAAATGGCCACTACGTTGCATGGGCAGTTATATGCCTTCTCTAAGTGCAGCACTGTCAGATGATCGCCTTCTCCAAGTTGATTAATCTGCCAAGTTGGGTCGATTTAGGATTTTATACATCAGCTGCCTCAGCTCTTCTTATCATCGTGAGTCGAAGCGTCAACAACATTCAAATGGGTGACTATATGACTAGGATAAAAAACTATTTTATGAAGACGCCTGACGATCCTCCGCCATACCTTTCCAGTAATCACGTTCTTGTTCCAACTTAGCAATACGCTCCTCCAGCTCCTCCAGACGCTGCGCTTTGCGCTCCCGAGACTTCCGTGCGGCCAACGTATTCCGCGCTCGCTTCATCGCTATAACATCTGATGGATCATCCACAACTATCGGCGGTAGCGGCTTCTCCCGCCTTCGCGCATTCACGCCCGCAATTAGAGAGTGCCGCCCGGTTGGAGAAGCTCCACTCTTCTGCTTTTTGAGATTGACCTCTTGTGTGACACTCTCATTTTCCGGAGTCGTCACCGAAGTAGGCTCGCTTGAAAATGTCGTGTCAAGAGAGGGCTCCGGCGGGAACAAAGGAAACCATGGGTCACTTGGGCCTCCCTCGAACTCACAACCGCCAAAACCAGGCGACATATTGAATGGATCGTTCGTCGGGCGATCCGTCATACATTGACGGAGAGGTCAGCGCGGTCAGCGCAGATGAATTAGGCGCCGACATGTACGGCTCATGAACAAGAAGATCATGCGGCGATACGGTCCCAACGTTCGTCACAGAACTGGAGGCACTGCCGGTCGGCTCATACCGACTAGACATTCCTGGTGAAGAGAATGCCGTGGCTGGCACAACAGGAACGCCGTCGAGGATAGAAAAATCGTCCAAATCAAGGCCTGTAGTATGTTAGTCTCCGTCATCTACCACCGTTCGCATACGACTACTTACAAGAGATCTCCATAGCGGCTGGCTCGAGAATCATGCACTCAGATCGGGGTTGTGGGAAAAGGGGCACAGGTGGCCGGGCAGACGAGCTAGAAGCAGCTCCAGCGGTCAGGTTATTGCGTTGCCGTCGAACGAGACGATTACAATTCCGGTTATCAATGCCTTTCTTTGCTGGGAAATGCCACGACCGGTGTATTTCAATTTGGTGGAGTTAAACAGATGACCCTGATCTCGAGATCGCGGTTGGTCGTACAGAACAAAGTCCTGTTGCGGGTGTTGAAGAGGCGGATGCAGCGCAGATGGGACTGGCGGGTTGGGTAAACTTGAGGAACGCCATGTTGGGCGAGATTCTGAGGAGAAAACGGTCAAGTCTTGCGACGTAATGGTTGCGGTTAAATTGAATAGCGAGCGATGCTCAAGGATAACAGTTCAAGCCAGGGTAACCTGCAAAATAATGGTTGATATTGGCGCGAGTGCAATTAAATGCTTTGGGAGCTGACGGGCTACGTTGGTTACTGCATGATTTCAGATGTTTCGAAGGATGTGTGAGGAGCTTGCAAAGTTAGGTGTGAGAAGGGGAAAAAATTTTCTCCTGAGGCGGCGGGGGCTGGCCGTTTTGTAGGACTCTCAGGAAAAACCTGGCGCCTAACTTCTTTAGGCGATCATTTACGAGACTGGTACCTATACGACGCAATCGTTACTCCTAAGATAAAATATTTGCGATACGTTGGCATTGGCCTTTATCATTATCCCGTTGGGGCGAAGTTCAGGTACATGTGGCTGAGCTGGATAATATGAGTCACACTTGCCAAGTTGAGACGACCGGACTTACTTAAGTTACCACCACAACTTGTTTGGCTGCCTCAGCCGAATATCAAGGCTTGGATGGGTGTCTCACGAAACGCACCGTAGCCTTGTTTTTCAGCCTCTGCCAGCGGAAGCGGAAGTGGGACAAGTTTAGTTCTCCCAACATGCCGTTTGCACAAATTTCTCTTGATCTAGGCGGCCACTAATCACTAGATGGGCTTCGGCAAGTGCCGTGAAGCAATTGCATCCCACAAATATGAGCTAATCATTCTGCAATCTAGTTGTCCGAACTTCGTTTTCTACAATGTCTTTTTCCATCACGGAAGTCGCGCATTAGTGCAAGGAAGGTAGATTCTTTCCATTTCGTACCATCCTCGTGGTCAACCGTATCGAGGATTCTTTTCGCAGCCTGGGAAACTGATGATTCACTGTTTATGCAGTGCTGCGAAGATTCCCCACCCGGCTGGCTGAGCGAGGAGGTTGGCTCATGTTCGTGCACGTCAATCGAAGCCTGTTCAGCATGACCTGGCTGGCTTGAACCCCCGCAAGTCTGGGCCTCGACTGTGACATCTCCTAACTCACGTGATAGCTCCTGTAATGCCGCATCAACATCGTCGAATACTCTTTTCTGAGGTATATGCGTGTTCATCCAGTCATGAATCTCCTGCCCCGGTGGATATTGCGCTATCATTGTTGGGGGCTTGAAGAGCCCAATCGCAGGGTATGGCGAGACTGTATTAGGCTCGGTAGCCCTGCTGGTCTGCTGTGCGTGAGAGTAAGCGACCATGGTAGTATTCGGACTTGCTGGTTCATGACTTGTGAAGCGGCTTCTTTGTAACCCAGTCGTGGTAAACCTCGTGTATTCATCCGTCCAGGCATCGTGTCTAGGAGCCTGATTATCCACAACAGGCGAGAAATTCTGAAGCGGACGGGACTTCATATGAGGTAAAACGCCCGAGTTGAGCGCTGGGATCGGATGGTCTTCGCCAACAAACTCGAGAAACCCCCGTTGCCCTTGGGTATGGTTTGAGGTTGGCCGAAATGCCTGTGAGCCACATTAGTGGGGTTAGCCATGTTTGATGGGACTTCCAGCAACACCCCCAGGAAACCTTCGCAGCCTTAGGCTTACAGTATAGGAAGGAGCTGATAAGGCCGCCAGCCGATCATGTTGAGTGGGGGTTTCCTGTTGTTTGAGAAGACCCTTCAAAGGGTTGGAACCCGAACAAGAGTCACCGGACATGGTGTGGACAGAGTTGAATGAGGGAGAGTGATTTCGAGAAAGATATATAGTGCATATACGAAGGACAGTTTAAACAGCTGAAAGTGTATGAAGGCTTAGTGTTGGGACCTCAGTGAAAGATATAAATTATGCGGATGCGAAAAGAAGAGATAAACGATAGTTATGAGTGGCAATTGTGGATGATAAATCTTTAAACAAAGCATCCTCTATTTTAGGGTGGATAGTTCCATCTTATGAGCAATAGATCAACAAATGTGATAGATCCATTGGTGGCTAGATCACTTGGTTTCGCACCGATGAGCCGAGGTCCTGTCACCATCTTATTAGAATATCCAGGCCGACTAGGGGCCACAACACTAATGGATGGAATGGATCCATCCATTTCGATCAGGTAATCTATATCAATCGATTTTAATGGGCCCGACTGGGGGACTATATAGAGAATTTTTAGTATATTAGTCAGCGACATTATAGTTAGAAGCTCCTTCCTTCTCAACTCTCCCACTAATATCACCACCCTTCTTATACCTATTTCTACTAAATAAAAAAGTGCGTATAGGACGATCATAGGCGGCATATCATAGGTAACTATAGGTAATATATAGTAGCTGATTTCTTATATTATCTATAACCTTAGGAATAATTTCATTTTTAAATATATTTTCCTTTAAATTAATTAATATATATATATATATTATATTTTTCAGTAGAATAAAAATAAATAAAATAAATAAAATAAATAAAATAAATAAAATAAATAAAATAAATAAAATAAATAAAATAAATAAAATAAATAAAATAAATAAAATAAATAAAATAAATAAAATAAATAAAATAAATAAAATAAATAAAATAAATAAAATAAATAAAATAAATAAAATAAATAAAATAAATAAAATAAATAAAATAAATAAAATAAATAAAATAAATAAAATAAATAAAATAAATAAAATAAATAAAATAAAATAAATAAATAAAATAAATAATAAGGTCTCTAATATCTGAAATTTACTAGCTTAATAGACTTCCGCTTATAATTCAAAAGGCTACTGCTTTATAGTGCTTGTAGTCTTACTTTTCCACCATGCTCAGTGTGGTAGCTTACGTAAAGCTGTGCTATGTAGTGATGGAGATGTATCGGTTCGCCAGGCCCTTTTCTTATCATCTTTATCCCTTCTGGTCCCTTGAACTTATCCCGCGTTTGTGCGCTCTGATGTGATGTCGAACCCCGAAGCGTTGCTTTTGCGTCTACCTGAGTCTAAGAGCTGAACCGCTGTCAGAGGCGGTGTAATCCCTATGGACGATACTTGTGAGTGTTCATATCGCCATACCCGCTCCTCTCCTACTGACATGGCCTTGTCAAGGGCACTGGGGTGTTGTCATAGATGCTGGCTCGTCGGGAACGAGGATCTATGTTTACAAATGGCCTCATGATCCTATCAGCCCATCAAGAGCGTCCTTGCCAACATTGATTTTGGCCGAGTCACATAAAGTTCGGCCCGGTATATCTTCTTATTTACAAAACCTCGATCAGATTGGGTCGGACTATCTCCCGCCTCTTCTGACGGCTGCTGCCCACGCCATTCCCGTTCAAGACCGACACCGGACCCCGATATTTTTCATGGCCACTGCTGGGATTCGGATGATGGCGAAACAGGAACAGGACGTTCTGTTGAACAGTGTCTGCGCATACCTCCGCTCTGGTAGTGAGTTTCGCCTTGATGACTGCAAATCGCAAGTCCAGGTTATATCTGGGGAGACAGAGGGCGTGTACGGTTGGCTCGCTGCAAACTATCTTCTGGATCGCTTCCGTGATCTACCTGATTCTGTTCGAAATGATGCACAGGGTACCTATGGCTTCCTTGATATGGGGGTGCTTCTGCCCAAATCGTCTATGCACCCAATAGTACTGAAGCGGCCCGTCATGCAGACGACTTGAAACTTATACGCCTCCGGAGCCAGGATGGAAGCGCTCGGGAATACAGGGTTTTCGCTGCTTCCTTCCTTGGCTTTGGGGCGAACACCGCGCGCCAAAGGTATAATGATGCTCTGATTGACCAATACTTCGCCGAGGATTCACGACTACTCCCCGATCCCTGCCTTCCTCATGGACTACAAACCAACATTCACGGCGATATTTTGTCGAATGTGGAACCAGCCGATAACAACATATTTCAGGGTACGGGTGATTTTCCCCAATGTCTACGACTCACCCGACCACTACTTCGAAAAGAGGCCATTTGCAAGGAACTTCCTTGTTTATTTGACGGCAAGCATGCGCCTGCACTCGATTTCCAAGTCAACCGTTTCGTCGGCATTTCAGAGTATTGGCATCTGACGCATGGACTTTTCAAATTACCTGGGCCTGACCCATATAACCTTCTATCGTATCAAACTAAGGTGGATGGCTTCTGTAGCAGAGAATGGCGTGAAATTGAAATTGAAATAACGCGGGGGATCAAAAACAAGCATTTGGATGAGAAGTTACGGAATGCGCAAGAGGCTTGTTTTAAGGCATCCTGGCTCATCAACCTTCTTCATGAGGGAATTGGGATTCCAAAGATCAATGCCGCGCCGCCATTATCATCTAACCTTGACCCATCCCTTGCTTCTAATGGGACGGTTTTGGAGCAGGGCCTGGTGGACCTTTTCAAACCTGTTAATAAAGTTGATGGCGTAGAGCTCAGCTGGACACTTGGCCACATTCTCTTGTACGCCAGTAGCCGTATAAGACCTAAGTTTAATGACCTGGCCGTTGGGTTTGGTCAGAATATACCGGGGCTACCGCTAGATTTCGAATACTCTTCTCCATCAACCGTGGACAATCCAGTTCAGCCCGAATCAGCCTCGGCTCAGACGAATCCTCTCTCTCATACCCGGACACCATCTTTCGCTCTCCTCACGGTTTTCCTTTCCGTTATGGTTTTTGTTTATATACTATTCCGGCGCCGGGAACGAAGGGCTTTCCTATCTGCTAAAGTCATTTCTGTTATGCGTCGATACCGCCGGCGATGTAGTCTGAGAAGCTTGCGCCTACTTCTTCCATTCGCAAGGGACTTAGCAAGGGATGATCATGGCACCTATGATGCGATACTAGAAGAAGGAACCTTCGAATATCGCGTGAGTGAGCTGGATGGAGACGACGCTGACGACCTCACTCCACCTCACAGTGCTGTCTCCTCAGGAATCCTCACTTCGAAAACCCAGCCGACTGGCGGAATGAATCACCGTCCAATGTACTTGCACCGCTAAATGATCTGATTGGTAGAAGCGATAGTATAGAACACCTTGCAACCCCGATCCAGACATTCAGTATTGGGCGTAGGAGCCGAGCTGGAAGTCCAACAAGAGGCAAGGCGTGAACAGCGTCTGGCCCACATCCTTGATGAATAGCCATGCCCCACCATGTCCTTGAAGCGTGATGTGAGAGGACATTGTAGAGGGAGGCAAGGGGAGGTATCCTGCTTGATCCTCGTTTTGTAGATTGGCCTGCACACCCACAAACAATAGATTTGATTAATTTGCCTTCTATATTAGCTAAGGCTTAGTTCACTTTGGCTAGTGTGAACAAACTCACATCTGGCCAACTGGAAAATGATATATATATCCTTTCGTTATACACAGGCATGGTCTCCGAGAAAGCCATGCTCACTCTTCCTGCTTGTCAAGGAACCTCGGATCTGAGCGGAGGCGGCTCTCAAACTTTGACCACCAGGCCTCGAACGCTTTGAGTGGTACCATTTCCGGTTGACTAGGCCCGGCCGCACCGCTGTAGCTTGCTAAAAGTTGAAAGCGTTCTGTATGATCTTTTGCGCAAGCAGTACTGTATTGCCAGTAGTGACTGGAGCGATAGGGCTAGACGTGGAGAGTTCCGCGAGGCGTGTAGCTATGGCAGCAGAAGGCTCGATCGATAATCCAATGATTATCTGGCTGGATGGGGTAATTTTGAATACAGAGCTTTCCTTCCCTTGACCCACTGCCCCATGGAACTTGAAATTTGGCGCACGCCCTGTAGATGAGGCAGCTGTTACCTCCTCTGCTGTTGCTGCATAGATAGCCGCACCTGTGTCAGGCGGAGAGTGACACCTGGGAGAAGAAATACTACGATATGAGTAAACTGTCTATCCGGAAGCGTGTACATGAATGATGTATCGGACAGGATCGTAGTGGGCTCAATAATCACGGGGCTTCCCGCGGGGATGACCCCAAATAGTGGAGTTGCCATGCTCTGTGTGAGAGACGGTATGGGTGTAATGCGCCCCAGCTGTCGCGGTTGGAAAAAATTGAGGGGAAAGGCTGGTGTTGGGGCGCCCAGGGGAGGGAGGATGCTTGGGATGTCATTAGTGATGTCCTTATGAGGGGCAAAAGTTTGCCGTTTTGGTGGGGTAAAATTTCAACCTGCTCTGGAGGTAAGTTAAAGGGTTTCTTAACATGCACTCCAGGGTCTTTATAAGTTATCCTTTTAGCGAGCCACCGAAGCCAAAGAAACATGAAGAAAACGAACCTTGACCTCGTTAGAGAGGTAGATAGGTGAGTAGGATGGACTAAGCACATGCATGACGAACTAATCTGATATTTGAGTCGCTTTAGTTTTCCGCTGGGACTCACGACTGAAAACGACCCCGATATTCCAACCAGGTTCTTTACACATGGGTTCTTGATGATGGCGACAATACCATACCTGTTGGATATATAAAGCTCGAGATTTTGAAGAAGATTCAGGAAGTTCCTAGCCGCTTGAAACAGTATCTCGATATCAATCATGAAAGTCAAACGATCGCGATACAGCTTGATAATGCTCCCACGAATCTGAGCCAGTACATCTCTGAAATCGCTGAGTACTGGAGAGAGCATGGGACTTTCTCTATACTCCGTACTTGGAAAGATGAGCCGTGGCCTGTGTATAGGAGCATAGGTGACGCGGCCTGCACTATCGAGAGATCTGCCGCTGGTCTCTTTGGTGTTAATAGGTATGGTGTTCACCTCACGGGATACGTACGATGCCCCGAAGATACATATGGGATGAAGATCTGGGTTGCTACTAGATCCGCATCTAAATCGACTTTCCCCAGCATGCTTGATAACACTGTCGCTGGTGGGCTGATGGCAGGCGAGGAGCCCTTCGACTGTGTCGTGCGAGAGGCGGATGAAGAAGCAAGTTTGCCAAGTAGCCTGGTGCGCAACTCTGCATCGCTTGCAGGTACTATCACTTATGTTTATGTCACCGACGAACGCGCTGGTGGGGAATCCGGCCTCATCTATCCGGAATGCCAATGGGTTTATGACTTGGAGATACCTGGTGATGTGATTCCTGTGCCTAAGGATGGCGAGGCTGAGTCGTTCAGCCTTTATAGCATTGGGGAGATACGCAGTCTACTAGAAGAGGGCAGGTTTAAGCCTAATTGTGCGCTGGTGATGATCGACTTCTTTATCCGCCATGGAATTCTCAACACCATGAACGAGCCGCATTTGCAAGATATATGCCATCATCTACATCGGAAGTTGCCCTTTCCCGGCCCCCACGAGGAGTACACTTGAATGCATGTTGGGCCAATGGGTCTTGTGGTATCTGGCAGGGAGTGGTAGAAAGGAAGAGATCCATTGGCTTGAGCGAGTATCTGATCCAGCCAACCGCTCAATGTATACATTTAATTGCCTGGAGGTTCTAAATTCCCTAGTATTGTTTCTTCACTTATTTATATCCGACTGTAGGGATTCGTGTGTTTTTGTTGCTTTACTTTTTTACGAGGAGGTATGTGTACTGACTCTGAGTGGGCTTAATTTTTGTACGGGCCCTCAAGGGACATTAAAAGGCCCCCAAAGGAAATGTATGCTTTTCTAGATTATAGTTAGCGCATGGCATTCAGAGACAGGGCGAGATAGACCAACATTGTTTGTCCATCTTCTCCATCCTCAAATTTGTAGATCTTGCCATGGCAAACATAATCAAACATGTCTGCAAGGCTTGTTTCGGGGTGAGCACCCTTTTGTGATCTCTCCAGCCCTTTTCATCATCCTTTGACCCATCTAGTGCAAGTGATGTAGCAAGGACTACGTTAATACCTTCGCTAACTTGACAAGGGAAAAGTTCGACATTGATGTCAAGCGATATGACAGTCTGATTATCGGTGGATGTAGCGAAAAGACGAGCGACGCGGTCATATTTAGATTGATCTATGCTGGTGATTGTGAAAGACTCCTCGAAAAGGGTTGCATCGCCGCCGGTTGTCGTCATTTTTAGAAAAGGGTACGAGGGTGCAGTCTTGATTCCCGTCGAGGAAAGGTATGTATGACCGATTCTCGAAACTTTTTATTTTTATTTTGACGCTGTTGGGGAGGTGGCAACGAACTTCTCGAATTATTCCTCATGCTTGGAGAAACGCCCCGGTATAAAGATTATTGGTGCATATTACCCCCAAACCCCGGCATGCTTCCTGCATGGCTTGAGATTCCACAACGCTCGCTGAAAAATGCCTTTTCGTCGGAAGAATACAATTGTTTGCTCTTCTTCGTTGCAAAACCAGGCTACAAATAGCTTGCCGGAAGGTACGAGACAAATATTCCCCAAGGAACGAGACCGTCACCTCTCGATGGGCGCCTGGTGCTATCCACCGGCACTGCTTCCCTAGATGCCGCGCTTGGCGGGCATGCAGGATTGCCTTTGGGAACCTGTCTCCTTCTTCAGGAAAAGGGCACCACCGATTTTGGGGGAATTCTCTCACGATACTATGCGGCGGAAGGACTTGTCCAAGGCCACCATGTTCACGTCTTTGGACCAGGCGATGGATGGGCGAAAGACTTGCCCGGTCTTGCTACTCTCGACAACCCCCGGACCGAAATCGATTGAGAAAAAATGAAGATTGCATGGAGATACGAGTCACTGGGCACGAATAATCCTCGGGAAGTAGGTGAGTCTCCCTACGTGCTCCTTCCTTACTATGAAGGGGTGACATGACGCAGGATAGCGACAAGAGATACTACATACCGGTGCATGCTCAATAACTCGTTAAATTTTACTAGGACTTGGGGTGTTGGATTACCGCGTGACTGGCACTTTTTGTCATGTGTTTGATATTAGCAAACGGCTTAGTATGAGCGATATCCGTGGGATCCTAAGGTTTTATCCCCTGGAAAGGTGCATCCCGCCGCGTGCACGAGAGTCCCCTGTGGGTTTTATTTCCGAGTTATCAGAGAGAATTGCTGCGTCACCGGATGCTCTCCATCGCGTGATACTATCTAGCTTTAACTCCCCAACGACATATGGTATGCAAGCATTATCTGCAGACGACACTCTGCAACTACTGCACGGTCTGCGGGGACTATTGCGCCAACACAAGGATCGTCTTTCGGCGTTCGTCCAGCTCCCAACCGCCTTTTCACCCCGATCCTCGGGATTGACACGCTGGATAGAATTGTTGGCTGATGGGGTTTTCGAGCTGGCGTTGATGGCGGGAGATTCCAATAGTGCTCAGGGATTGGTCCAGGCTCATAGCCTGCCAATCCAAGGCGAGCGTGGAAAAGGATCACAAATAATTGGTTGGCATTCTAACATGTCGTTCAAAGTGAGCAAGACAAGCGGCATGCTAATTGAAGATCTCAGTCTTCCCCCTGCTTGCCAGCTGAACAAGAGCATCAAACCCCTAATAAAAGCTTTGACTTTTAAACGGAAAACAATACCGAGGTAGATGGAGCTGCGAACATGCGGGATCGGTTGCTTACAAGGCATCAGTTGCTTTGTCAGCCAACATAACTCTAGCGATTAGAAAAGACAAGAAAACTTTTTCCTCACTGCATAGTTTATAACCTATCTTGGACATCTTCCCCACAATCCTAATGTTTTGACAGAGCTCAGAAGGCCTCGTAAGTTTGTCTCTTCCTACGATCCAATTTTGGTATCGAATTTTTCTTTTCTATAAAGCCCATGATTTTATTTTAAAATCTGTCAATCCCCTGAAAATAGTTTGGTGTTGAAAAACAATTATCTATGAGGCTGCAATAGCATACTTCGTCCATCGCCGTCATCATTTAGGGAATAAACTGGCTAATTTTGTGCGGTTAGCCTAGAGTTGACAAACGAGGCATGGATAACCATTGCGAAATAGATCGTGTCATCATTTCCAAAGTGGCTGGTTGCTATCTGGTTTTTGATCGGCAGCAGATAGCTTTTCTTCGCCGACAATGTGCAGCTTGTGGTGTGCTAGTGGGTACAGTACCACAGAGCCCAACACAGAACGTTTTCCTGGGTGTTCCTTTGGAACTGAGTGAGGAGGAGGTACAGTTACTCACTGAGCAAAATCTTGCGTATGTCCGTAACGAAGCTCAGTTTCAGAAACGCATCTGTGAAGGGGTTGAAGCTGGTATCCGACTTCATACATAGTGAAACTCAAATTTGCGCGTGAGGAGGTAAGGCAGGTCGTTGAAGGTCGTTTCTCGCTCAAGCATCGCCGTAGTGTGGGAAATTCCTTTGGTCCAAATGCTCGTGGTGCTGAAACGACTGAGTCTACTGAACTTCGTCTCCATCCACACTGGGGAAGCACAAACGCACCAATAGAAGAACCGGAAACTATCACACGAACACCGTTCTCGGTGACCTGGACAAATATTGCTCTGCAGGATTCATCGGTCTCGCCAGTGCGTGCGCAAGCACTACATTGCACTTCACTGCTTCGTCGTTTGAGGACCAACCTGTATTATACAACGCCTGGAATGCGTTTTGGTGCACATCTTAGTGTATATCCTGGTGACCCGTTTCGGTTCCATGCCCATTACGTTGCAAATCACTGTAGCTTGGATGAGTCGGTCTCTCTGTTAGATATAGTGAGCGGGGGCCGACTAAGCACTACGGTCAAGAAGGGGTTTCTTATCGGGGGCAGCAGTCGCATCTATTCGGACGACACAGCGAGACTCTTCTGTATAGAGTGGGCAGGAATGTAACCCTGTAACCCACATCTGATTTTGAATTGCCTCTTCCAACAAATATTATGATAGAACATCATCAGCTTCTTCATGGTACAACATCAGCTTCTTCATGGTACAAATATACGGCTGAAACCGCTCACGTCCCTCCTACAACAAACGCATTTGTCAAAGTTGTTCATCGCGAGGGAAACCCTACAATCATCACATAAACTTAGACATCGACAAGGCCAGATGATGATACTTCTCGGGCTGCTTTGACAAACGACGCATGGTGGACCCTCTCCACCCGTACCGGATGCAGAAGCGGGCCGGGCCTGGGCGTCGTGGACTGAGAGATCAGATCGTGGGGACTGCCGTCTGGATAAGATAATGCGCTCGAGGAATCTGGACTCTTGATCTGCCGTAAGTGTGGCACGCTGGGATGATTCAAAGATTGCCGCAATATCTGTGAACCCCTTTCCTAGGATGCGTGATGACTGAAGCCGTCGGAGTCTTTCGTAATGCGAGCGGGTCAGAACCCCATCGCTAGTGAGGTGGGCTGCGAGTGTATCAGCCTCCTCCTGGTCATCCAAAGTTTTCGGTTGGAGGAGTCGAGAGAGGTCGGAAAGCTGAAGCGGCATGTCAATGCCAACACTGGCCTCTCGGGTAGCGAAAGAGGCGGGTCCTGCTAAGTATCCTGCTTCTCCGTCCTCGTTATCTTCGCTGTTTAGCAGGCTCAGGGACGCTGTGCTTGAGCTGTCAGAGATATCGCTCTGCTCCTCGGGCAAATAATCACCACTTCCGTCGACTGACCCCCAGATACCTCCTGTGAGCCACCATTTATATAGGCGAGAGTCAAGGTCCCCCTCATGCAAACTATTGGAGTCTGATAAGGTCGCGAGCATCCGTTTTCGGAATTCTGCTTCCACATCTACTTGGTCGCCTCGAGGTATCCAGACACCATCAATGGTAGATGGTGGGCCAGTGGTAAATTCCCTGTTGGGCTGCATATCTGGACCATGCCTAGTCACCTTTCCGCCCCGAACTAGGCGGACAAGCCATGATGGCTGTGATCCTACGCCAACTTTGTGCAAAACCTTGAGAATAACGAGGGCCCATGCTTTCAGAAGAACGCGGTAGATGTTGACGGCGAAGTCTATGATAAATATCCATCTGCCACTACGTGCTGCAGCGCCTACGCCCAGAGCTGTCGGTCTGTCAAATCTCCGGTGCTTCGAACTGGGCTGTGCTGTCTTCTCATGCGAATAACCACTTCTGAAAGTCTTCACATGGGAAAATCGAGTGGAGCTAGAGCCTATGGCGGCCATTCCGCTGCTACCCCTAGACTGATTATAAACCGCTTCCAGTTCCTGAAAACGTTCTTCTTCAAGCCAGGTGTATCGTGGGGTATTAACGGTAGAGTCCTCGTTTAGGTATACAGCCTCGCTTGCCAAGGTGATCGCTCCAAATCCAGTCCTTAGCAATGCGGTGTAGAAGTCCATATCACGACTTATACGTAGATCAGCAAGAGATAGATTCGCCTGCAGGTTGGCCTGCGCCTGCGCGAGGCGTCGAGGGAAGGTGGAAGGCCCCTGGGTTTCGGGTGGTGGTGAGATTGCAGATAGCAGAAGAGCGAACCCGTAAATGGACAAGCAAACAGCGACACCTGCTAAGACCAATACATGAGGTACGAAACCTATGACACATACGGTTGGAAAGCGGAGTAAACTCTGTGAATTAATAGAGTCAGCTGAGAAAGTGGCGGCACCCATAGGATACTACTCATGAAACATAGACCCCAAGTTGTGGTGCTGAGCAGCCGAAATCTTCCTTGGGCGTTGAACATCCCCAACAAGTGGCTCGTTATGTGTGCCATGGAGGATATGAATGCCACGAGAAGAACCTCGGGAGAAGTATTGACGCGTTGAAGTATCATAGATCGGCTAATATTGAGGGTAGATTCGAGGGCCTGGTTAGCGACAGGATATAGATGTCCCCCATCCTAGCTGATTGCTGATGGCAGCATCGGCTTCCGCGAAGGCGAGAGAATGTTCGAACAAAGTCATGCCGGTTTCGGCTGATAATGGACGACCCTCCACAGCGCAGATTATTGTCTCGAGGAGTTGGCTTAGACAAAATGTGCCGAACAAGGGCCAGAGCAAGGATAACGAGCCCTTTAAAGTGTGGGGCTCGGAGACGGTGGCTGGGCTGGGAATCATGAACACATGAGAGCAAGATTCTCGATCGCTGGGGTTGAGGAGTAGCGAGGAGCTCAGGCCATGAAGAAATGCGTTAGTGCCGGAGAACATGAGATCTGAATGCATGCTCGAATTACCCCATCGCATTGCTGAGAAGTGTGGGGAGGTTTGGCATTGTATAGATTGCAGCACTCGCCGATTCTGGAGGACTAGAAGAATTACTGGAGCCCCACGAATAAGAATTCTGATATGCCAGGGCAGGATTAACCTCCGCCTTGTGGCTGCGAAGATGTAGGCCCGGTTCAAAATGATGGCCATGGCGATACAGCAAAGTGCCCATTTACTTGTAGCATAGCTGAACACGCTCCCGAGGCCCCTCGCTCCATCTGTTAGTCCTGGAGGATTAGAAGTTACAGTGCTGGAGCTGAGGGGCGGCGTGGTGCTGCCTATGCCCCTATCCGAATCCATCTGACCAGGGCCGAGCAGACCCTCGGTCAAGGTGAGGCTCGGCGTGGCTTCTGGAGAATTGAGTTCTTGAGAACTGCCCGCAAGAAATAGTATCCCGAGGCGCTTAACCATACGAGGTCCAGCCCAGACAAGATCCTCTAAAGACAGGGCGTATCCTGTGACATTTACTGGGTGTTTGAAATGATGAGAAGTCCAGCTCGTAAAGTTGTGCCAGGGACCATGTCTTGCGTTCGGCGAGGCTTTCGATAATAACAACTGTTCCATACTTTCAAGGGAAAAGTCGCAAGTGAGTAATGAGGATTGCTGATACGTTGATAATGCCGACCTAAAGTTATTATTATTTCATTGTTTTAGAGACAATTTAGTTAAGGGATCATGAATAGAAAAGGTCCGCGAAATGCAGAAATCGTGTCCCATCTCTGGAAGCCGGCCCTTTCGAAGGTTAGGATTAGCCGTTGTGAGGGGTGGAGAACTCACGATCCGCTTGTTGTGGTGGATCGTACCTCGGTGGTATTAAAAAGGGCACTGACTAAGCACAATTTTGTTGACAGGCAGACGAGACGGGATGAGCTGTTCACATTAATGTGACGTCACAATCCTAGGAACTCATAACGGCCTGACTCCATTGCTAGAGTATTCTAGACAACTTCGTGTCTTATATTATCTCCTTAAGGCTATCTATAAGAGGAATCTGGGTTGCTCTGGCAGCTTGAACGGCTGTAGCTGTCAGAGCTGTATAATGGGCGGAGTACGAGGGGGAAAGTTGACCCTTAGTCCACAAAGTAGTCAACTCGTCTCGCGCTGGAATATAAGCCACACAACACGCGGCTAGAATATTTCCCGGTCTTGAAGAAAGGGGGACGGTTTCCGGCTCAACTTCTCCAGCGGCCCGCGACACGAGTACCGCAGCTCCACCACAGATAGAGCCCACACAATCGATCCCAGCATCTATGATTGCAGCAGAGGCAACAGTGATACAAGCGCTCAAACTATGCACAAGGTCCCATGATTCCTGACTGCTAAGATCATTTCCAATAGTATTGTGGTTAGTTTCGATGATGGTGACCACAACATCCACGGCGCTTTTCGGCCACCGGTCAGCAATGATGGCTCCTCGGAGAGCAGCCTCAAGATGGACTCCGAGATCACGCTCACTAGAATCGCGAAGATACCCACGTCTGTGCTGCGTTGCAAAAGGTGCAAATTTGACATGCGTTGCTAACACTAGATGTGGGGAGAATGGTCCTGATCTTGGTAGTGCGCGGGGACCGTGTACTGTACAAATGAGCTTCATGCCTCCATGGGCAACATCATGAGCGCTGAATGGGGTCCCCATTTCTAGATAAGCCGACCCTGATGCGGACGGTGTGACACCGGTCTTGAGGACTGGTAGATGGTTAGCATTGTGTCATGGAGAATTGATAGGGAAAGCATGCACCCACAAATCCGGCGAGGCTGGACATCCCTTTCTTGTGTCGACGATAGGGGTTGACTTACCCTGTCGTATTGTATGGGAGAAGTCGGCCCTGAAGGGGCATTGATTCGACGTCTGTCCGCCATCATCTAAAACCTTTAGTGGAACCTTTGACAGCTAACTTCCCAATGTAGGAATATTTAGGAGAAGGCAGGTTGTGAACAGAAGGTTAGGATTATTGGGGTATGCCCTCTGTGGTGCATGAATGGGGCATTCAAATAAACAATATTCCAATATCCGAGGTGGAGATACTATATTTGCGAAGAAAAATTTCCATACTGTAAAACTCTAATCCTCTCATCAACTTATTCCTACCATCTTTGATGACACTCGACAATGATAATCCTAAACTTGTAGGTTTTACTTCACAACCCCTCACTCTACAAATGATGAAATTTATACCACTGTTCAAGCGAAGACCTGAGCTACCGAACACATGCACTACCATCTGATTTATTGCTGCTATTAACGATATGAAAGATTTTTCTTTCTAATAGCCTTTGCCCTAAGGTTATATGCTGATCTCGATCCCTTTAGTCGTTATTCTCAAAATCCCTTACTATTTTAAAAGGTTAGTTGATGCTTTGTTATCCTATCTGCTATTTATTCTTGATGAAACCACTTTCCAGTTCTGCTTCTGATTACCAATGAAGAGAACACTTATACCAAAACTACACTGAAGCTCAGAAACATTCATCTACTTAGATCCCTCTTGTTTATCTAATAGGAGCTAACTTATTAAGTGTAGAATTTACAATTCATGCCAAAATGAAGGTCTCAAGTTGTTGAGGAACGTGTTTTCTAGGGCGGTTTTTTTTTCTATATATATCGCGCCGTAGCATAAATACCCTACCCTGCTAACCTCCTCCAACCTTCAAGTATCCCCCTAGTATATATTGGATATATATGTGTATAGAGAGGAACCCTAAGAGATATATATATATATTGCTTTAAGAAAAATAGAACGATATAATCTAGGCTCTGATTAAGGTTCTGAGCTGTGAGCAGCCTGATATCGCTGTGGTGAATTTTGGAAATCTTAAATGCATATGAGGTTCAAGTCATAAATATCGATGATAGGTAAATAGGTTCTTACCTCGGTACTATGCGGTCGATTTATAGAGAAACAGTTATTACATTTTTAAATCAAATTCTTCCATTGTAATAGCTAAAACCTCCGGGCTTCGTTCTTGTCTCAACTTGTGGAAGTATTATTGCATGTAGCTGGAGCACTTTAAGGCGTGAAGGTTGAGCCGTAAAACAACCGATATAGGGGTTCTAACCACACCTTGTCGCGGAAGCTCTCTATTGAAATCTTTCTCTTCCCAACCTTCAAACCGTGCTCCTTTTTCATTATATAACTTAGTGGATTTGGGTGAAGAACTCGCAAGCCCCTCTCTTCCATCGTATGAATAGTTAGAAGTTCACTAAAAGATGCCCCGGCATCATTCTGGTGGATTCGCAAATGGCTACCCTCGTGCCAACACATTCGACATATCGCCACATCGGTACTAACTCTCTATCACATGGGTTCTGGTCGCACAGCTGCTAATATACCTGCTAGATACGAACCACGAACATCAAGTGCGCCACTTCACCGTCGACGAGGAGTTCTCCTACGGATTCTCTATACTATATTAATAGTCTTTGGATTCGGTTACCTGATCTGGCCTCGAGGCCAGGTCGCTTCTGTCATCTCGCTCGGGCTTCTCCGCACTGGAGGAGACAACCAACTAGAAACTGTGCGGTATTATGACCTGAGCAATGTTCAAGGAACGGCAAGGGGCTGGGAGCGAGAAGAACGTATTCTCTTTGTGTCCCCTTACGTGATGCCGAAGTTCATTTGCCCATGTTCTTTCCCACCTACGGAATTTCACTTACCCTCACCACCTAATTGACCTTGCGTTCTTAGTCTCAGATTCAAAGGACCGGACTTTGAAGGTGGTTACTGAGACAATGGAAGAGATTCAATCGGATGAGGATGCAACACAACATTACGGGGAAGTTTTTATTATTGAAAAAGATTTCGGCCAGAAGGTCAATCAGGATGTCGAAAGCCGACATGGCTTTGCGGCGCAGGCGAGCCGGCGGAAATTAATGGCACAAGCTCGCAACTGGCTCCTTAGCGCAGCTCTTCGGCCTTATCATTCTTGGGTCTATTGGCGTGACGTGGATGTACAAACAGCGCCGTTCACAATATTGGAGGATCTGATGAGACACAACAAGGACGTAATTGTGCCAAGTATGTCTAGCTATGCCAAAGAGTTACAGAAGCTACGACTAACCTCAGCTGACACCCTGTTATAGATGTTTGGCGGCCGCTCCCTGATTGGCTTGGGGAGAACAACCATACGATTTGAATTCTTGGCAGGAATCAGAAACTGCCCTCGCTTTGGCTGATAGTCTCGATGAGGACGCTGTCATAGTTGAGGGGTATGCGGAATATGCAACCTGGCGTCCACATCTCGCATATTTGCGTGATCCCTATGGAGATCCAGACATGGAGATGGAGATTGATGGCGTTGGCGGTGTCAGCATTCTCGCAAAAGCCCGAGTCTTTCGATCCGGTGTTCACTTTCCCGCATTTAGCTTTGAGAAACATGCCGAGACAGAAGGCTTTGGAAAGGTATGGGAGAAGACTGTGTTTTCTTAGGTCCTGGTCCATCTGCTGCTTGCTAATCTTGTTTCTGTCTGCAGATGGCAAAGCGCATGGGCTATTCCGTCGTTGGTCTGCCTCATTATACCATCTGGCATTTATACGAGCCTAGTGTCGATGATATTCGGCATATGGAGGTCCGTATCAGAATCATGTTTGTTCACTTACCCACATGTAGCTAACCCACCGCTAGGAGATGGAAAAGGAACGACTGGCGAGAGAGAAAGAGGAACAAGAGAAGGCTGAAAAAGTGAAGAAACTGAAGGAGGAGTTTGGTGATGCTAACAACCAATGGGAGAAGGATAAATCGGAAATGGAAAATTTGGCGCAGGAAAAGAAGTCTGGAAATCGGCGAAAGCAAGCAAATATTGATCACTAGGTTTCCTATCATTTTGAACAGGCCTAATCAGGATTTGAAGATGGCGTCAGATTTTTCAAGGGAAGGGGGCGGGTCATTAGACAGTCGGAAATCATTGTAATAAATGTACATCAACAGCTTTCAGAGGATTACCCCTTTTCGGTATCAAGTAGTGTAATTGAAGCCTTGCCCCGCTGGCAGTTGTCGGGCAGGTGTACGCCGGCGCAGCATTGGTATTTGTTTAAACCAAGTTGAGAGATGGCACAGGGCCAGCTGTTTAATACTGGATGAATCCATCAACTGGCTGGTCCATTCATGGATGTAATATCCCAAGCTCAGTGCGACCTTTTCCCGCAAAGTTGTGTTCAATAGGTGATATTCCCCGTATCGTCCAGTATTTAAACCCTCATATTTTCTCGAAGGTATAGCCCCCTTGCTTCTCATTCTGGAGGAGATTCACTGACCTATATCGCAATTGAATGGAGGCAGCAGACATCTCGAGTTAATACCACTTCTCAACGTCACCCCAAGGATGAGTATCGGCATTGTCGATCATGCAGTTAGAACCATCCCAGACTCAAGAATCAACAACGGTCGCGAGCATGTATCGCAGTCGACCAGTCACAGTTGCGGTGGATCCTGTTTCTTTGGTTATTTCTGAATGCATCTCGATCACATCAGAAATCCGCAAGCGCGTGCCATCAACACACTCTTCTGTATCTGCAATCTTAGGGAGAACGCCCAACACTGTTCATCTAGGGCAACCGAGCCATGCCTCGAAGTCAGGGAATCAGCCTTCCGAATCGCGGATCGAACAAGATATAGAGGACGAAGACCTTAGTCTGACAAATCGTTGGGTGTTGAGGGGCGGAACGGCGTACCCATCCGAGAAAACCCTTTGATATCGAGCTTCAGTAAGCTGCGCTACGAACTATCTGGTGTTAAAGGTGTCGTTCTTCACTTGCATAAGGTCCCTAGATAGCTAGCTGACGTTATCTCTGCTTGCAGATCTACACGCATTTGACGCGCTCTCTCTCCTTCAGCCCTTTCTTCAAATCCTTCAAACCAAGGGCACGGCCGCTCCAATCACAATCCTTGCTTTGGGAGCGCTGAGAAAATTCCTTGCCTATGGCTTTATATTCCCGGGCTCTCCTCGATTCGGACTGGCGATGCAATCCTTGTCAAGCGCATTAACACACTGCCAGTTTAGCGACTCGGGTCAGATGGAGGTAGTCCTCCTCATGATCTTGAACCTCATGGAGGATATGTTGTCCGGTCCAGGGGCGATATCTTGACCGATGAAAGCATTTGCGACATGATGGGGCGCGGCCTTGCCATTTGCTCTCAAACGAGGTTCTCTCCCGTATTGCGCCAAACCGCGGAGGCGGCCATGGTTCGCATGTGCCAAATCATCTTCGAAGCTGTGAAACACTTCGATATACAAGTTACTGACGCGGCTGACCTGCCTGCCAAGCCGAATGGTGGAACAACCGCTGTGGTAATATTGACGTCTGAAGCTGGTGATAAGGATGCACCACGTCTGGGCACTGCGCAACCGATCGACGCAGAGCCATCCCGGAGCCCGCGAACTTCTTCTGAGTTAACAAACGCTAGTAATGATCTGCCCGAAACCAGTTCCTCACCAGATGCTCAACCAAGCATAGAGCTAGAGAGGCAGGAGGCTGCTACTCTGCGGCCGTATTCGCTTCCAAGTATTACAGAGCTACTAAGGGTTCTTGTAGGCTTTTTAGATCCCAATGACCGGCAGCAAACAGACACAATGAGAATCATGGCACTACGGATCCTTCATGTTGCTCTGGAGGTTGCGGGCCCTTATTTAGTAAAGTACTCAGCGCTCGGTCATATCACAGAAGACAGCCTATGTCGCTTCCTTTTCCAGCTTGTACGGTCGGATAATTTGGATCTCCTGCAAGAGTCCCTTGTTGTTGCGAGCACGTTGTTGGGGACCTGCCGCGGCGTCTTGAAACTCCAGCAGGAGCTGTTTTTGTCTTATCTCGTTGCCTGCTTGCACCCTGCGTTAGAGATTCCTAGGGTAGTTGGCATTGATCCATTGCTCTACGCTAGCATCCCGCAGGTCCCCAAACTAGTCAAACCACCGGCCTCGCAAAACGTGAGTGGACGGTCAACGCCAGTGCAAGTCAAAGACCGCCAGAAACTTGGATTAGAAGGCGGTGCCCGCAAGCCAGATGCAAGGCAGGCGATGGTTGAGTGCATCAGCGTCCTCCTACGCATGCCATCCTATATGGTCGAACTCTTTGTCAACTACGATTGTGACGAAGACCGAGTCGATTTATGTGAGGACATGATTGGCCTCTTATCCCGGAATGCCCTCCCCGATTCAGCAACATGGAGTACCACAAGTGTACCACCTCTTTGTTTAGACGCCCTCTTGCGCTACATTCAGTTTCTCGCTCAGAGACTTGAATGGCAGCCAATATTGAGAGGACTTCCGGACCCGGTACATCTTAAAATGCGGCGACAAAAGAAGAAGGTCATAATTAATGGTGCAAGCAAGTTTAATGAGAACCCTAAGAACGGACTTGGCTACCTAGAAGCACATGGTATCATCAGCAGCATGAATGACCCTTCTTCAGTTGCTGCATTTTTAAAACGTACTGAAAGGATCTCGAAAAAGGCTTTAGGGGAGTTTTTATCGAAACGAGGAAACGAAACGATCCTACAAGCGTTCTTAAACCTCTTTGACTTTTCCGGGAAGCGAGTTGACGAGGCATTGAGAGTTCTTCTAGAATCCTTCCGTCTCCCAGGAGAGTCTGCTCTCATCGAGCGAATCCTGAGCTCATTCTCTGAAATGTACTACCTTAGCAGCCATCCTCTCGAAGTTGCAGACAAAGATGCTGTTTACGTCCTCACTTACGCAATAATCATGCTCAACACCGATCAGCATAATCCCCAGATTAAAGCAGCAAAGCGTATGTCCTTTGAAGATTTTTCAAGAAACCTTCGAGGTGTGAACGGAGGAGAGGACTTCTCGCCAGACTACTTGGGTGATATCTTCAACTCTATCAGGTTAAACGAGATCATTCTCCCTGATGAACATGACAACCAACATGCGTTTGATTACGCGTGGAGAGAGCTCTTGTCGAAATCCGCTACAGCAGGCCCAGCAATCGAGTGCAAGACTAATATCTATGATGCTGATCTCTTTTCATCGACCTGGAGACCGGTTGTTTCTGCACTATCGTACGTATTCATGTCCGCAACGGATGATACAGTATTTGCCCGTGTTGTCACGGGCTTTGATGAATGCGCCCGGATCGCGGCAAAGTATGGCGTGGTCGAAGCTCTAGATCATATTGTTCACGCGTTGAGCCAAATGACGACAATTGCCACAACCACACCATTCAGCACCGATTTAAACACTGAAGTTCAAGCTGGTGGCAACAGTGTCGTGGTCAGTGAGCTCGCAGTCAAACTTGGACGAGACTTTAGAGCTCAACTCGCCATCCTCGTTCTTTTTCGTGTAGTTTCTGGAAATGAGCATGTCCTAAAAGACGGATGGAAATACGTGAGTGCCCCCTTATATTATGACATCACTTGCACAGGCAACTAATATCCATCAGATCTTGAGAATATGGCAGAATCTCTTTCTCAATTCTCTTATCCCTCCCTTTTGCGTTGATCAACATGCTAAGTTAGGCATCCCTGCTATACCCCTTCATCCTCCATCTCAGGTCGTCGATCGAACGGCGCGGCCGGGTGATGGGGGCTTTTTCTCAGCGTTCACGTCGTATATATCGAGCTATGCCGCCGATGATCCCCGGAGCCGTCCCACGAGGAGTTGGAGAGCACACTCTGTACTGTTGACTGCATCAACCAGTGTCGTATCGGCGACATATTTGCACGAGTAGCGTGAGTTATGTCATCTCGCCTGAAGCTAGACTTTGACTTACACCGCATAGGACGCTCTCGGCGGTTGAGTTAACCCACCTTGTTGATGCGCTCCTTGATGAGTTACCCGAGGACCACAGTACATTAGTGATTAGTGTAAAGTCTTCAAGCGCACTGCAGAGCTCTACTGATGAGGCCGGACTTGACGATAGCCGGACCCGTTATGACCCCAGCTCAGTTTATTTGCTCGAACTTTGCACGGTTTTGGCCATTCAAACTGATCAAACCAATCGCATCTTCGGCGAGAAGCTCTCTGGCACATTGTTTGGCCTGTTGCGGAATGCACCACGCCTCCACCCCGTCGCCGTAGCTCGGACATCGTTTTACCTCCTAAGGCTTTTGAAATCTAGTTATGTTAGTACCTCAAGTTCCGCCCCGGCCCCCGCTCCCGGTCGCTAACAGCTTTGCTGGGCTGCATAGGAGCACAATTTCGTGAATGTTCCCATTCTTTTACACACACTTTCCGGCCTGCCAGATCCAATACTCGCAACCGCAGCACCGCTTATACTTCAGGGAATTCGGCTCTGCATTGACGAGCCAGGCCCTTTGCGTAGCGAGGTCATGACATCTCCTGACTTTTGGGTTTTGCTCCGACTTCTGGCCTGCAGAGCAGACACAAGCGACAGTGTTTTCAGCATTTTGGAGCGCGGTACAGTTGGGATACCTCCTGCCATCTCGGCTGACAACTACGAGGCTGTGATCTCTCTCCTAGGAGAATTTGCGTCGGCCTCTGCAATGGTAGCCCGATCGAAGTCCAATGTCTCATCCAAGGCTACCCGATCTACGTCTAATACACACCACGTGAACCTTAGGTAAGATGCCAGAAGCCATATTTAGGAGGTACCAGGCGCCATTTTTCCCAAATTACTAACTCAGAGCGCGCGATCAAGTACTAGTCAAGAGATTGTGGTTGCCAGGGGTGTTAGAGCCGTCACAATCATATTCAGTATGACAGATCGCATCCCTTATCTGATGCAGCATTCGCATCTCGGGAGTAGTGAAGGTACGCTTCGCCCAGACCTTGCTCAGCTGCGTGTACTAACCGTGATCCTCTCCCAGCATGGGCTGCATATTGGCTCCCAGTCTTCCATGCTCTGACTGCGCAGTGCACGAATGTGTGTCGAGAAGTGCGGAATACTGCGCTTACATCTCTCCAGCGCACCCTACTTTCCCTGAGCTTACATGTAGCGACCATAAAGGGTGGACGGCAATTTTTACCGAGGTCCTTTTCCCTCTAATATTAAGTCTTCTAAAGCCAGAAGTGTTTCTATCTGACCGCGATGGAATGAGTGAGATGAGGGTCCAAGTAGCCTCCCTTCTCTGCAAGGTGTTTCTCCAGTATCTCGTTTTACTATCAGCGTGGGATGGCATGCTGGATTTATGGATCCGGATTGTTGATATCCTCGACCGACTCATGAACAGTGGCCAGGGAGATAGCCTCGTAAGTGAACCGTGCCATTGATCAACATAAAGACCCTAACCAACCTTTTTATTAGGAGGAAGCTGTACGAGAAAACCTGAAAAATGTTGTCTTGTTTATGGCGACTAGCAAATATCTTGTACCCCCAAGTATTGACCCATCGAAAGAGAACCTCTGGACAGAAACATGGAAACGAATTGACCGGTTTCTGCCCGAACTAAAGAGCGAACTGGCGCTCGACGCTGAAGGGTAATTGGATTGATGTTAGGGGAGAGCAAGTTTTGTACATTGAGGCAATTTTTATGCAATAATACAATAATCTTGTAAAGGTGCTTACATGGCAGCGCAATCTAGAATTTCGCTGGCAGGTGGCGTGGATGTTGTGGTGCGGACATGCATCCCAACCCGAAGCATCCCATACTTCCCCATAATCTCTGCAGCTGTGACTCAAGATTGCCATTGAAATGGCATCTTCCGAAACACCGATCGCTACGTACGCGTCATTGCACTCCGACAAGTATCGAGCATCTGGCTGACACGAATCGTAGGGTTTACGTTAATAATCTTGAGGAGCGGGTCAGAATTGAACAACTGAAGGATGCCTTGGCTCAAATCTTCTCAGAATACGGTACTCTTGTTGAGATCGTGGCTAAGAGCAACTTGCGAGCGAAAGGACAGGCCTTCATCGTATTCAGTGAACCCGACGCTGCGCAGGCAGCTATCAGCGAGCTTCAAGGCTTCGAGCTGTTCGAGAAACCCATGCGCCTGGCCCTTGCAAAGTCACGAAGCGATGCGACCGTGAGAAATATTTGTAACGCTGACGAATTCGACCAGCACAAGCGAAAACGAGCTGCTGATAAGGGTAAGTGGCCTCCATCTCAAACTAGATCACGTAGCTTACTTCGACCTCTACAAACAGATAAGCGGCGGGCCACGGAGGCAGCAGACCAGCAGAAAAAGCTCAAGCTTGCAGCTACCCTACAAGATACTACTTCTCGGGGTGAAAGCACCCGCGGCGCTGGCTTGAAGGCGAATAATCCATCAACCGCAACCTTGGTTCCCGATGAATATCTACCACCGAATAAAACCCTGTTCGCCCAGAACATACCTGACGATTATGATGTTGACTCTTTGACGTCCATATTTGGCCGGTTCAATGGGTTTAAAGAGGTTCGACTTGTACCGGGGCGTAAAGGGATTGCCTTTGTTGAATATGACACAGAACATGGGGCGATCAGCGCGAAGGAGAATACAGCTGGAATGGCGGTTGGCGAGGCGGGACAGCTACTGAAAGTAACCTATCAACGGCAGTAAAACTTTGTCTGCGAACCACTCCTTCAATCGAGCCGTCATTATGCTCTAGTTATTACTTTCGAATGAGAGTCCGAATCGTATCACTCGTCCTTCTTTCTTAGCTTTAGGCTACTAGGCATCAGTTCGACTAGATATTACTGTGCTAGAAAATAACATCCTCGTCCTCCGCCCCCAACATATCAGCCGACACAGGCTGATCTTTCTGCACGTCGCCTGCCTCCCTCGCCCGCCTTCTCTTAAGTTCGGCATCAAGGCTAGCATTGTCTCTCTCCTTCTTCTTGGCCACCTATACGCCAGGATTAGCTCCATCCAACCTCAAGAAGAGGTAAAGACCAAACCTTCTTGAGCCTGTAAAATTCTTCGCGATCCAGCTCATCAAGCTCGGCATTGATATCTTTCATACAATTAGCGCCACGGTTCCAGTCTACCATGATAGTGAGTGAGGGGGGCAAACATTTAATCGTATTCTCAGTCCTTGGTATGACAACGTGTTCGCTATGCAGCACGAAGGCACCATCAGTATACAACAGGCTATAATTCAAGGTTATGCACAGGTGATAGGTACATTGCGTTAACTAGATAGTAGTTAGTTTTTGTCTAAGAAAGCGGGTTGCAGGATCAATACCTCGTCTGTTCACCATTTTGATAACGTCATCAAGCATAACAAATGCAGTCTATAGTTGTGATTGAATTAAGCAGGTCAGCATGCTGGATACCATGGTGGGATGCTTGCTAGAACCTGGGACCTTACCTGAAGCGTAGCGAGTTCAACTAACGCCTCTACTGCCCGAGCGTATGTCTCACGGCACTTCTGGACTTGCTGGCCTCCTTTCCCTAGGCCTGTAAGGCCAAAATCGCTATTGCCGTCGGATATATAGCTCTCATAGCGAGGCAACAACACTCCAGACACGTTGTCTTGTTTAGTTGTGAGGCGAAATCGGGCGGATTTGGCTGATTCTTGCACCTGATATCCAATTTCACCTCCTACAGCATACGTTACTTCGGCGAGGGAGAATGCGGCCACCGACATTACACGACCTAGCTTGAGTTTTGCGTCATAAATCCGCCTTGTTATTTCTAGAGATGCGTATTTAGAGCGCGAGCGACAAACAACGATCAAAAGCTAGCACACACCTCGGAAGCGTCTAGAACAAATATTGTAAGCTTGAGAACCCATTATTAGATACGCTACCTACTTAGTTAAAGCCTCGCTCTTCCTTTTCAAGAGGCTGTGGCCTGTTTCAGCACCTTTGAGTTTGGCCTTCATGAGCCCGAGAGACTGCCTTGTAGGGAAAACGGCTTCGCGTCCCTGAATAAAATTAGCAGCGCTTAAAAGACACTCAGTGATGAAATCTTACTGTAGCTTCAGCCATGTTAGTGGTTATATCCCCAAATGTTGCAAGAGGATCCCTTTCGTTGAGCCGTTTGGATGATGTGAGCGTGGATCTGTTGATGTTGTGGGGTGGCCCGTTACGTCATGAAGGGTGAGCAGGCAAGCCTGTCCCGACAAGACAAATGAAGCACACCATGGAATGCTTTGTCATATCGTCTAAATGAATATTCGGATTCTTAAACCGGTACTGAGGTACTAGAAACTTCATCACAAGAGAATCAGCCTCTCGCGACAGTGTCCTTCAAGACAGCCTATCCTACTTTTCCACCCACACATCATTCCGTCGCGCTCCCGCAACTTGGACAATCATCATCGCATCTAGCCTATCCGGTTTCACTATGCCTACGCGTATCTGCGAACCTCACACCTCAAGTGTCTAGCTTCTTCGAGTCATCACTTTGCCACGAAGAGCCTATCTCACATCAACGATGTCACAAGATGAACTCCGTATCTGCCAAGCAGCCAAAGCCAATTTTATATCTCTATTAGTATGTGAATTTCTTTCGCCCAATGAATGCATGCATCATGATAGTTTGGCACTGACTTGTGACAATGGGCCAACAGACCGAAGAAGATGCGGTTTACGAGCAAGATATCCTCCGGAACCTCGGAAGCGCAACACCATGGATATCATACTTTAGTTTCAAAATCCAACATGGCACTGCGCATGAACAAGCCTTTGTACTTGAGAGAGCCTGTCGCCAGCTTCCGCGCTCATACAAGCTATGGAAAGCCGTATGACCCCCTCCGCCCTCCCGGGCCCCCTTCCTCCAGAAACAATGAAAGAAGAAAAGAGCAGTGCATGAGGCGAGGCAGCAATCTGCTAACAGTTTTTACGTGTAGTATCTAAGTCTGCGGACCACACATGTTGCGAGTCTCAATCCGGCAATCTTTTCCTCCGAATTTCGGAAGGTCAACGCCCTTTTGAGCGGGCGCTGGTATTGCTGAACAAAATGCCCCGGATATGGGAAATGTATTTGAAGTTCCTCATGCAACAGCCCATATTAACTTTCACGCGGCGGACATTCGATCGAGCACTTCGAGCCCTACCTTTAACCCAGCACAGCCGCATCTGGGCCTTATACCGCCCTTTGCAAATTCAGCTGCGGGAAACACTGCAGCTAAGATTTGGAGGAGATATATGCAAATTCGCCCAGAGGATGCTGAAGACTTCATTGGCCTTCTCACACATCTCCAACGCTATTCTGAAGCTGTCCACGTGTATTTGGCCATCTTAAATAACCCTCGCTTTGTGAGCAAATATGGCAAAGGGGCGTACGAGCTCTGGAGTGAGATGGTAGATCTCTTGGTCGAACATGCTACCCGATTCGTAGAGTCTGAAATCGATGCAGAACGCCTCATCCGCACCGGGTTAGCTCGATTCCCTGACCAGAGGGGCAAACTATGGTGTGGCCTTGCTGCGTACTGGGTAAGGAAAGGCTCCCTTGATCATGCAAGGGACATCTTCGAAGAAGGAATAACAACTGTCATGACTGTGCGAGATTTTGCTCTCATCTTCGACTCGTATGTGCAGTTCGAAGAGTCTGTAATCGACAGTTTGATGGAGTCAACGGAGCACCACCACGCCGACGCAGATTTTGAACTTGATCTCAGGATCATGCATTTTGATCAGCTCATGGACCGCCGTCCTTTTCTGCTGAATGATCTTCACCTTCGACAAAACCCGAATAACGTCGCAGAATGGGAGAAACGAGCTATTCTTTGGGGAGATAATGCAGCAGAAGTGATTCGAACATATACAGATGCTATAGTTGCCATCCAGCCAAGAAAAGCGTACGGAGCCTTCCACCAACTTTGGACAAATTACGCCAAATTCTACGAAAAGGGAGGTGACCTACAAACTGCTCGTGTCATCATGGAGAAGGCAGTCAAGGTGCCGTTCAAATCAGTCGCCGAACTTGCGGACATGTGGATCGAATGGGCTGAGATGGAGCTCCGCAATGACAACTTTAATGATGCTGTTCGCGTCATGGCGAAGGCTGTACAGGCGCCGAAGCGCTCCACTGTGGACTATTTCGATGAGAATTTATCCCCGCAACAACGAGTTCACAAGAGCTGGAAACTATGGAGCTTCTACGTTGACCTGGTTGAAAGTGTTAGCTCACTCGACGAAACTAAGAAAGTATATGAGCGCATCTTTGAGCTCCGAATTGCGACGCCGCAGACGGTCGTAAATTATGCCAGTCTTCTCGAGGAACACAAATACTTTGAAGAATCCTTCAAAATTTATGAGCGAGGCTTGGATTTGTTCAGCTACCCTGTCGCGTTTGAGTTGTGGAATTTATACCTTGGCAAGGCAGTGGATCGCCGCATCAGCATCGAACGCCTGAGGGACCTCTTCGAGCAAGCGATCGAAGGTTGTCCCGCCAAATTTGCAAAGGTCATCTATTTAATGTATGGGAATCTGGAAGAGGAAAGAGGCCTTGCCCGACATGCAATGCGGATCTACGAGCGAGCAACTCGTGCCGTTGCTGACGAAGACCGTGCCGACATGTTCAATTTTTACATCACCAAATCAGCATCTAACTTCGGTCTACCTTCAACCCGTCCTATCTACGAAAAGGCTATATCAACGCTTCCAGATACTGAGGCGAGGGATATGTGTCTTAAATTTGCTGACATGGAGAAGCGTCTTGGAGAAATCGATCGAGCGCGTGCCATCTATGGTCATGCATCTCAGTTTTGTGACCCGAGAACCAATCCCGATTTTTGGTCGAAGTGGGAGGCATTCGAAGTTCAACACGGAAATGAAGACACGTTCAAAGAGATGTTGCGTATCAAGCGTAGCGTTCAGGCCCAGTATAACACTGACGTCAATTTTATTGCTTCGCAGGCAATTGCTCGTGGACATGCGCAGGAGATTCCCGGGGTAGAGGGGATTGATGATGCGATGGCAATGTTGGAACGACAAGCCAAGGCGCCGGCCGGCTTCGTTGCCGCAAAACATCACGGTGTCGTGAATCAGAACTTGAGCACTACGACGCAAAACTCAGCCAACCCTGATGTCCTCGACATCGATGATATTGACGATTAGCCCTATAACTGTAGCGTAGTGTCCTTTCCACCGCAACATTTATTTTGTCGCATCTACTATGCTTAAATATCAATTCGTTTTCTCACATTTATTATGCCTCCACGAACTTGTAGACCTTTGCACAGGCCGAAAATACTAATAAGTAAATAAGAGCTATCTTCTAGAGATAGTAATTCTAGGTAGAATATAAGGGTATTATCATATAGAGTGAGGAGGTATAATATATATAAACTAATAGTGAGAGAGTAGAGAGTAAGAGGTAGAAGGTAAGGTAAGTATATATTTCTAGCTTCACTAATCACTACCCCTCTTCCTTCTCCTCCTTCATCCTCCTTCTTATAGTTAATCTCTATAAACCTACTATCTCCTTCCTTTAATAGATATCTTTTTTTCTTACTTTCCTATCTCCTTACCTAGTAAAAGGGTCTCTATAGGTTCACTCTTATATAAGGTCTTTAGCTAACTCATCTAGTTTATTTTTCTCTATAGGTAGACCTCTAGTAAGTCCCCTATAGGGCTCTTTTCATAGTAGGTCCTAGGTTATTCTAGCTAGGGCCTGTTGGTGACCCTCTCGCTCCTTTTATTGTAAGGGGATATGCAGGGCACACTTAAGCAGGGGATAGTGTTATTATGGGAAGGGCTTATAGAGCCTTCCTTTAACTTAGGCTCTATGTTTATACCTCTAAGTACTTTTATATTTCATTTCTACCCTCTAGCCTGATCTACTAGATAGCTGACTCGTTCCTACACCCTCTCTGGCCCTTCGCCGGAGCTAGGTTCTAGCTGAGATGTTGGTCTTAAACCAGCTTCCCTCGGTTGCTGGCGGGTCAGGTAATCTGCGCAACATTAAGTGCGCATGGAGCGGGCGCGCAGTACGGACTAGGCTAGCTGAAGGTCGGCGCTGCCTGGTCCTTCTGAACTATTCCTTTATATTTATCCTAATATAGAAACTAAGGGTAAATAAGAAAAGTATTATAAGTAAGAGAGTAAAGATATATTATATATAAAAATAGAAGGAATCTTTTATTAGCTAGAGAGAATAACTAATGCTTTTACTACTTTACATCTAATATTATAGCTTTTATTATAACTATTATATCTTATAAAAAGTAATATTTAATAACCTTCAAGAATTAGTAACTTTTATAATAATTAGAGATTACTATATCTCTCTAATAAGATAATAATAGCTTAGCTATTAGTAAGCTAGTTAGTATAGCTTTTAGTTAGAATAGTTAAAATTAGTAATATAAGAAAAATATTTTAATATATATTTATTATTTTTTTTTCTATTATTAAATATAACTTATAAACTTACTTTAAAAATTTTAAAAAATATATTTAAATTATAAATTATATCATTAATTTTTAAAATTTCATTTCTTTTAAATTTATATAATAATAATTAAATTATATAGTTTTATATAATTATTATTCTTACTGAGGTATTGTTTAGTAGAATAGATGTGCGCCTGGTATAGATATTATATTAGCTCTCGAATGTGCATCGATAACTCGTTCATCGATTATGTCAGCATATCGGCGAACATGCTGGAAAAGACAAGTTTGAGAGAAGCATACTCCCAGAACATTTTACATTAGACCCCAATCTGAAGCGAAAGAGCCGCTCGGAGGACATGCGACAGGTTGTGCGGCGACCGCGGATGTCGTGCACCGCTCTCTCTGCCCATGTCTTTATCATGAAACGGAAGTTAAACTCATACCAGGAGGTCTGTATCTCCAAGCGCCAGGCAGTCACAATGGCATTGCCCATCCAACTCACTCCAAGTGAAGAGCGCCTTAAACTCCTTCTTCTAGACGTGGCTTCATTTATAAATACGACACGGCCTAGCCCTCGCCCTGTGCATCTGCGCTGGGCAGGTGGTTGGGTCCGTGATAAACTTCTTGGCATTGAGACGCATGATATTGATGTAGCGATCAATTGCATGACAGGAGAGGATTTTGGCCGGCAGCTTGGTCAATTCTGCGATCTGCCGTCGACAATTGAGAAGTATGCGATAACAAAGAAAGACCTAGGGAATCTCCACACTATCAAAGCGAATCCCGCCAAGTCAAAGAATCTTGCAACAGCAACTTGCCGCTTGTTCGGCGCGGAGGTTGATTTCGTCAATCTACGAAAGGAAGTCTATACTGAAAAGAGCCGGAATCCCGAGATCGAGTTTGGTAGCCCTCAAGAGGATGCTCTCCGGCGAGATGCCACAGTTAATGCACTGTTCTATAACCTACACACCAGCCAAGTCGAAGATTTTACGAGTGGCATTTCAGATATGAAGGCTAAGCTCATCAGAACACCATTAGAGCCTTTTCAAACCTTTATGGATGACCCTCTCCGTGTTTTGAGACTGGTGAGGTTTGCCAGCCGCCTTGGGTTCGCAATTGACAAGGAGGCTGAGCGGATGATGGGGATTCCCGCGTTCTAGAGGCTTTCCAGGCCAAGATCAGTCGTGAGCGAGTTGGCATTGAGGTAAAGAAGATGCTCGAAGGTCGGTTTAGCTTAGTCCCAAACATTGAACAAAACCTTCTCTTTGATCACCATGTTGACGATACTGGTAGGCAAACGACCGCATACCGCCCTTAGCCTTATTGACAGGCTCGGCCTCTATCATGCGATCTTCAAAGATCCTTCAGCGGCCCGCTCGCCTAGTCCTGACGTTTCCACATGGCACATAGCATATAACCTTTGCGTGACCTACAATCAGATAGCCTGCCGGGCAACTCTTTGTATCGCAAGATTGTTCAGGGCGATAATGATCTTTACCTTTCTTGGACTCTTACTGCATTTACGCCTTGGGAATACCTCCAAGGCTCGCGGCTCTCTCCTAGCAAATCAAAAGCATTACTTATCTCCCCATCATGAAAGCCGCAAAGGATGGAATCAAGGCAAATAATAAGCTATGCAGCGCTCTTGGTGCATCGCATGTCAACAGGACGAGTATCTTGGCCTTAAAGAAGCTAGTGGATGCCGAGGGTGAGAATTTCAACCAGCGCAGTTTATTTGCGATGGCGATATGCAAGTGGGAAGGTTGTGGAGGCCCTTGGAAGCTGCAGGTTCTTTACTGTATCCTAGTCGAGGCGATGGGCGTGCTGCAGACCGGGGTGGAACCCCCGAGTGAGTCGAACATCTTCCATATCGCCCTTGCACCTTCTAATCAACATGAAACTTAGGTCTTCAATCATTCCTCGCAGGATGGGAAAATTCTTTGACCATCTCGTTTTAATGGACGTCGTAGACGCAGCATCGATCAAACCCCTGGTTGAAGGGCACTCTTTAGCTCGGTCGCTCAATATGAAACCAGGAAGATGGATGAGCAAGGCTCTCGAAGCTTGTCTCGCATGGCAATTCGACCATCCCGAGATTACAAACGCGGATGATATAATCCAAGTAATCAAGAGTCGAAAAGAAGAACTTGCCATTCCAGATAGCTAGGTGTAGGCATTGTAGTTCAAAATAATGACGACTTGGGACGCTACTCCACCATTAGCATCGGTCTAAATCTCATCGTGATGATTGCTCAAACGCATCGCTTACTGGGGGTTTTATTCTAGACTCAACAGATTCGACATATGTTACGAATTAGGAAGATAAGTTATATCACACATAGGTTCTTGATGGCTCGTGGCTCGTGGCTCGTGGCTTGTCGGGATATGCAATGTTGTCGATAAGGGTGTGTGGGTATGACGTAATCCAACCGTGGCCAATATAGCCCCAGCTCAGTCCTCTTCCACTCGTCTTCACTGGACCACCGCTCCGGACCAAAGCGGTCAGAGCTTGAAGCCAGCAGCCAACCCATCGTGATGGGGAATGAGCATATGCCTGCACGCTCTAGTGCAGACCACTCCTCGATCAACCAAGCTCCGATTCCATCTTCTTCTCCCGTGACGGCCTCTGCAATTGAACCATCATTCCCTGAACTTCGCAACGACGATGTCGAATCCCCTACTTTTTGATGGGTTGCCTAGAAACTCTACGGAGGATGACAACGATGATGAGCCAGCAATCGCCAAACCTTTCGCCCGGTTATCAAGCCCTAATCAGGGCACACGAGGAGTTGACCTCGAGGACGACAAAACCGGGGTGTCCGCCGACTACAAAATGCATAAATTCAGTTTATATGAGACCGCTACTCGGTACTATATAGTGGGCGGTGATATGACGGAGAGGCGCTACCGTATGCTGAAAATTGATAGAACTACGGATGACTCGGACTTAAGCATTACAGACGATAAGATTGTTTACAGCCAGCGTGAAATGAATCAGCTTCTCGATACTATCGACCATGGGAACAAAGGAACCGGAGGGATGAAGCTACGGTGCACCACTTGGGGCATCCTTGGGTTCATCAAGTTCATGGGGCCATATTACATGCTCTTGATCACTAAAAAGTCTACGGTGGCAATGATTGGTGGGCACTACATCTATCAAATCGAGGGAACTGAGCTGGTCCCATTGACTACAGCCAAGTTCAAGCCCGATGGTAGAAATGCGGAGGAGCTTCGATTCTTGGGTATATTGAATAACCTTGATCTCACACGGTCTTTTTACTACAGCTATTCCTATGATGTTACCCGAACTCTGCAATACAACTTGTCCCGAGACAGAGCTACCGCATCGACCCAAGACCCTTCCGGCTGTATTAGCCACAGCTTCAATTCCATGTTTGTTTGGAACTCGCACCTACTCCATCCTGCTGCAGAAGCTCTGAGAGACCCCTTTGACTGGTGTCGTCCCATAATTCATGGTTACATTGACCAAGCAGGTAGGCGATTCACCACCTACCATATCCCAAACGACTGACTGACTGAATTCACAACCTCATAGCTCTTTCCATATATGGACGCACCGCCCACATCACCATCATTGCCCGAAGGTCAAGGTACTTCGCAGGAGCGAGGTTCTTGAAGCGTGGCGCCAACGACCTGGTAAGTTGATATGCGTGGCGCACTTATTGTATCAGCTCTAACGGTAGACAGGGGTATGTGGCCAACGATGTAGAAACAGAGCAAATCGTATCAGAGGCACTTACGACATCATTTCATGCACCGGGCCCGCGCCTTTTTAGCAATCACCAATTCACATCCTACGTGCAACATCGAGGAAGCATTCCTCTCCATTGGACGCAAGAAACTGCCGGTGTAACCCCAAAGCCACCCATCGAGCTTAATCTTGTAGACCCATTCTTTAGCGCTGCAGGCTTACATTTTGATAACCTCTTCGAGCGCTACGGCACCCCCATCTACGCGTTAAATCTTGTGAAGGCAAGAGAGCGTACGCCGAGAGAGTCAAAACTGCTGTTCGAATATACCAATGCTATTCATTACTTAAACCAATTTTTACCGGACAACAAGAAAATCATTCACAAAGCCTGGGATATGAGCCGTGCGGCAAAGAGCCATGACCAAGACGTTATCCGCACCCTAGAGTCAATCGCGGAAGAAGTTGTGACAACTACTGGATTTTTCGGAATGGGGATGGACTCGCCGTTCCAGGGCGAGCACAAAACGGTGTCGCGCGCACCAATTGTATCGATTGTTTAGATCGAACGAACGCCGCTCAGTTTGTGATCGGTAAGCGAGCTCTCGGGCACCAGCTCCACGCCCTCGGTTTCTTAGAGGATACATCTATAGAATACGACACGGATGCCGTCAACCTCTTCACACACATGTACCATGACCATGGAGACACCATCGCTGTCCAATACGGCGGTTCTCAGTTGGTCAATACCATGGAGACTTACCGGAAAATCAATCAATGGACCAGCCATTCTAGGGACATGATTGAAAGCTTCAAACGATATTACAACAACTCGTTCCTAGATGGCCAGCGTCAGGAGGCATACAATCTTTTTTGGGCAACTACAAGTTCGTTCAAGGGCAACCGATGCTCTGGGACCTCGCCACGGACTATTATCTTCACCATTCCGACCCAAGGTCATGGGTTGATAAGATACGGCGAGAATACGTTCAATGGTACACCCCCAGCACCTCATAACCCGAACGCCCCCAAATTCCTGAAGGTTTCGCACAATAGATCAAGAACTCGCTATTCCAGAGGTGATGATTACTGGTTAGAGTACTACCGGCCCTCAACTCTATCGTCTTTCATAAAAATGTTCCCTTATAAGATGAATTCTACCATAAAATATATCCCATTCCGATCCTCACAGATCGGAAAATACGATCTCAGTCCGTTTCGCGTTCGCATTAGCCAAGACATCGACGACAGGGATAAGCCAAAAAACAAACGGGAGTTGACTATCATCTCAACAGTAGAGCACCATATTCCCCGCCCACGCCACCACCTCTGAGGAGGCAATACGTCACTAGGGGCACGCGGGATATCCATCCAAAAGTGGCTACAACCGAGTCGCGACGGGTCACCCGCTGGCCCCAATAATCAAGATGTCGAACACAACTTGGATGCACCCAAACAGAAACAAACCGCTCTCGAAAAATCCAGGGCGGCGCAGTGGACATTTACAAAGAGCGTACGTGAGTCTTTAGACCCCACTGTCAGTGCCTCGGAGATGGAGGATTACGCGAGATATATCGCCCATCCTCAAAATCTCCCTCTTGTCATATCCGCCAGTCTACCAGAAGAGTACGACTCGGAATATCAGGATTATGTGCTGGGAAATTGGCAGGTGATGGGTTCTTCCGCTGCCGATGGGGAAGACGAGGGCCATGTATACACAGAATTACTGAGGGTTGGCGATCACCCGTTGACCGTAACGGAGGAAGATGGAGAGAAAAAGCGCTATAAAGCGTATCGTAAGTGGCTGCGAGGGAAATCCTTTTTCAAACAACAGCCTGTTGACTAGCTTTTATTTCCTCATTTTCCGGTTTGTAATATTCCGGGTTGCTCTTTAGAATACCCAGTCCACATCTTTGGGGAGACAGCAGCGTAACTATGCTTTGCAAGTTTGTCTTACAGTCGCTAGCCTGGGGCGGTAGTGAGGCAAATTCATGAGAGAGAAAACCAGATTGACACAGCGTACAGGCCCGAAGGAGCTGGGGGCCATATTCATCAAGGATTATTGGCCAGCAATGGATCGCCATGGATCGCAAAAGCTTCGCCACAGCGGCTACACACTGTTCATCCTTATTCAAGAAGGGGTCCGTCAAAGCCGAGATACTCATGGCTACAAGATCCTACAAATCTAGTAAGGAGGGAAACGCCATGGGCAAGGAAGGCAGAAAGAACATACTGGAAGGTGCTTCGCCGAACGGATTCCTAGCTCAGCAGCGATTGTTTCTGCTTGGCGAAATACAAAACTTATGGCCTCGGAATCCTGGGAAAGATGCGAGTATGACGGCAGCAAGGCATCCCTTAGCAAGCGGTCCAAGAGCTTCCGTTTTAAAGAAGAACCGACAGCATCTTCGGTTGGGATACAAGCTAGCGAGATTATTGCCCTGTAGGCCATTGTCGCCATATGAGAATATTCAGCTGCGGCAGTGTGAGTGGGTGGCAAGAGGTGGAGTACTGGAAAAATCACGTCTTCCAAAACGGAAACGGCGCCACTCTTGACGAGAACTTGTGAAGGGCACTTTGAGATGAACATCTCTACCAGGTGAAGACCTTGACTCTTAATCTCGGTGAGCGTGTCCTCTAAAAGGGCCAACAAGAGAGGTAAGTATAGGGGCCAGTTCTTCCCTATGAGCTTATCCTAGCAAGGTGTCAGAAGCCTTCTATTCATTTCAGTGGTGAATGGAAAGGAGTTCATCTACGTTAGACTCGGCGATTGCCCACTGGAAAAGAGGAAATATGGGACTATTGCCTGTCCAGGACACCACATCTGACTTCGCGAGGGGCTGGATACCTCCGCCAGTTCCGAATTGTGCGATGCGTTCCGCAGATGACAGTTTGAGGGATCGTCGGAAGTCAAGATATGGCTTGATTATGTCGCCCAAAATAGTCGATACGATGAAGGTATCCTTGTCATGGCTGGAAAAGTGACAGTCTAGTGTCCGCGATGCAAGGAGGGCAGCTGAGTGGTTCGACCATGTGGCGGCAGGATCTGTGTACGCGACTATGGCTATTATATCGTCTGTTCTCAAGCAAAACTCGGGGCATGGTCTAAGTCTTTCAATAGCTGAGAGAGAAAGCTCTGCTAAGCCCGCACTCTCAGCATCAGATTTCCGGGATAGGAATGTGATGAAAAACGTAATAGTGCTTGGAAGATCTATAAATTTCTGAAAAGATGAAGGCTCTAAACTCTTCACTTGTTCTGAAAGGGCCTGAAGAGACTAGAGCATTACTTATTAGTATAGGGCCAACTTGGAATTAAGTTAGGCGACCATAGCATACATGAGCCTGTTCGTTTCCAGTTAGCTTAGATATATAGCATCGGAACCTCAGGAAGGTCGGTTCTAATTGAGAGGCATCTATTAGTGGCAGCTCCCCGCGGATGTAGTAGTCGCCCAGCGAACTTGCCAACGGGCACAGAATCTGGTACTATTTCCGATGGCCTTGAACTGGCCTGTGCATCTTGTTCCAGCATTGTTATATCTAGAGGAGCAACCCGCTCGCAGAAAACGTTAAACTCGGGTTTGCTCTAATAGTTCGGGTGCCGATGCTAGAGATAGTAGACAACGCGGCTGTCCTGGTGTTGTACACTTGAGAAGATCAAGCGCAGTGCAGCCCCGATCAAAGGCCACCAGCCTTCACAATGTTGTGTTGTAGCTTTGCTGGACCACCAGCTGGCTATTAGAGAACCAGTTGGTACGCTGTGCGTGGACCTGTTGGCGGTCCAGGGCTGACTGGAGCACCACTGTTGGTGGGAGAGGACACTGGCGTGACTGGTTATAATGGAATGGATCATTAGTTGACGTGGATTTGATTGATCAATGGTTGATGTTCCAACAATTGAAACTTGAGTTCAAAATTTATGACATATCTTTTAAAAAATATGGGTTATAAATATCATGTTTTGTATACTCTACAATATAGTAGGTAATCATTAACTAGATTTATATGGTCTAGTCTTATTAGTTCAAGTAGCATCGTCTTACTAGTTAAACACGGATTTTTATTTGAATTTATGTTCTTATTTTTATCTCAGTTCTTGATAACTATATCCTCGTAATGATTTAAAAAGTCCGCTTCTCTTCATAAGTAGGCTATTAGCTAGCTCGAATAGCCGTGGATTTTGTGCGAGTCCAGTTTTCTTAACTTCCTGCAAGTTGGCTCATGCTTATTGTTTTGCTCCATGATTGGGTGAGGAAGCGATCAATGCTGAGAAACCCAGCGCGCTCCGGTTTGCATCTCTTAATGGGCTTTCCGGATACCAGCATAACGGTTGCCTAGGCACCTTCCCTTTCGACACCTCTCTTGGCAACAATGCCCAGCTTGACGCAACAGATATCAAGCGTCTATTGATTGCGAACCCTTCTCTTCTTTATATGTTCGCATCAACGCCTGCCTATCCTAAGAACTATTTTTGAATTATCGGGGATCTAACCTGGCACTCTTCGTCTTTGCTTCCCATGTCTAGTCATGGCTCGGCGATCATGGCGGAGAAGATTATGATCGAGAGTGGCCACACTACGGCCTCAACCACCTCACAACAAGATCTATCTGAGCTTCCTGCCAGTGACACGCTCCTCCCGGATCGATCAGTGACCCCCACCATATTCGGGCCCCACGACTCATATTTCAAGACTGGACAGTCAACAGCGAAGCAGGGGCGAGCGTCAGGTTTATCCCGGACTGCCAAAGGTTGATTACCAACTTTACTCTCCTCCCTTGTTTGAGCTGTCGCCAGACTGTACCACCCTGTCATCAAAGGCACAATATTTAAGCGCATCTACGACGGCCTTGGTCGACCTAGTTCACAGCCAAGCCAGCGTGCCACCCAAACCCCAGATACACATCATTGGCTCTCGAGGCAGAAAAGTTGATTTCGATATTAAATTCAATCTAATGAGTACTATTTTCCCGGAAAACACCAATCAGCGCATGGACTACATTCGCTGCGTGGCGAACGGGGAGGTAGCTTATCGTGGAGGCTTGAAGCCGGATGTCCTCCCTGAAGTAGGTGATAGCAGTGTTGAGGAATGGTGCCGACGATTCATTGAGGATCCTGCGCAGGTCAAATCATTTACCTTGAATAGGGTAGTTGCCAACCTCGACACACCCTGGATTGAAGGCCAACTTCGCAGCCTGATCGCCTCGACCGGCTACAAAGGTGTGGTGACAGTGACGTTTCCAGTAACGCACGCCCGTGTCGTGATACAAACGCCGGACAGAGTCAATCGATTTTTACTAGCGTTACGACCTTGTTCTCGGGGAAGAACAAGTATGAGGTTGTACAAGCAGTGTGGCCTTTGCTACATCTAGAAACGGGACGGACGGGCGACGATGTATCGTACAAAGCGAGGCCACCTGGTGGAAAGAATGGAAAGATTCTTTGAGGTATGCTGTTGCCACCAAAAGACGCGGTTGGGTTACCAACGAAGACAAGCTAGAGGCTCTCATGGAAGGAAAGGGGAAGGGGGTGGCTGTAGTTGACTGGGGGCCAGATATCGAGTAGCTGACATGCGGGGAATAGCCGCGAGCAGGCTGCTGGCCTTGGGAGAAGGGGCAACCAGGTGGAGGCTCATTTGACTCTTGCAACACATCTATGCCATTTTTGAAAGTTCTTCCTAATTTTATTACTGGGCAGAGTACTTGCAGTTGAAGAGGTTTTGTTGGTAGGTGGATGGTGGTGGAGGAGTCAGAAAAATGTGGGGTTCGGCGGGGAGTCATCGCGTGAGGGAAGCTCGATCTTGGACTCGATTTCGCGGGGATACCACGCGATTTACTAAGTTCCAAATATTTTGAAAGCTCGGCGGTGAAGCCATAGTATGTTAGCTTTCAAAACCCAGCCACGAATGTGTTGATCTCTAGATCTATACCATCATATTTTAAGAGGGGAAATGCCCCTTTCTCAAATGTGTGGTGCATCAGGCAGCCACGGATCTTCTAGCCTCTCCTTGCCTCACATCTCAGCAGAAGGGGCTTTTGCAATATATATAGCCTTCTCCTGTGATTGCGCCGTCACTCATCTTCGCCAAAACAACCGTTTTCCACCCTTCCCATAATTCCCGCATCGCGTCCCTACCGACAATGGCCCAAAAATTCCCCGTTAACTGTTGGGATACAGCTCTCTGCCTCGTCCCACCGAGGTCTATCTGTCATCCTGTTGAGGCATTGAGATCGATGTACGACCCAGCATATCAGCTGTGGCCACCCCATATCAATCTTATCTATCCTTTCGTCCCAGTTGCGGCTCTTGACCAAGCAATGGATAAAATTTTGGCCCATTTCAAAACGGACAGCCCCTCGCTCGGATCAACTTCTATTCACATAAGCCTAGATTCCGTTGGCGAATTTGCACATAAACACTCGAAAACTATCTATATGTACGACAGTAATCCCACCCATACTGAGGCCTTGGTGGCACTTCGTCTTGCCATCCTGCAAGCGCTGGGAATCCAGGATCTTAACAGAGACTCCCAGATGCATATGTCAATAGCTTCTGTAAACGCCAAGGATGTGGATATGGGGAATATAATTTTCGAAAAGGTGCGGCTCTCGCCAGCAATAACGTGGTCAGCGGACCGGCTAGTGGTTCTCAGAAGGATTACAGGTCCGTCTTCAACAAAGATGCAATTCTGGAAATGCATGGACCTGAAGCCGCCAGCAATTTCTTGTGAACCCGGAAACATGCACTGGCAAAGTCACGACGCCATGCATGAATTCGGGCCACCGCTGGCCGTGCCGCGCAAAACATATGAGTATTGTGATATCCAGCAAAGATGGACCGTCATGAAATCAGCCTCGGGAAACCCCAAGAACATGCCAGATGCCCTGGTAGTCGCATCTTATAATGTTCTGGCTGAATTCACCTGGCCACCTTGCCAAGATCGATATCCGTCCTTAATTCAGAATCTGCTGGCGAAAACGGCACAATCGGACATAATCGTCCTCGAAGAAGTTACAGATGACTTTCTATCCACTCTCCTGAGAGATGGCCGGATCCGCGTACAATACCCCATCTCAAGTCACGGCCCACCTGAGCAGGATGATCTCGAGCCTCTTCCTAGCCTCCTCAACCAAGTGGTCCTATCACGGATACCTTTCAGCTGGGAGCAACTCCCGTTGAAGAGATGTCACAAAACTTCTGTCATTGCAAATTTCCAGGGCCTGGAAGCTCCAGGTGAACGTTCCCTGATTCTCGCAACATGTCACCTCTCGCGGGGCCTTACAGACGGTGCTGTCACAGCGAAACTAGCAGAACTACAAAGGATAACGGACCATCTTAGGAACCGATGGGGAGATCACCCGTGGATTATAGCGGGAGACTTTAACATTGCCACATCCCAAATAACGATAAGGACTGCTCTAGAGAATAGGGCTGTTTCAAAGCAGCTCATGGCACGCATGTGCTCCATAGACGATGTCATGCGTGGTTTTGGTTTGATCGATGCCTGGATGCTCGCAAGGTGCGGGGCGGGCGAGTCTTCAGATGACCTGCGCCATTATAAAGATGTCTGGGATTCATTTGAAGGAGAACAGGGAGCCACCTTTGATCCAACCGAGAACGACCTCGCGGCAAAGACGGTCGGCGATGGGGCCAGTAACCGTCCTCAGAGGTATGATAGAATCTTCGTCAAGCCGCGAAAGGCGTTTACCGTTGCTGGGTTCAACATTTTTGGGTTCCCCTCTGAGGGAGGGTTTGAAGGCCAGCCGCGTATCACTACCGCAAGCGATCATTGGGGAATCAGGTGCTTGCTTCGTGGACCTACCTCTTCATCTACGCTTGATAGCTCGGGAGGATCGCTCCCCCATATGCGCCCTGTTCTCATAAAACATTGCGGGCCCGGGCTGGACGATCCGGAGGTCTTACGGACCCACCTTCGAAATCTCGGCAGCTTTCCCACAGAAATAGACGAGATCGTTCGCAGCCAGGCGTTTGCGACACTAGAATCCACCATAATGGATGCTTTTGGAAGAAGCCAGCCCTCTAATAGCCAGACCGAGTGGAAAATGTCGTTGGTTGTAGCAGTGGTTGGTTCCTATGCCCTAGGCACCTGGGATAAGGATTCGGATATCGATTGCCTCTGCATTGGGCCTTTCAGTTCACAGAGTTTCTTTTCCGTCGTTATCCCTTACTTCCGGCGGTCAGGGAGATTAAGATCATGCGAAGGGTGAAAGCCAATACTGGGTTCATGCTCGAACTTGAGGTTCACGAGATACGAGTCGACCTCCAGTACTGTGGAGCCGCGTCAATAGCAGAAAGGTAACGTAACCTGTGATTTTGGGTATTGCAGATCTCCCTTTCGGTAGTAGGACTGACCCATACTCTAGTTGGCCTCACATCCTGAAACGTCCTCTGAAAGACCCAGCATTCGCTCTTCCTTCCCAAGTTTTACTCAAATTAAAACCGGCAAGAGATGCGGCGTATCTCAAGAGGTCAATCCCGGATCTAGCTCAATTTCGTCTAGGTTATATGCTCATCAAAGCGTGGGCAAAGAGTAATGGCATTTACGCCGCGAAGTTCGGATTCTTGGGCGGAATTCATATCGCCTCTATGTTGGTCCCAATCTGTAAGGCCTTGCGGCTTTCTCATTCTTCTATCTCTGTGCCTGACGTGATCACAACATTTTTCGACTATTACTCAGGATTGGATTGGAAGCATCAAATAATTTTTGACCCGTTCTTTCACAAATCTCTCAAATATAACAGAACCTCTAGAGAGGCCATGTGCATTCTTGGGTGGCATGGGCCTTCGCTTAATACTGCTTTAGCAGCGTCACTGTCTACGGCTAGGATTATATCGCAGGAAATCCAGCGAGCTAACTGCCTTATCTCGGAGACGGGGATGACATGGCCACGGTTCTTGGGCACCGAGATAATTGATGGAAGCGGCGAATCGGTTGCGCAAGGCCACAGTAATGCAACCTCCTTTCTTGAGAACTTCAAAAGCTATGCGAAGATTGAGGTTCATTACTGGGGTCCCTCCCTGGCAAAAGGAAAGAGGTTTATTGGTTGGCTAGAGTCCCGCTGTGTGCAGATATTAGTGGGTGAGTCTGACTGAATCTCAGAATACATCTTCCGCCCTTTCTAGTGATGAATGTAGCTAATTGTGCCTCTTTCGGGTTTCATCTTAGATATCGACCGGCGCATCCCGGGGCTTTTGACCCGGATATGGCCTGCTAGATTTATTGAAGCCCAGCCGGAGATCGAAGCTCAACTAGGGACAAGGTGTGAGGAGGGTAACCCAGAATATCATGGGTGTATCCTAGTTGGGCTTGAGTGGGACGCTGTGGAAGATGGCCTGAGGACGAAAGCGGATCTAAGAGAAGCGAAAGCTACGCTATTGACGATCCTCGACGCATTTGAAAGCCGCATACGTGGAGACAGTACGTACTACGACGGGAAGGCCTGTTGGGTATCGACAAAACTAGTGCACCAAGGAGAAGTTAAGGGGCTTCAACTTGATACTCGACAGTGGGCGGAGTACAGTGGCTTGGAGGACGACACCGATTCCGACTTCGGCGATGACTCTGATGGACTTGATGATGAGAATGAAGACGCGCAGGCTATAGATTCTCTAATTCACAGGCCGGCGCCGCTGCCTTGCGTTGGAATTAGCCAGGGTAAGCTGCGAACCGCTGCTGACGTTATCAACCGTCTACGGTGGGATGAAGCTCTGGATGCTGGAGACTTCGTTGTTGGTTATGAGGACAGGTTTGTCGGGATAAAAGAACGCCCCCTTGAGGATTGGACAGGCGAGCAAACTGATGAGGAATTCATTCCACAACACCGAATCCAGTATTTTAAGCGGAGGAGTGATGGCATGCGACTGTGGGACAGGAATTCCAGGACTGACCTCATATTCGGTAGTGGTGCGGACGGGCAACCAAAAACTGACCCTGAATAAGAAAGAGGGCCAGAGGCCCGGGGAGGGGCGAGACAATGGAACGTATGCCACATAGCGGGAAATGTAGAGTCTTGATCTCTAACCGAGTTTGACTTGTCATTCTGTCGTCGAAATGAGGTTCGGCGGCAAACAACTAATAGGTCACAGCCCATGAAGGGTTTGTTAGAGGGCCTTCAGCTAACGCCTGTATAACAGCAAGCACCATGTTGCGTGTATCTACTCGATGTGTGGCGTACGAAACGAGATCTCTTTTTGACATCGCTCACGACCCTGCCGCTTGAGCCACGCGTCACCAAGTTGACCGCTTTGTTCCACGGCGGCGCTGATACTCCATTGATACTCGAGGACCGGCGTGGGATGGTAAAAATATACACAGGTCCAGAGGTCCCTGGGGATTTCATAGTTACGAGTCGCTTATTACACCATCGCCAATGGCTCCAAGTACCAATGTAGCTTCATAAAAGCCCTCCAACTAACAAGCGTTGACCTATGAGGCGAAGAGGTCGAAGGCTAGTAAAGGCTCATAAACACAGCAGAAATTGATGATTTGTCATACTTGACATGTTTGCCTTTTCCTTTGTCAATCTCATGATATCGGTCCCAGAAGCGATTGTAAAGAGGCTCAAGCATTTGTTGTATCGCTCGGGCGAAAATCTTGCGGACCTCTCTCTCCATACTGTAAGTCCGATGGCGGGAGATCATTTCATCGAAACTAGAGTTGAACGCCTGGAATTTCCCTTTTATGCTGTCCCTATCCTTGGTAGATAGGCCTTTGAGAATAGAGGCAGAGTCTGCTTGACTTGAGGTCGGCCGTTGTGCACGGCTTGTGTGGATTACATCGAATAAGTGGGCTGATATGTCTTTGCATGTATCCGTATAAAGTGCGGTGGCCTTTTTCTCCACTGGTCGAGCATTGATATGCGAGACTCTAAAGGTGGAAGGAGGTCCGACTCACGGATCATGCGTTCGATAATGATCACGCAGTTACCTAGAAACACGCCCTGAACAGACTTCCCCTTAGGAGAGTGCCGGCCTTTTGATTTAGGGATGTTAAAAGAGCATCAAGGGTATCGGTGCAGTAGTTCGAGAAAATTTCTTTTCCATCAGCTCCGATGTCGAAAGTGGCAAGGCTTGGGGCGCGGTCGCCCCCACGTTTGCCTATACCGCTAGATCTCCAGCCTCCATCGCCAAGAGAGATCATGATTCCAGAGATCGCACCGAGGAACTCCGCCATAGTTTGTAGCCTCTGCATGGTCTCCGAAACGAGAGGGACTGGTGCACCATCCGGGGGAGGGTTTGGAGAGTAGAAGCCTTTCTCCGGACATCCTCTAGGATTTCGGTAAGTGATGCCTTTGCTGTCTCCCTGACGGGCTTAAGCGCCGCGGCAAGTGACGGTTTTAGTTCACCGGTTCTAGCTTCTATCCGGGTAGACAGGCTTGACATGACTTCTGTGATTTCGTAGGCTAGGAAACAGTCCGTATTGAGATGTGCCTTTACATGCGTATTGAGTTCTCGCAGAGTCCGGGCGAGCTCTGCCAGCGACGCCTGGCATACTGACTGGAAAAGAGGGCCCCATTCATCACGTGTAAAGATATTACATATGTTGTCATATTCAGCGAGGAACATGCCTTCTAAGGCGGCCGCGTAAGAGCCGATTGCGTTGGTACCGGCCCGATAGTTGGCATCAAGGGTTTTTTGCCGTCGTGACGCTTGCCGTCGCGAGATTGAGAGACTGGATAATAGATACGGGCTCCTAATATCTACGTAAAGCTTACCGATAGATGCGTCCTGGGGGTCGAAACGCTAGACTGACGCAAAATGGCCGCCATAAAGGTATTGATTAGGCCTAGTCGCGCACATTTGTCCTGAGAAAGAACTGGGAAAGACTGGTCTTTCGTGATGAAGTTAAGGACTTCAATTTTTGCAGGCGTTTCTCCCTGAAGGAGCTTTTGGAAGTGGGACTCCAGCAAGTTATTGCCAAATTTGATGAGCCTAGTCAAGTCGGTCATTGTTTGTTGATTCGAGCGGAGGTTTGAGGCTTTCATGTCATTTAGAGATTTACTAAGTCTCTTCATTGATGCTAGGTAGTTCGAAAGCCCAATTTTATCAGGGCCAGCCCGGATGATTTGTTCTTCATCATTTTTGCTGTCCGCTGGTTGCCGAAGCCTCTCAATCGCGGAAATAACATTATCGATATCTGTAACATATTGAGGCCCGAGTCAGCTGTGTTTGTTAAGTGGCAAGAGAATTCACTTACTCTGGCTCAAGGTTTGTAGCTTCCTTGTCTCCCCCAAGGGGGCCAACCGCATCGCGCACACTTTTCCCACTGTCCTCGAGGCGACCAAGGCTGGCCTGGATTCTCTTCGTTAACTGTGCGGTTTTTTCGAGGCGTGAGTTTAGAACATCGACCTCTGCACGAGCTTCCTCGTCAGCTGCATGCCTCCCGCTTGGTATTGCTAAAGACATTCGTCGCGTCGTTGCCAGGGGTTTTGTGGCGTTAATGGCTACGAACTACCTTCAGTTTGCTGGTATCGGGTTGGGGCAGAAGCTTCGAGTCCAAGGATATAAAGCGAAGGGAATACCGAGGTGTAATAAACTGGTCTCTGATTGTTGATTTCAGTCATTGCTGACTGGAACACCTATTTATCCGATGTTGACCCCCAAGAGGGAGGAGCACTTAACGCGTTGTCCTCAAAGAGTCTCGACGCGTGAAACCTTGCCCCTCAATTCGGCCCTGTCGTTTTTACAACCACCTTGGAAGAGCTTTGGTTTGATCCCCACTCGTTGCGATCTCACAATTGCAGACATACGCACCTATACTTATATCGAACACATATTTTGAGGCCTTGTCTGCCTCCCTTTTTCTTTGGCACAATGGACTCGTTTATGTTGCAAGATGAAGCGACTAAAGACCGCATCCGCCAGGCTGAAGAGTTTCTTGACCCGCGTAAGTTATATTGACCCCATTACTAGTATGGTGTAGAATATTGACAAACTCGTCTTGAAGATGACTCTCCTCACAGAAGTTACCGATCCGATATTATCTTGATGCTGCAAAAAAACCAGCGGAGGCTAACCGTGAGCCTGGACGATGTTCGGAACCAAAATCTAGAGCTTGCGCAAGGCCTGTTAGCTCATCCATTTGATTACACGCTGGCATTTAACCATGCCCTGAAAGAGATCGTGAAAACGATACCGCAAGCTAGGCCAGATCAGACCGGCGCTGATGTGCTATACTACTGCGCATGGGCTGGGAGCTTTGGCTCAAATTCTTGCAACCCACGAACGCTTTCTTCACACCACCTAAACCACATGGTGTCTGTGGAAGGGATTGTGACGCGGTGTTCCCTTATCCGTCCGAAGATAACGAAAAGTGTGCACTTCAATGAGGTGAAGAACATTTTTCACTTTCGCGATTACCAAGACCAGACAACGACAAATGGTGTGACGACTTCGAGCGTATATCCTCAGGAAGACGATGAAGGGAATCCCCTTATCACGGAATATGGCTTCTCAACGTACCGAGATCATCAAACTGTCTCGATTCAAGAGATGCCAGAGCGTGCCCCTGCGGGCCAACTTCCACGAGGTGTCGATGTCGTCCTCGATGACGATCTTGTTGACAAGGTTAAGCCAGGTGATAGAGTTCAACTAGTTGGAATCTACCGCTCTTTGGGAAACCGGAACACCAACCACAACAGTGCAGTGTTTAAGACAGTCATATTGGCCAACAATGTGGTGCTGCTTTCCTCCAAATCGGGAGGCGGGCTCGCAACTGCAACAATAACAGATTCAGATATTCGGAGTATCAATAAGATCTCCAAGAAGAAAAATCTTCTGGACCTTCTTTCGCAGTCATTGGCCCCCAGCATTTATGGGCACGATTACATAAAAAAGCCATCTTGCTCATGCTCCTTGGAGGATTGGAGAAGAACCTCGAAAATGGAACACATCTCAGAGGTGACATCAATATTCTGATGGTAGGCGATCCCTCGACCGCAAAGTCTCAGCTCCTACGTTTTGTTCTCAATACTGCACCCTTGGCTATCGCTACAACAGGGCGGGGTCTTCTGGAGTTGGTCTCACTGCAGCTGTTACCTCGGACAAAGAGACTGGGGAAAGGAGACTTGAAGCAGGTGCAATGGTGATGGCAGATAGAGGGGTTGTTTGCATTGACGAGTTTGACAAGATGTCTGACATCGACCGGGTTGCCATCCATGAGGTGATGGAGCAGCAAACGGTTACAATCGCCAAGGCCGGTATTCACACCTCTCTTAACGCTCGGTGTAGTGTCATCGCTGCTGCGAACCCCATCTATGGACAATACGATACTCGCAAGGATCCCCATAAGAATATTGCGCTCCCGGACTCCTTGCTCTCCCGATTCGACCTCCTCTTTGTCGTGACCGACGACGTAGATGATACAAGGGATCGACAAGTTTCAGAACATGTTCTTCGAATGCACCGATATCGCCCTGCTGGTCTTGAAGAGGGTGCGCCGATTCGAGAGAATATGGGACAGTCCTTAGGTGTGGCAGCTAATAACCACGCCGATCCTCAACGTTCTACAGACGTGTTCGAAAAATTTGATCCTCTGTTGCATGCCGGCGTCACAAGAACTTCGGGTCGTGGGCAGAACAAGAAGCCAGAAGTTCTAAGCATTCCATTTATGAAGAAGTACATTCAATATGCGAAGACTCGGATAAAGCCAGTTCTTACGCAGGAGGCGGCAGACCGGATTGGGGAGATATATGTCGGGTTGCGAAATGACGAAATGGAAGGCAATCAAAGGCGTACTAGCCCTCTAACCGTCCGTACATTAGAGACGCTTATTCGGCTTTCAACTGCTCACGCGAAGGCGAGGCTCTCTAATCGGGTTGAACAGCGAGATGCTCAGGCCGCTGAGGCTATTTTGCGATTCGCTTTATTCAAAGAGATCGTGGAGGACCAATCTCGCAAAAAGCGAAGAAAATGCAAGCCGTGGATTGGGCATCTTCAAGTGGCGAGGGCTCAAGCGACAACGACGATGATGATGACACAGGCGATGATTATCGTGGAAGCCAAAGGCCATCGCAAGGAAGACCGACACGCATATCCGCTCGTGGAGGTCCCCAACGCAAACCCCGGGGGCACAGTTCAGCCGACGGCGAATCGCAACCCGAGCACAGCACCATTCACCACAGGGGCTCGTGGTGCCGCCTCGTCAGATGCAACGCGGCTTAGGCATGGGACCCGCCCAACCAGGGGAGGTTCTGTGCAGGACTCACAGTCGTTGCCTTCCTCAGATTCCCCTGCTCTCCTTCGAGATGATGACCAGCTCGCTAGTGATACCGCCAGTTTGATGATAAACATCCCAATCACATCTCAGAGACTTAGCCTATTTCGGGCAACTCTAGGCCAGCTTCTCAACACAACTCTCTTTGAGGATGACGATTCGGCCAATGTTGATGATCTTATCCGCTCTGTTAACCACAAAATTATATCCGCGGGTGGTGAGAGTTATAGTAAAGACGAGGCTATACAGGCCTTGAAGAAAATGGACGAAGCTACGCAAATAATGTGAGTGAAGCCGTCCAAACAACCCCGATAATGAACTTGGACTAACCGCACGGCCCTCGCCTTGCCCTTCCTTCAAAACAGGTTTACTGATGGGGAACTCGTATACAAACTCTAAGTCCCGTTTGGAAGAGGGGGACCGAGGGGTTGGTTATGGAGTAAATCTGGACTCGATCTATAGTGACTGTGGCGTTGGCCATAAATATAAGCGTTACGCAGAGGTGAAGGGGCTTAGATACTCTGACGTGTAACGGCGCTGGTTTTAGGTTATGACTTGCTGCCTTTTAAGTTTCTGCTGAAACTCTTCTAGTCTGCTCTTTACCCTGACGCCATTCCAAACCTCATGACCATCCCTATCTACCCCTAGGGTTGGAAGACCGACCTGCTCTATTGCAAAGCTGGCAGCAATAGTTCCCCAGACTGCAGCGTCTTCAATCTGCTTGCCCCTAGCCAGTGCAACCGAGAGTCCACCAAGGAAAGCATTTCCCCACCCGTGGGATCAACAACTCTTGTTGCATCGCCGTGATATGCGGGTATCCATCTTTCGATTCCCGCATCTATTTCAATCTCTTCCCTCGCGATACAGCCGTCCTCGTCATGCATGAGTCCTGCAAATAGAGCCTCTATATCAATATTCGGGTGTAACCCGCCGTGGAGCCTCTCTTTTTTCGCGCTTTGGCACCGCCTTGCTTGGTACCTCCCGTTCGACCGCCATTGCGCGCTATGTAACAGCCCTTTTCTGCAGCTCGGACTACGAGTGTAAAAGACCGTTGACACAGGCTGGCGAGAAGCTGCTCCGTGTGACGCTCAACTGCGGTGGTAGAAATTTGTCCTGTGACAGGATCAAGCCCGTCATCTCCCATGAAGCCTGCTAGTTCAGCGTGATTAGGACTGCAAATATCCACAACGGTGAGCGTATTTGTGCATGCTAAAAGCTCGTCAGGCGTGCATTTATCAGGAATAGGCTCCCAGATGATAAAGGGCCTCGAGCACACATCAGCTTCCACAATTTGCTTGCGCAGTTTATTTATGCCCGAAACGATATCCTGGCAGCGACGCGGAGAGCAGACTAGATGAAATGCCTTAGACTGGAGCAACTCAGGGAGAGGTCTTCAGCGTTGATTCGGCGTTTCGGGGTCATATATTTGAAATCACGTCTTCCCTGGCAGTGTAACCATTCCAGGCTCGAGTGGTAAGACGCTCGGGGTTTGATCGTATGAGGGCAGAGGTCTCCCAGGAATCGATGATCTGTGTGAGGCTCGTTGGGAAATCGCTCCCCATGTCGACAATCCAACCTACCGTCGATGTCAAAGGAGGGGAAAGAAGCCTGGCACCGAGCGCGGCGTAGGTGCCCGCACCCTGGGATATTGTAAACAGGTGGTGCGGGTGGGAGAAACTCAATATCGTCTAACAGCATGGATACGGTCAGCACTGGCTACACCATTGTTGAGGGCCGGGATCTGTTCATGCGAGAACTTGCCTATAATGAACATAGCCATAGATACAAAATCAATATCGGATGGCCCGGGGTGTTGTTCTTCCTCAACGAAGGTGTCGTGGCCGATGTTTCTCTTATGGTCAATCGACGATAGTCCCGACACCTCTAGAGGATCATTCCTCGGGTTGTGCTGTAGCGCCATTTCCTTCCTCCGCCCATCAGTCTCTCGAGCTGATATTGGCTTGGGAGGTGGGGGTTCGACTGCCAATGGGCGGGCAAGTTCAATGAGAATTCTTTTTTGTTCCTTTTTTCCCCAGCTAAGAACGGGAGTTCTATATATCAGTTTGTGTTGGGGCTGGGAGGGGTTTCCCTCCCAAGGTACATAATATAGCGCACTCCCAGAAGATAGAATGTGAATAATGCGGTTGCAAAAGTGAAGATGCACCGAGTGCTGGCAAGATGATGAACAAAGGCCCAGCGGATAAGCTACCCCCACCCTATGCTTGATTGATAGATATCAGAAATCTGTGGGCCCGGCATCAGCCTCCTTGAACAGCTTTAGCTTGGCTTGCGGCTTGCATAGCTTAAGCTTGCCAAGGTACTGCTTTACCAACAGAGTAGGCCATCTCGGACCAGTTAACTTCTAATCGCCACAACTGTAAGTTGCTCAAGATTTCTCGTTCCTCCATTCACATCATGATGATTGAGCACCATATTAAGGATGCATGGATGTTTTCATGTTTTCGCTGCCGCAAATTAATTCGAATGAACGGGGCAAGGGGCTTGCACGAGGCTTGTGAGATAGTGTCGATTACTAAGCATACATGGACCAAGCTTCTATCGAGATCTTGAGTTGAATCGCCAAGCATCTTCATGCTGTTTCTCCGAGAGGCACAATTGATGTCCCCCAACTATTCAAACTAAAGCCTCTTTCTGGACAGGTGAGTATCTCGAAATATCTTGTCAATTTGGGCTAGACATGCTTGATTACTTGCAGTGTTGTGACATCAACTGCTAGCTGGGAGTCGTTGACGTGACGACTCATTACCCTGAATCTAGTGCCTCAGAACAGCCTGATCTCCTTTGCCTCCTGTTCACCAGCCTCACCTAAACGTGCTAACCAAGGTTTCTCTGCCTCGGTATAGTTCTGCAGAAAGACAATTTGAGGTTATCAACACTTTTGAGCGACAACATGGCTACAAATGGCATGCACAACCTGGCAACTCTCATTAAACGGTACGATTAACTTGTTGGAAAGCTCGAGACCGAACGTATGAAGTGATACTTATAAAGTTGACCAGACTCGAAGCTGCTACAGCTAGACTGGAAGATATTGCGGAGTCTACACAAGCTCCATCCGGATCTAAACCAACACCGGCATCGCTTGCCGCACCCGGCTCATCAGGAACAAACACTGAGGCCACGGCCCCCTCCCCCTTCCTGCTCCTCCTCCGGAGCCCGTCCCTGAGTTGGTAGAGGAATTTGATCATTTCATCAATGGCTCGGTAAAGAAATATGTTGCTATTGCAAACGATGTGAATGGCAAGGTTTCGGAGCAGGTGAGGCAAATTACATGATCATTCGATGCTGTTAGGTCTCTAACATCCTGGAATAGGCGCAAGTTTTACTCGAAGGGTTCCAACACCAGAGGAACTTTCTCCTTATTACCACCAAGGCAAAAAAGCCAGATATGACCGGATCGGAGATGTCTGTGTTCCAAGACCTCGTGAAACCCATAAGTGAATCCATTGCCCAGGTTGGCTCGATCAAGGATGCAAATCGGTCCTCAGAATATTACAATCACCTCGCAACTGTCTCCGAAGGAGCTCTAGTTCTTGCATGGGTGACGGTGGATAATCGGCCTTGGAAACATGTTGAAGCAAGCCTCGGGTCAGCACAGTTCTTTGGTAACCGCGTCCTTAAGGAATCAAAAGAGAAGTATGTTTGGGCCTGTCTTTCTAAGCTGTGGTGGTGTTCCCCTGCTAATAATGCATCACATTCAGAGATCCCAAGCAAACGCAATTTATTCAGGCGTTCTACCAGATCTTCCGAGATCTTGCCGAATACACCAAGCAGCACCTCCCGAGCGGCATCGCTTGGAACCCTAACGGCAAGCCTGCTAAAGATGTGATGGCCGAAGTTGCTTCTCAAAACGCATCTGGATCACCTCACCTCGCCGCTGGCACCGCAAGTGTGCCGCCGCCGCCGCCGCCGCCGCCGCCACCTCCTCCTGTAGCTAGTCTTATTGCGCCTGCCAGCGCCGCTACGCCCACCCCAACAGGATTGGGGGCAGTGTTTTCAGAGCTCAACAAAGGAGAGGCAGTCACGAAGAGCTTGCGTCGGGTAGATAGGTCAGAGATGACGCACAAAAACCCTTCGCTCCGAGCCGGGTCGACTGTTCCCGAAAAGGACTCTGGTAGCCGGGGCAAAAGTCCGGCGCCAGGGAAAAGCCCAAACCCGAAAGCATGAGGGTCAAAAGCCTCCTAAAAGGAGTTATCTGGAAGCAAATGGATCATTGTAAGTCTACAAGAATTTGGGTTTTCCGAAACCTAGCTAACATACTTTGCGTTGGGTAGGAAAATTACGATAACCCTACAGAACCCCTTGAGATCGAAGCCTCCATTTCACATTCTATTCTCATCAGCAAGTGTGTCAACACAACCATCATAATCAAGGGCAAAGCAAACGCTGTAACTGTGGAGAACACCAGTCGGCTGTCCCTTCTCATTGACACCCTTGTCTCAGCTGTGGATGTTGTCAAGTCTCAAAACTTCGCTCTTCAAGTCATGGGCTCCATTCCAACAACAATGTTGGACCAAGTGGATGGTGCCCAGCTCTACTTGAGCAAAGAAAGCACGAAAACAAAAATCTTCTCTAGCAAATCTGCAAACATCAACCTGAATGTCATTTCCGGCCCGGAGGATGACTATAGGGAGGTACCGTTGCCGTCGCAGCTATGCTCCTATTACGACCCTGAAAAGGCCGACTTAGTCAATGAGATTGTCGCTCACGCGGGATAGCGCGAGCCTGCATAATTTCCACCTTTGATGGCGTACCGCCTGCCATGTGCATATTTCAGGCACGCCCATCACATTGTACTCTAGATGCCATCCAGTTCCTGTTTTGCCTCTCTTGTGGCTAGAAACATTAGCGCATCCCTGACACTCCCTCATTGTTAAGTTCTTGTACTATTGACACAGTGCCGTTTCAATTCCGGCTAACCTTATCTTTTGCGCTCAACATCTGAAAGCTTGCTACTCAATACTCTAACCTTAGGGGCATGTGCCGGAAGGAGGAGAGGGGAACGGGCACACGGCCGAAGGCCACGCTGAAACTGATTGTAAGAGCTCATATATATTGCAAGGAAAATAGTACAGTCTAAGGCCATGCATATAAGGTACATTTGTATATATGGATTGTATTGACATCTCAACACCCCAATCGCACCGGCGAAATTAGTTGCAGCGTGCAAGTGTGCATATGTTGAGAGAGAGGTCGCCCATTCCGCAACGCAAATCTTGAATTCCTGACCGGCGCGAGTTCCGCTCATAGTGTCCGTTCTTACAACTTAGCCTTCGGCGGCTCAAGCGTCGGGATAAGGAGTTCTCTCATTTCATTCGCAGCCTCATTCAGATAGAAGCTCATCTTGTCGCTACCGAGGCCTTTCGAGACGATATTGAAGTTGAGGCTACACGTAGAAAAACGGTAAGCTACATGACCATTGTGCATCTCGCATATTCAACTTGAGAGAGGGGAGGGGAGAAGTCGGGACAAGGTGGGCGTAGGGGCCAAGAACATCGAAGGGATAGCCAGGACACGCGTCTGCTCCTCCATATTCCAGGCAAGCAAGATATGGATGATAAGAAATCGAATGGACTTACCTATTTTCGTTGATCATATATGCGATCCCGAAGCCCCCATCAATCACTTGGCTCCAGCCATAGCCATTGAAGAATTCCGAACTAAGCTGGGAGGTCGACAGGTACCAAGAACTCGAGAAACTGAATGCGGGATCCTTGAAAATCGCAGGAGATCCTCACCAGGCTCCAGCAGCTTCTTTAGACCGAAGAGGTGACGATCGACGCCCTTACCATCTGAAGCAGCGGCAATGTATTCAAGGTGGGAGTCAACAGCGGCTCGGAAGAGCCTCACTTTTTCATCATTAGAAACAGCGGGCTCCGACATGGCCTTACACCAAGAGACAGAGGCTTCAGATACACTGCGGCAAGTTTCGGTGCGGCCCTGCTGGAACCGACGGGTGGCAGCAGATTCATACGTCGGGCGATTCTTTCCGTACATCTTATTGTACGCAAGCTGGATGATCATCTGAACGTAGGCATCCGGCGAGCATTTGAACTTCTTGATCAACCCCTTGCCGTAGCCCTGATAGGCCTGTACAGCAAGCTGATGTTGGCCGATAACGGTGCGGAAATCCTTTACCGCGCGATCAATCTCGTCCTGGACTTCGTTGGTGACGTGGAATTTGACCACCTCGGGCTCTGGGAGGGTGGAACGTATAGAGGGATCGGAAAAGTCCATTTTGTTATTGAAAATGAGGTCATTGATGTAGTCATTGAGTCGGTGAGTTGGCGTACCATCCATCATTGAGTGCTCGCCCATGAAACCCGATGTTCCGTTGTCATTGACGATAAACTGCAAGGGTTTATCGTACCAGCGGTTCGCCCCATCGCCATGCCAATATTGATGTGCGCGCTCTTCTAGAGTCACGGGGGCGGCGTCGTCTAAGCAAACCACGAAGGAAGAGGACTCGATAGCCTCGAGCGCAGCGGCATTGCTAGGGTGGGCATCAACCAAAAGTTGCCGGGCATCGGCCCAAACGTCTCGGTTCTCAGACGTGAGTGCACCAATGGGGGAACAACACTAGATGCTAGCTGATAGATTCTAGAAAACTGTTGCTCCAGCTCCGACGTGTTGAGCTGCTTGCCTCCGACTTCGTGCAACACCTTGAAAAACTGATTCTTCCGGATGACGATGATATGCTTGTTCTCTCCTGGTGCAAACTTGATGGGGTAATCAGCAGGGCGGGCGGCCACTCGACTAGTATTGAACATCCACTGGTAGCTGTCCATGCAGATGGGCATCTTCTTCATGTACTCGGGCTCTAAAGTACCCTGGTCGACCTGCTTCTTGAACTCAAGGACCGAAGTAGTAATAGCTGCAGCGCGTTTCGCCGGATTCCTCCGGTTGCGGTCATCGCGGTGAGAATAAAAATAGCTGACATACGGGACTACAGGGTCACGATAGGCAAGATAAGCCGCGTCATTCCACCACTCGTATATCCAGTTCTTGTGCTTCGAGTCTTCTCGCCGCGCGACGAGTTTTCCTGGAGGCGTTGACCGACGCCCCCGGGCTTAATGAAATCGTCGACAGCGGCTTTGCTCGTAGCAAGCTCTGCAGGGGTTAAAAGTGGTCGCAAGGACTTGATATATCTTGTGGTTGTCTCCTCGAGGGAGGGTACGGGTAGCCGGGGCAGCGATTCCTGATATCGAAGCATAGGACCTTTGCTTTTATCTTCCACGTAGCCTAAATGTTCCACTACTCGTTAATAAAAAGAAGAAAAACCGTCGGGGAGAGTGGGCACCTGTTGCGTACCAGACGGGATGGAGCTGTTGCTCCGCCGAGCGGTTGGGGCCATGGCTGGGGAGATCTGGTAAAGGAGCCTAGTTAGAGGAAGGAATAAACCGATACATGGGCTCTATCGTTGGAAACAAGGGACGACAAACCTGGGCAAGAGGTGAGGGACGAAGGTAACTTTTGGGAGCAGTCGTAGCAAAACGCCGAGCAGTAAACATGGCCGACGGTTTGTGGTACGTGAGGTTGACTGCGAGGTTGAGGCGAAAGCTGGGATTTGAAGCGCGCCGCGCAAGGGATCGGAGACCTGTACTTAAAGCCCGCCTCTCGTGGGAGAATGAAAAAGAAGAAAGGTGGAGGCAGGGCAGGTGGTGGGTGTGGGGAGAAGGGCTGAGTGAAATAATTCGAACAAAGAGATGGCGCTCGCTTTTGGAGAGGCTAGAAGTCCCTTAATACTCTAAACGCCCTATGTGACGGTATTCTTGTTGGGGTAAAGTTGGGGAAAGGGGAGGAAATGGTTCAAGTTGTCATGGAGGTTGAATGGTGGCTTTCGATTGCCGGCAAGACCGCCTCAGACAGATTGGGGAGATGCCGAGCTTGACAAGTTGTTCAGCTCGGAGGGGCAGCAGCAGCAGCACGAGGACCGAGCCGCGGCATGGCCTTTCCTTCCCCCTCCATACCGGCAGGTACCGAGTACCGCCAGACTCACTCTAACTCTTGATCGGCCTCGGGCGGGCCCACGTTGTCGTGAACAACATCAACTGTGCACATGGAACGAATTGCTGATCATTTATTCCTTTGATAATCACCAATTCAGGGTAAATTGTGCCCAGCATCTATCAAAGCCCGTTTCAAGCGTCCTCGCCATGTTTTTCTTTTCTTTTTTCTTTCCATCATTTCTCTGCTTGTCACGACTTGACAATCGGAATGTACCGAGGTAGTTAGTGCCTGAAGGGCCTCTCAACTATGTACTTTAAGGATTCCTCTCACCCGAGCGGGAAATATTCTGCGAGCAACAGAGAAGCTCGAGCAACACCGCGAGTGACAAGGGGGAGGCTACATTCTCGGGGAGTGGAATGAGGTGCGCGACTTAAAAGGAAGCCGTTGAAATTAACGTCGCTTCGACATGGCTTCTGGCCGTGAGCAATAGTGATGACAAGGCACCTTCCCTCTCAGGAAGTTTTCGGATGACTTTTTGAGGGATGAGAGGTTTGATCTGACCCACATGCCGAGGTCAAGGATCGAGCTTTTTTTTCTTGCCGAAGGCTGTTGCCATTGGTTACACATATCCTTGATCTCTTGATGATGCTGTGGTCTTGCCGAGCGCGACATGGGGGCCTTCTTCTAGCGAATCAGTGGGCTGGCGCCAATTTTCAGGCCTCGATCTTGCCAATCTCTCCCAACCTACAATGAACATCAAGAAACTAGCAAGTATAAATGCATCAATCATCCGTTTCGATTGTGAAGGATACTGTTGAGATCGAAGGGAGGGACGGGAATATGATTTCTACAATTTCATCAAGCTCATCTATCGTAGAGTGATCATTTTATATATCTTAGCCTTGCGTAAAAAAGAGCATGGTCTTCCCTTTCGTAAACCGCCCAGTGCTGTTCGTCAAAAGATGCAAAGCACTTTTACTGCATCACTTGGGCGCGGCCGAATCTCGCCCCTCACATGCTCTTGCTGAACTGCCGATTTCAGTTCCAACGGCTAGAATAAAGTCATCCATCCATGAATGGATGCACCGACGAACCCTAGTGTATCATTTTCGAGTGAAGCTCGCTCATAGGATCTCGAAATTAGTGAATATATACAAGTTGGTAAAAATAGCACCTCACCCAACATGATAGTACACAGAGGCTTTGAACGTCGAAACTGTAATTGTAATTGTACATTTTAGGCTCATTGGACAGAATAAAGCCAACTTTGGAGATGGCGAGGAACTAGTTGAGAAAGGATAGAAAGCAACGAGAGTGACTAAAAGAAGGCGCGAGAGGCTACCTATGGTGAGCGATATAAGAACCCATCATGAGAGGCTGAAAAGGGCACGAAGTGATACAGCATAGAGCATACAAGTAACAGCAAAACCCAAGAAAAGCAAAACAGTCCTAACCCCACTCCACGACCCGGCCATTACGAAACGCCGATATTATCCTTGTGACAACTTGCGGGATCACGAGACCCTCTCAACCCCTCAAGCAAAGGGACAAGAGAGCTGGGAAAAATGGTTTGAATAGGCATCAAATCCACGATTCCCCCGATCCAAAGCAAAAGAGAACGAACGGCGTTGTTCATTGCACTCAGGCTTCATAGGATTTGACGGCCCCCTCACTAGAAAGGGGAGGGAGAGGTATTGGGCTATCAATTCCCTGGAACCCGAGTCGATTGCTGTCGCTACCGGCATCAAGGGACCTGGGGGCTCCAGCTTCCACACCGGAGGCCGCTGTCGCTCTAAGGGCTTCCTGGGCTTCCCGAACTCTTTGTTTAAACGCCAGACGATCGAGGAAGAGTTGCTGTCGTCCACGCTCTAGCTCGCGCTTTTCAGCCTGGAGGATGGCCTCCATATCATTGAAATACTTTAGTTTGAGCTCAAGTTTCTGTAGCATTACATTAGCTGCAGCGGATACAAGCCTTGTCATCTCCCTCTCTTCGTGAGACGCAAAGCCAGCTGCGCGGGCTCCGATAGAGGCCAAGGGAATAGACGCCAATGCGCTTGTTGAGGTGGTTGTGGTTGTGGTCGTGGTCGTGGTTGTGGTTGTTGTGACGTCGACTTCCATGGCTTCCGATTTATCGACTGGATTGTCTTTGCCGTTGATAGCCCCGAAATTTTGCTGCTTTTCACCATTGAGCTTGTTTCGCAGTCGCTGCTTCAATTCCTCAGCCGACTTGCTTGCGGCAGCGGCGGTGCTTGCCGGATCGGCAAGGCTTGCGAGGAAACCAACCACTGACATGACTGGGTTATCGGCTTGGCTGAAGGGCAATTGCCCACCCTGAGAGCCGAGTAGAGACAGACCAACGGGCGCATTGATAGACGCAAAATCGCTCTCAAGGTACTTTTCCTCAATATCCAACTGCAAAAACCGCAACACGCATTCCTCTCGCGAGCGTGTTCCGACATGCTGGGCAATCTCACCCCAGTCATCATCATAACGCTCTAGGCCTTCGAGGAGTCGAAGCGTTTCAGAATCTGACCATGCTGCATCGCGATCAAGAGTGCTTGTATATGTAGGGTTGTCCACCCGGATGTATTGTGATTTAAGGTGGTTATTAGGCATGCGCCCCTCAAGACAACAGCCAGGGCAGAGATCGTACTTCGTATTCACTGAAGGGTCACTCTTCGTGTAGTGATAGTATGTTCGAGTGCAGTCAATGCCACACTGATAGCAATTGACTTTGCTGATGGGTGCCTTAGTCGTCTCTTCAACCGGTGCGGGGTTGGCGCCATTAGTAGTGTGGATATCGCCGTTTGTTTTCCCTTCAGGCTTGTTTAGCTTAGATCCCTTTGCGGATGCCTCGTATATGTTACGCCCAATCTCGAGGTTCAGGTCTGATTTAGTAGGAACCCCAGCTGCCGCCTTAGCGTCGGTGTCATGGCTCTTCTTACCCTCCAACACGGTTGGGTCAGAGGATGGTTGCCAGGGCTGGAGGCCCCTCGGTGTATCACAAATGATTTTGAAATGACCAGTAAACGGAGGGCCGACATGAGAGGATCGCTGTTGCATATCAACCTGAGCAAAACGAAAACCTAGCTGTTAGCTGGAAAGTACGTAATTTTGTGACAAAGTTCGCATGAGAAAAAGGGATCGAAACTTGCCTGATAATTGATTAAACCCCATTGCTCGAGGAATGCGTGAACACGCATGATGGCACAAACATCTCCAGCAAGGTTTCGGCGACATGCGGTAACAGTCAAATACTCTGAGGGATTGAGGCGGTAGGTATTGATCATGAAATCGCGATAGTCCTTGTACACTGCAGGAGTTTTGCTTCGGTTTCTGTTGTTGAAGAACTCCGGGAGGGCCTTCTTCTCGATGGAATGAACATCCGTCATATCGAACCAGGAGCTGTAACTAGGCAGGATAATGGCGTGAGTCTGCGAGATCAAGTGCTCGCGAGCTGCTGATTCGATCGTTTCTTTGGTCTTTGCCTCTTGCTTGTCCTCTGTAACTTCATCACCTTCACCAGCCTCCTTGTGTGCCTCTTGATCATGCTTCTCGATTTGGGCCTCTACCATGACAGCATCCTCGACACCCACGGCAATGCTTTTGTTGACGTTGGACGAATCATCGTCAGGGTTTGGCACGGTGGGCGCGGGTGTACTGCTATTGAGCTTTACACGTGATTCCGGTTCGATGCTTTCGGCCATCTGAATATCTAGCGCATGATTGCATCAGTAATGGGGTGACATAAGTCCTGAACGATTGATGAGATACCTTCTGATCCTTCCCCAGACTGCGTAAGAGGAGGTTGGGCTAGGATGGCGTTGGCGCCGGGGGACTGGGCGTTAGCCGGCGTGCCGTACTCTACTGAATCGTCCATGCTTGTCGAAGTCATGTAATGTAGAGGAAAGTGAAGGGGTTCGGGAAGGGCAGTTGAAAAGAATGAAAACAGGGGGTGTTTCTTGGAGAGAAACGGATGAAGTTCTTCTTGTTTCCGAGTAAAAGCGGGAGTCAGTCGGTTGCGATAAGATAATACGCAAATTTTTATAGCAACCGAACGCTGGGGTTTGATGACGCGACAACTGTAGCGTTGCTGGCGATGGCTGACCGATAGCCTCTAATGCTCCAAAGTCGCGTTTGAGGGTGAAATTTTGGCGCGCCGTCCTGGACAGAGCGATGCGATCCAGGATGAGTGTCCACAGTGCCAAAAAGATTAAGCAGCAGTACAATATCTTCCGAGGACCCGCCGATATTCTGGCGGATTTTTATGGCTTAGTCAGAGTTCTCCTGCAAGTGAGAAGAACGTAGAATGGATGTAAGACCTCGGGCCGTGGACAAGCGCACCTTCTCGGCCGCTTCACCTCACGATCTCAAATTCTTTTGAGGGCTTGAGCAGTAAAAGCCGCCGTCTTTGACTGATCTCCCCAACAATACTATTGAGCTGGCTTGACAAATACGATGTTTTCAAATTATATTCGGCCATCATTGGGCCGTGTGAGCCGCAATATTCACGCTTCTAATCCTGCATCGAGGCACAGATATCTTCTCTCGACCTTGGCAATTCTCGAGCAGCGTGATGGTCAACTAAACAAAGCTTCTCTAAGTGCGGTCACAGCAGCAACTAAGCTTGGGGCGCCAGTCCATGCCTTCATTGCTGGAACTGATGCTTCCAAGGTAGCCCAAGAAGCTGCACAAGTTCTTGGAGTTGATAAAGTCGTTACTGTGTCCAACGCCGCCTATGAAAAGGTATTAGCCCTCCATCATAGGTACAAGACTTGTATGAGATTTTATCTAAACTACTGACAAAAACCCCCCTCGATGCAGGGTCTTCCGGAGACTTTCGCCCCTCTGTTAATTGACAATATCCGAAACGGCGGTTATACGCACATCATCGCTGGACACACGGCGTTTGGGAAAAATGTCATGCCTCGAGTCGCAGCTCTTTTAGATGCACAGCAGATATCAGATGTTATTGCAATAGAGTCCGAAAGCACCTTTATCCGCCCGATCTACGCCGGAAATGCCATTGCTACAGTAGAGTCATTAGATCCGATAAAGGTCATCACTGTTCGAGGAACGGCATTCCCAGCTGCAGCCTCCGAAGGTGGCTCCGGCTCAATCGAAGTGGGCACCGACCCAAACCCAGAAACATCAACAGAGTGGATCTCGGAGGATTTAACGAAGTCCGACCGTCCTGATCTAGCAACAGCTGGCCGGGTTGTCTCAGGAGGCCGTGGCTTGAAGTCAAAAGAAGACTTCGATAAGATAGTGGTGCCGCTCGCCGATTCCCTGGGCGCCGCAATTGGTGCCTCTCGAGCAGCTGTAGACAGCGGGTATGCGGATAATAGTCTTCAGGTTGGCCAGACAGGGAAGGTCGTCGCGCCGGAACTCTACTTGGCTATCGGCATCTCGGGAGCAATCCAGCACCTTGCCGGCATGAAGGACAGCAAAGTTATTGCTGCGATTAACAAGGATTCGGATGCGCCGATCTTCCAAGTGGCCGATGTTGGTCTTGTGGGAGACCTTTTTAGCGAAGTTCCCAAGTTGACGGAGGAGTTAAACAAGATCAAAGAATGATAGCATTTTTTACCCTCAGATGGCTGTTAATGTTACAAATACACGTATCAGAGAGGTGCCCTTGGGCACTTAGCATCGTTACCTCAGAATGCCAAGCATACCCTGTGTGCTCGTAAACTTCACTCGCTCTCGCCCCGATGCCTTCCCCTGTCTCTTTCTACTTCATCAATCAGCTGCCAGTCTCGCCAGCTAACGACGCGGGGAAGGTGGCCACGGGGTGTATCACACTTGACCCCCTCCCAGCCCGCTAGCCCAGTTAGTTCGTCCGGACCTGCGGGCTCGAGTATTGCAGTTGCGTCGTTCACTATGCTATCTGCCGTTGTAAATGCGTCTTGCATAGTAGAGGCAATCACACCAGTTGGGCCTCGCTTGACCCATCCAGCGCAATACAATCGAGAGATGTGGCTCTTAGTTTCTTCATCAACCACCACCCTCCCAAAGCCATCATTGACCAGCACACCTCTGTGGTTATCAAACAGAATGCCCGCCTCACGGAACCCGTCCAGGGCTATGGACTTGTAACCTATAGACCTAAATATCAAGGGTGATTGAAAGGTCATTGTAGTGCCAGCCGGACGAATACTCGCTCCAGGGTCCGATACGGAGGACAGCAACGTTTTCTCAAAGACCGCGCTAGCAACGGAGCCAGGATTGTTTGCACTAGCACAGAACTCAACTGGTGAGAGGCAAAAATCGAGGGACCATTGCTTATCACTGAAGGCTGGACTCGTATCTGATCCGGATTGTAGGAGGCTCATCAGTCTCTTCGCTGGTCTCGGAAGTGCGCTGAGGTCCAATGGAATGAGACCTGGTTTGATCGGTTCGAATGCCAACCCGGGAAGTTTCATCAGTTCCCTAACTTCTTTTATTGTAAAAGGTGCTTGCATCGGGCCTCTTCGCCCGACGATCCGGACCTGCCGGACTCTATTTCGTCGGAGTTTGTCAAGAGCCTCTTCCGCAATATCTGTTCTTCTTAGAGCCTCAGCGCTAGATAGGAGGATCCTTGCTACGTCGAGTGCAACGTTTCCTTGCCCAACAATGATGGCAGTATCACTAGACTCTAAGTCAGGATTGAGCCCCGCGTACTCTGGCAAGCCGTTATACCACCCAACGAATTGCCTCGCGGAGAGAACTCCTTGAAGGGATTCTCCAGGTAGGCCTAAGAGCCTATCCTCTACCGCACCATAAGCAAATGTCACCGCGTGGTAATGGCGGAGGATGGTAGAAAGTTCAACTTTAGCTCTATCAGGTTCCTTTGGATCACAGCCAACCGATACGTTGCCAAGAAACCTGAAGTTAGGTGATGATGCAACCTCCTCGAACTTCTCTTGGCAATTCTATGACAAAAAATTTAGTTAGTTGCGAGGCGATACTAGTGGAAAAAGATACGGGCCATAAAAGTGCCAACCGACCTTGACCTCTGGGTGATCAGGCGCCACTCCATATCTTACAAGCCCGTACGGGACGGGAAGGGCTTCGTACATATCTATTTTGGCGGATGGCATTCGAGCCATGACCCGGTAGGCCGTATAAAAACCTGCCGGACCTGAGCCAATGATAGCTACTCGAAAGTAGGAGTCGTGCCTTGCCACAGGCACCTTGACGCTAGAGAAGCATGGTTTCAAAAGCCTGCGGGGCGATCGCTGCCAACCCCGTGCTGGGAATGCTAGCCGATGCATTTGATGAAAATCCTGGTTCCGATTTCTCCATGCACCAACGTGCTGACGGCTTGGAAGCACAAAGTAAGGTGATCTAGGCTAGCAACACCGGCCCTAGTGCTGTTTAAAGGATATCTGAGGATGACCTTACGCCAGTGGGCAGCCATTCGCGGCCGAAATAACTACCAGGAAGATGTCACTTCGGATGACTGAACTTGCTCGAAGTGCCTTTGGAGGATGATACCATACAGTAATCGGTGCCATAAAGTCCGAGAAGAAGAAAGGAAAATATTTTACACATTGCTCATAGCTCTTGGCCATGAGCGTGCATTTGAAGGAACGAAGTGGTTTATTTAATATTCCACCGTCCTCCCCGATTTCTCAGCATGTGACTAAGCATTGAAACTCTGAACGGAGCTGCGACGAATAGGGTTGCTGTAGCGACGGTGATCCAAACATGGAATCGTTCCCAATGGAATAAGCTGAGGACTTCTTTTTAATATCTTGTCACGACATTTGCCTATTCTAGATAATACGTTGTGTTATAGCTCTTTCCTCTCTCTCGCCTCACCGAAGACTGCAACTCGATGCTTTCCATGCCCTTGTGTGGTCTATAGCTTGTACTCTATGGAAAGCTTTTAACATCTTCACGCACGTATCTATAAGGAAGTCCTAAGTCACCCCTCTCTCGATATCAGAGGAGTCTGTCGCGCCGCCGTGTGGTAGATGATGTTGGCTCAATACGAGCCGTTCCTTGATGGCGTCGAGCGCTACGACCCAAAATCACCAACGAAGCCCTTCGACCCCAAGGCCGTGACTAGGGCTAGCTTTGAACCTAAACCTAAGAAGTTCCAACAAAAAGGACCCCTGATCTCATTCAACCGCCATCCTGAGTATGAGCCTTCTTCTACAATATGGGGATTTCAGTACACTAACGCTTCGATATCACTTCGGCTGGCATTCAAAGTGTCCATTCACCTATGAGTTACAGAGCCACTCAACACGTACCCATGAGTCGTAGAACTAAGTCTTGGATTGTATGGATGCGAAAGATCCAACTTATCCTTCGACTGCTGGGACTCAATGCCAGTCTGGGAATTCTAGCAATGACCATTTTGATTACTGGAATTGATGATCAAGTAACTTGGGCCTTGAGGATAGTGGTAGGAATTTCGCAGCCCGGCTTCGAGGACGACGACTCTCTGTGGTGAAAAACTAACATGAAACTTAGTCTGGCCTAGCTGCTCTTCATTGCGCGTATGGCATATACCATCTTGCCCGTGCTGCGGGCGGCCGCACTCCCTCGTCATCTGCGGCGTATCAGTTTTTCGCTGTTCTGGCGGATTTTTGTGTTGCCCCTGTCTATGCCTACGGAGCCAAGATCGTTACCGATCACTCGGAAGAGTGGTCCACGTTACTCTCTAATAAGACGCTCGCCCCCACGTTCGCTCTCATCCTGTATTGCGTCTTACTGGCAGCAGGAGGTCTCCAAATTTTATGTCTTTGCATCTCGCTCTGGCTTGGCGTCATGTTCAGGAGGATTGCCCTCATGCCACCCGACATGAATCCCCTCGAAGAGCATTTGACCGCTCGTTCTCGCCACAAACGTGCGAAGTCTTCCATTTCCACGTGTTACACGGAAGCCTCCTTTGATAAGCGGCTTTCTACGGCATCGACAATACGTGGCCCGGTTGTACCATTCCACTCGACGCGCAGTGGTTTGTCCGTTACCTCAAGTAACCGGGACTCTCGTCTGGACTTGCCTAGCCGCCACTACCAGATTGCTCCTGGCGCATCGCCCCGGCATTCAGTATGTTCCACCGACATTAAAACTCTCTCGACAGCTGCATCTCGCCTGAGCCAAAGGGGCTCATACGTAGGTATACCTATGGACGAGCCAAGTATGGGGAACCCAGATATCGATAACCCTAGCCCCGTCGGAAATCAGAAGCCAAGAGGCGGAAAGTTCACCGAGACCTGGCATGCCACGGACTCATTGATATCTCGTACCCAGCAACGCAACCGCGTAATAGCGGCCCAGGAACATGAGAAGGAAAAGCAAAGTTGGGGTCGATTCAATCAGTCGTATGCATATGGCGATTCGAACTCGGATGGAGAGAAGGAAAATGAGATCCTCACGGGTAGCGACTGTGAAGATAGTATAAGTGTGTCTGGCTCGCATCATCCCAACCCGCTACGACTGAATCCTGCTGCACCGCCTCGGCCGAAAACCCCTTATTATGCGTTTTCCTCCGATATTCTTTCCGACATGAGTACCAGCAAGTACAGCCGCCTTCCGGATGATACAGGCGACAAATCAGCCCCTGTATTGACTACTAAAGTGGCGGGTTATCGAAATAGCTCGATCCAGCCAGATGTGGCCTTCTATTCAAAACCGTACGGTGAGCTGAAGCCCGCAACCCCGCCAATCATGGTAGGCAGTAACCGTCACGTCTCTTCTGGGAATGACTATGACGGTTCAACCTCCAGGATTGGTCGCCGTAATGTTAGTGGGAAGGTTGCAGAGGAGGGAAGGGCGGGAAGACCTTATGAGAGATATGGCCGACATGATGATATGTGAGAGAATCAAGAGTGCAGAGTTGAAGGCTGAAGGGTATTTCGAAAGCATCCTTTTCCTATCAACAGGGTATGGCTTTTTCTTTTTTCCTTCTTTTTTTTTTGGAGGGTGTTTAGGGATATTGGGGATATGGGGATATTTGGATGATGGATGTGTGTTTATGTATGTGCGTAGGTAACAAAGTCTGGGACTTTGTTTAGTTTGTAGCGGACCACGCATTCAAGGCCTCCTTGTACGGATAGAGATGGAGTTATTGGCGAGCGAGAATGAACTTCATCATGTTGAAAGATCAGGAGATATTGAAACTCATTACCTCACCACATTCCCCACTGCAGAAGATTTCGTTGAGGATACCTAATGACAATAAAATTACTCGTTTTCACGGCAATAGCTTGCCCAAGACCGCTTCAAGCCGGGATTTCCTCTACTACCATCGGCCGCCCACTTATTTCCATCCCAGCTATCGAGACTACAAAGGTGCCGCATTGTTGGCCTTCCATGAGGGCAATTCCACGGCTTGTCTAATTCTCCCATACGACGGACGAGCTTTTCCATTCTTCGATGCTGCAAGGGATTTCCAACCATAACACTAGTACGACATGCTCGCATAGCAAACATCTTTCTTACTTTGGATGGCCTCACCATGGATCTGCCTTCCGAGCTCGAAGGGCTATCTGCAAGGAGGAGATCAACTCTTCGAGATCAGCCACTGTAAAGACTGTCTCTTTGCTAAGGGGCAAGGCAAGAAGCTGGCACCTTGCACCAACAGGAGAATCTCCCGAGATATCGACTGCGACTTTGAAACCATTGGCTTCGAACACAGGAAGATTATCGAGTAAGACCTCTTCCTCTAGTGCCGTCAGCTCGAGAGACTTAGGATTCACCAAGCGTTGAGAGTCAACCACGGTCGAAGCCTGGAGCCGCTCAAAGTTATATTTTTCGTCTGATGCATGCTGATCGACAATGAACAGCTCGTCACGCCTCTGCGGTGTATGGCTAACGACGGGGCCATCATGCTGGCCCGCAGGCCGGGAAACTAGGATAAATCCAAGATTGAACTGACCAATGATTTTCATTCTGTTGAAGTCCCCCTTTGAGATCGCGAGAGAGAGCTTTCTTTCCGCATCCTGAATTTCCGCACTTGCGTCATCATTGGATAGGCTGACGGCTGGTAACTGGGCGCCTTGGGTTCGTACCAGATGGGGGACCCTTGATCGCAAACTCTCAATGTCGAGCCTCACAGTTTGCTCGTACCGCAGAGTAGCTTCTTTGCGTCTAGCTGATATTTTCCCAGTGGCAGGATGTGGTTCCCTGTTCGCGAGGGTGGGATTAATGGCACCCGGTTGTGAGGCAAGGCTGGCGTTACAACCGGCGACCACGCCTGAAGCATCTCTGCCACCATTCGCCGAGATATGCAAAGTCTCGGGGCCTAACGCGGAACCCTCGGCCTCCTCCTCATCAAAGTCTATACCGTCCTCAGGCTCTACGCCACCTTGCACGGTGGGATCTTCCTTTGAACCCCCTGTTGCTCCACCGACAGGGGCAGTCCCATTGTTGAAAAACTCCAAATTCACGGAGCCTTCTATTTGAAGCTCCCGGTCTCGGTCTGGCGCCATTGCCACTTTAGATTGAGTGGCTTTCTCTCGAAACGCCGGCAAGGTCAGCTCATCGGGCCCGTAGCTCTGTCGTGTAGAAGACTGGTGAATGGTGGGGAGGTATAAGCAACATTTGATCTGTTTTGATCGTTGGCAACTGCTAGCTGGCGGATAGGGGCTCTTTGATGGGATGTTGACAAGACCTTAGCGGCATGTAACGGAGATGTCTCCGGTTCACCGCCGTTTCCCTTGCATGGGGGCGAGTGTGAGCGGACTAAGCCAGTAGGAGCGATAGGGGTAGGTTCCTGCCCTCCCGTTTCAAATTTAGCTGCGGAGAGGGGGGTATAGTGTAGCTAGAACGAGTTTCTGTCTCCGTGCGCACATGTTCATCTTTGTCCCGGAGGTCGAAGACTTGATCTGAGGCTCCAGATAGGGAGAAAAGAGTCCCCTCCCCTTGGCACCAATGCTTGGAAAGGATATCTCCTGTCTAGGTTCACCACCGTGTTTGGTCGCAATACGGGTCACACTTGTATTCAACTTGACCAAAGCAGGAATGGGCTGGCCCGGAACGGGCGGGGTTTTCGGTGTTGATGGCGTGACGCCTGTCTTCTTCGCAGATGTAAGTCCCCGGCTCGCTAGCTGCGAAGCGGGAACTGTATAGTCATGAGATTCAAAAACGGCATTCAGGGACTCTTTCAAGTGGTCGAGCATACGACTTTGCTCATGAAGCAAGATGGTCCGTTTATCTGGGCTCACATTTACGTCGTAGAGGTGGGTGTCGAGCTGAATGTCGGCAAAGATGAAAGGAGATTGCGAGGAATTGAAGGCTTTATATACCTCATTGAAGACCTTTGCGAACTGAGGAAGACCGCATGGGCGCCCATTGACAAAAACATTTGCCTATCAGGAGCCTGGCGCCCTTCTCCGTGAGCTGGACGCGAAACGTGTCCTTTCACTACGACCCGATTTTTCTGAGGCTTCAGCTGCGTATGCTGAGATGAGAGTCGTGGTGCTGTGGGCTCTAGTTCCAAATCAAGGTTCAAGGGCACTAAGGCTGCCATTGTCTTTGTTCCGAAGATATTCAAAACGTTTTCTCGAGTTGTAGGGTTTCCCTTCGTGGAAAAAAGGATAATCCTCTTTCCTTTGGTAGGTTGTTGTGATACGGTGAACTTGACATTGGTCAAGATGCAAGCATACTGGTTAAGAAGACTTATGACTTTGGTCCATTCTCTCTTAATGTGACGTTCAAGTTCTCGGCGGCGAACTGGGAGGTTATAAAACAGATCCTCGACAGTGACCGTGGTGCCTTGCTTGGCAGAGACGACTGAGGTGCTCTCCAAAGTCCCTGATGAAGAGAAGTGCAGTTTAGATCCTTTGGGCGCGTCATCAGCTATGCATGTGATAATTGATAGGTGGCTGAGGGCGGATAGCGAGGAGAGAGCCTCTCCCCGGAAGCCAAAGGTCTGAAGATTAGAGAGATCATCGTAAACCGTGAGTTTGGAAGTATAGTGCTTTAAGGCTAAAGATGGGTAATTATCACGAGTTATACCAGAGCCATTGTCCTGGACTTCAATCGTTTCTAAACCTTGGTTCTTGAAGCGCACATCTGCCAGTAAGTTAGGGATTGTAAAATGCGGTATAGTGAACGTGGATAGAGACCTATGCTTGAAGCACCTGCATCCACACTGTTCTCAACGAGTTCCTTAGCGACGGAACACAGGTCAACTATAACTTGGCCAGACTGTATACGATGGATCTATTTGAGCGATAGAGTGGGGATGGTTAGATATGAAAAACCTTCTAGTAGAGGGTTGTAGATACCCAGCGAGTGACTCTTCCGGACTTACAGAGGCTCCATCAATTGGCTTAATTGTTGCCATGGTGGCTTCATGAGCTGCTCTTGGCAATGTTGGTCTTGTGTTTCCGAGGCTGGAAGAGTGGGCTGCTGGGTCTTAAGACGATGGTTTCCGCGTTGTCCTTTGCTACCTTCGAGACCCCTTTTCCTGCTTGCACTCTCTAGTGTCCCTGCCTAGACCCAATGAAAAGCACTGTGTCTTTGTGGGGAAAAAAGCTTCTCGGCCGCTTCACTGAGAATGTAAGGCTGATTGTTTAAAGATACTAATAAAGTTTTCAATGTCCTGGCAGATGATGTTATTTTATGGTAGTGATATTTCCGCTTCCCTTAATTTAAAATTGGGTAGAATTGAATCCTCGTGGAGTAGAAAGAGCAAGCATATGTTAATATTGACTTATTCACCTCCATGATAGTTAGATCTCGCGGATCCTGGCGTGTTATGTTATAACCTCATAATGTACGAAGTATATCAGACGCGTGATCACGCCTGCCAATTTCCCTGCTCCATCCCACCTCCATCTAGCCGCTACAGTGCATGACTAAGCTAGCTAGTAACTGGGCAGGTCTGACTAAATTCTGGCTTTCTTGAGTCGAAAACATTCAGACAAGTCTTTCATCTCATCTTCTTATTAATACGTGCCACCAACCCAAATTGCATCAACGACCGGAATCTTGTGCCTACTATCGATCTCTCTACTGGGATCTTGTTTCTAGTTGCTGATGTTCAACTGAGGAATTGATAGTGTTTAGGTGTCCTGTCATGTGAAGAACATGAGCTGCCTCTTGCGGGAAAGCCAAGTAGTAATCGTTAGGAGCAGGATCTCGGTATTATCCTGATTATCTTTGTGTTCCTCCCAGGTTGTAGGCGTCTTGCAACATCGATTGATTCAATGTTGGTCTGATGTTATGTTGATTACCTTACGACGTCGCCAAGGCCTAACCTTTGATCCTCATCGGCGCCCTATGGTCGCTGTGGTCACCGGAATGACTTAAACTCTAAATTCTGTGTTTTACATTTGGAACTTGAAGTCTGCATCAAGCTTCTCTCTTCAGCGCTTGCTGCCTCCATTGTGTGACAAATCCACCCTTGGCCGCCACACACTTGAGCTCCCATCTTTGACACGCAATATGCTCCGCCTCTCAACCCTAAGACGGGTGTCTTCTTCCTCCTTCACACTTACACATTAATCGACAAGTTGCTGCTACAAGTAAAGCGACTCTTATCTCGGAAATGGGATTCGAGTTAGATGCTCATTGAGTGAACAAGCTCTAGAGGCGTTTTTCCCTATTGGCCACAGTGGGCGGGATGGACTGTGGCTTGCCTAGGCGATTGATGTCGTAATAATAACACACCTTCACTAGTCCCACCTCCCACAATTTCCGGGCCCACTTACGTCTCCAAGCTATCCTTGGTTAACAAATCTCTCCTCTCCTCTTCACTTGTTCTTTTTCCGTCCCAACACACATGCCCTTGCCATCAGGGCGCTCCTTCCCTTTCTCTCATAAACCTCCCATACCGGCACCTTGAGGACTCCTACCATTGGGAGTCTTCTCCCCTATGAAGGGCCGGCCGTCTGCGTCTTCTAGAGACGCTGACGGATCCACCGTCGACCAGGAAAACCCCTCGAAATCGTCAACGAAGTGGCAGCACCCGACCGACCGAGTTCCGACCCCCCTCTCTCCATCTTCTGCAAGAAGTAGGCGCTCAACAAATATCACCTGGAAGGTTAATAGGGACCGAAATGGTACTGCAGAACCCAACTTTGTTGTGGCCGCATCCAAGGCGGTCGCCGCGGGCCAGGGGATCAAAGCCTCAGCATTGAATCCAAACCCGTCTACGATGAAAATACGTCGCGGACCATGGTCGATCACCTACCTAATTTTCTTTACGTCTATTATCGGCCTCGGTTTGCTTGCAACCATTCTTTACTCGCTCGTCACCCAACATCTTGACCCTAAGGGTTGTCGAATGTCGTATATGCGGCCGAGTTATATCAAGTTTAGTGAATTCGATACGGAGCATACCCGTTTCGCGAGTAAATATTCCCTCTACCTGTATCGTGAACAGACAGTAAATGATGATAAGGTAAATGACCTTCTACCCTCACTTCTCCTGCCTTTTTCGACCTGCTATTTTCCAATACTGACAGCGTATTGATCAAACGATAGTTGAGAGGCATCCCAGTCCTGTTCGTGCCCGGAAATGCCGGAAGTTACAAACAGGTTCGCCCCATCGCAGCCGAAGCTTCGAATTACTTCAATGATGTTGTCCAACATGATGAGGCCGCCATGGCCGCTGGAACTCGCAACTTGGACTTCTTTACCGTTGACTTCAATGAGGACATCACTGCATTTCATGGCCAGACTCTTCTCGACCAAGCCGAGTACCTCAACGAGGCTATACGATACATTCTCTCACTATATATGGACCCGCGCGTGTCCCCAAGATCGACCGACCTGCCCGATCCGACCTCCGTCATCGTTTTGGGTCATTCGATGGGCGGAGTCGTGGCTCGAACAATGCTCGTCATGCCTAATTATCAGACCAATTCTATCAATACGATCCTGACAATGTCTGCTCCACATTCTCAGCCGCCCGTTACATTCGATGGTGAAATTGTGCAGATATACGATACGATCAATTCATATTGGAGGAACGCATACTCCGAGAAATGGGCCAATAACAACCCTTTATGGCATGTCACGCTCGTCTCAATCGCTGGGGGCCTGGACACTGTAGTGCCGTCGGATTATGCAAGCATCGAATCAATAGTTCCCGAAACACACGGCTTCACTGTTTTCACAACCACCATCCCAACTGTCTGGGCCAGCATGGACCACCAAGCTATCCTCTGGTGTGATCAGTTTCGGAAGGTTGTCACTCGAGCTTTGTATAACATTGTGGACGTTGGAAGAGCTTCACAAACTAAGCCGCGCGCGGAAAGGATGAGAGTCTTTAAGAAATGGTTCTTGACTGGCCTAGAGCTGGACGCAGAAAAACCCTTCCATTGCAGCTGCCATCCACTCTTCTCACCCTCGGCGACAGCACAAACACTGTGATTCCCGAAGGGGAGCGACTTACAATCCGAGAATTTGGCCGTGGTTCCGGGCCGAGAGCATATCTCATGCCTGTCCAACCACCAGGATCTCCACAGAGCACTCGATTTACCCTTCTATCGGACACCCCTCTCACCCCCGGTGAGAGTGGCAATCTCGAGGTTCTTCTCTGCAGTATTGCTCCGCCTCAGCCTGGCCAATCTACTTTCGCACTGCCTGTAGTCGTTGATCTATCCGTGGACGGCGACGAGTCCGCAAAATTCGTTTGCAAGAATGCGGCTTCTGACATGATAACGCTGCCCCAGTCAACTCATGACTCAAAGTACCCGTTCCCTTCCGCTAAGAATGTGAAAGCCCGCCCTTTCTCTTACCTAGAGTATGACGCGGAGGTACTGGCAGAACATCAGTTTGTCGTCGTCTTAGACATGTCGTCCACCCCTACGGACGGATTTGTCCTCGCCGAATTCGCGGACCATGCTGGTTCTCTTCATACAAAAGATGCGACTTTACCAGAACTCGTTGCGTTTGGACTGAACCTGCGCCTGCCACCAAACCGCTCAACCGTTTCTCAAGTTCGTATCCCAAGCATTGAGTCTAGCTTATTGGCCTACCATCTATACGTTGAATCTCAGGAATGCACAAAGTTCGTGGAACTCTTCGCACCCTTAGTGAGGCAACATATAAGCCGGCCTTACGAATCGAAGTTCTTCGTCAATGCGAAGCAGGCAGAAATAAGCATCCATGGCACATCACCGTTCGTCCCGCCTCCCCTTATATCCTACAATGAGGAGCGCGGGCTTGGATTCCAGATTTGGACGGATCCGACATGCGAAACTGAGATAGTGATAAGCCTCAAGCTCGATATTTTTGGCAGCTTTGGCAAGCTATACATGCGGTACCGCACTGTATTTGCAGCATTCCCTCTTTTGATTGTTGCCCTCGTGCTCGCCAAACAGTTCCAACTATACGACGAAGCTGGCGTCTTCGTATCTTTCACGGAGGGCTTAGATCTTGCCCTTCGTGGGTCGTTCCCGGTCACTGTGCTATGTCTCACACTCCTTTCTATATTTGGCTGGGGAGCCTCGAAAGCCTTTGGATCAGGAACTAGTAAGGGCACGTTGGCGACCGACTTCTACCAAAACGATAGTGTTGTCGGAATGACCGACCCCTTCTTCTGGTTCCTCGTCCCGATAATTGGTACTGTCAGCGTCGGAGTGTGCGTTGGCGTTCACTACCTCACTCTTTTCTTGGTTCAGCTCTCGGGAATCATCTCTAGCATCTTCGCCGAGCACGTGGCCAAGATCGACGAAACGCGCCGAACAACATCTCCCATGCTCTTTTCTCCAACATCTCCCCAACGGCGTGCAATAACCACTGGAATTCTCCTGTTTTTAGTATCCACCTTCATTCCTTATCAATTCGCCTATCTTGTCGCCTGTCTAGTACAACTGATTACTACCGTTCGTGCATTGCGCGCTCTTTCTTCTCACCGGCAACTGCCAAACTTCAACTTCTACAACTACGCACATTCGGTTTTCCTTCTCATGCTCTGGGTGTTACCCATCAACCTGCCAATTCTCGCTGTGTGGCTGCGAAATCTTGCCGTTCAATGGCTAACCCCCTTTTCCTCTCACCACAACGTCCTGTCCATTATTTCATTCATTTTTCTCGTGGAGAATATGACGACCGGGAAGATGATACCTCGAGTAACTGGCCGACTCAGGCATATTACACCGGCGCTATGCATCGGTACTGCTTTTTACGCTGGGATTTATGGCATTAGCTACGCCTACCGTCTGCATCATCTCGTCCACTTGATATCTACATGGCTAGTGCTTATTTATCTTACCTCTGGCTCATGGTCTCTTACCAACCTCAGGGCAGTTTTTGATGACGATGCAATTGACGCTCGGAAACGTGGGAAAACGCCGTGATCGTTTTTGCGGTCCACATACCCTTCCATAACACCCCTTATCTTTCTTCGAATATGTTCCGCGCTATGTCTAGTGCTAGGAACAATTGTACATAACGAAACCTGACTTTCTGGATACCCTTTGCCTGCGAGAGTTGCGTCTGTTCGAATTAGGACCCATATCCTCACTCCAGGACGTATCCCGCTATTTGGACATATCGCCTACCAATAGGTGGCTTCAAAATTTAGCCCTCGCCCAATACCCTCTTGTTGTGGGGAAGAGGGGCCCGCGGCTCGGACACCACTCTACAGGGTTACATGAATTGTCGTTGGTGCTAGGATCGGCTTGGCTTTCAAGCAATGCGCGATCCTTTCACCCGCCCTATTTCCACGGACCCGGCTTGTAGGGAACGCTCATGGCTAGGGAGACAGACGACTTACCCTCGCTTTCCAGCTATGGTAGAACTTGGCTGCAGGTATAGTTAGCCAGACGGTGCGGTGATTCAACCACTAAGATGGCCCCTCTTCATGTGGCCTGGGGTAGTAGCGCCCTCATTCATCTCTTCGATGGTTTCTGTGTTAAAGCCTGCAACTGGCATCCCTACTCGGCAGGCTTTGAATACCTAGTTGTTTCCTCAACCTAGCGTAATTTTGACGAAGTGGAACGAGTCGCATCCGCTTCGAGAGTGCGTCGATACTACTCTAGGAGGCTTGGTGTTGTCCTTTCAGCGACCATCTTTCCTATGTTCAACACTGTACATAGATTTCAACGGCAAGAGTGCATTAACCATTGCCTTGGTTTACTTAATATCTTACAGACATGTTTAATAGAGAGCTCACAGGGCGCCCCCAGTGAATCTTGATTTCCTATATGTGCCTTATTCCGTCCTTTCTATCTTATTTGCCAGGCCTTACCCTCTTCAGGGGGACATGAGCTGGATGGCGAAACCTCGCTTCCGAATCTCGACTTCAGCGCAACGAGAGAGAACTCGAGCGTGTTGTTTGATTCTCCGTGACCTTCTCCGCACCCGTCATAGCGGAATTATTTCACGCCTCACACCAACGGTGCTGCACACTGAAACAGGACCATGGGAGTTGCGATTGATATTGATTATTTGGCCTCGTTCGAATTCGGCGTGTTTGTGCTAGTGATCATCTTGTTCATCCTTCCCCCAAAAGGGTTGCCTTCCGATCGCTTTGAATGATCCAAAGGGCCAAGCCAAGACCGACTACACTCGCAACAAGACTTGTGACATATGCAGACTTGTAACATTCGACGCCCTCTAGGCAGATACGTTGGCCGCCTGGCCCAACCGTACTATGTGTGTCATAAATCTTTCCATAGAAGATGTTAAATGCATTGCCTGTTATGGCCGGCGCTAGTGTCATGAAGCCCCAGTTCTGACTGAGGCCGTGAATTCCGAAGGTTTCCGCAACGATAGATGGGAAGACTCCAAAAAGGAAGCCATACCCAAGACCTGACAGACCAGACACAAAGGCAAGAAGGTGGGGGTTGGTAATCAAGATGGCACATAGTTGTGCAAGAAAGAAGATAGTGCTCGCGATAGCGATGCACCAAAGTCGGTTAGCATCGAGGACCTTGACAAGGAAGTCGGAGCCAACGCCTAGGTGGGCGTTCAAAGTTAGCAACATTATGATCGTTAGGCTCTTCAATCTTTACACCCACATACCACTCAAAAGTCTCCCCGAGAAACTACATAGAGAAAGAATCGAAACGTGGAGTTGCTGTGTTCGGACAATGAACGTTTGGTCGGCCGAGTCATCATACTTTCGCCATAGTGCTTTGACAACATTGCCCACATTACTATTACAATTGTCAGAGGACAACCCCGGGCTATAGTAAGGTAGGGAGAGCAAAAGCATACTTAATAGTCATAAGGCCGATTCCCGACAAGACTCCCATCAAAACGAATAGCTGCCAGAACCGCCGAAGTGGTAGAAGTTGCACGCCGCGCAGGTCTACGCGATGAGACCGACGGATATCAACGCTGCTTTGGACAAGTATTTCTCCTGGTAGCGATGAAGCATGGGATATCAGAGATGATGTTTCGTCCGAGGTTTCGTGATCAGTGAAAACGCCAGGCGGAAGGGTATTGGGCGGGCTCTCTCCAGGATAGCGGGGCAGCTGTTCAGGTAGTTCTTCGTCACTCTGCACTGATCTATGGTCAGTAGGATCTGAACTGTTAAGAATAGGCGACGCACTATGGTCGCGTGGCGGTGTGGTTGGCTCTGTAACGGCGATATCATCTCTAGCTCTGTCGGAAGCTTGGTTGACGCCGCTATCGAGAACCGGATCAGCTGGTAGAATTACACTGTAATTATGGGGAGGAATGACGCGCAGGAAGAACAGGCTGATGAACACGGTGCCGGCCGTTCCGTAGGCAAGAAGAAGAAGAAATGGGCTTGTGTCGCCGTTGAAAAATATAGCTCCAAGGGTCGAAAAGAAAAACGCACTGAGGCCAAAGCTGCAAGAGGAAATGCGGTGGCAGTTCCTCGGTGGTCGGGCCAGTTTAGGGCTGACGTCTTCATGGCCGCAGTGAATGCCATGCAGGAGCCTAGGCCTGTGAGGAAAGAGAAGAGACAAAGCAGCGGCACAGGCCCAGCTGCCAAGTCGTAAGCTTGATGTAGGGGAAAGTAGCCTAGCGCAAGCAGAGTCATGCCAGCAATCACAGCCGGGCGAGGCCCTCGAGAGTCGATTAGCACGCCAACAGGGAAGCCCACAAGATACATTCCCATGTTACCGAAAAGGCCGATGAGATTGCTCTCTGTTGAGGATAGTTTGAGGCGGTCTGCGAACTGGGGCGCCCATGCGGAATAAACATACTAGCAAGGGCCGAGGGAAGTAAGTTGTCATGTCTGGGTAAGTAGGGAGCTGCGCGCGATTGTTAAACCAACATTTGTTCCACAGGCAAGGGAAATTGCCGTCGCAGCGGCGCTGGCCACGATGCGGGCACGATGCACACTCGGGTCTCCCATTCTCGTAGGTTATCTCGAGTGGACCCAGAACTGATGCATGCTGCGTTGAAGACAGATTAGGGCGAGGGTCCGCCTTTGGTATGTTTGATGGATTAGTTCTGGATATTGGGGAGAGAGAAACTCTAAGCGACTTTGAAACGAATGGGGGAGAGGAGTGTCTGCTGTTCTCAAGACAGAACGCAGATGCCTAATCTGAATATCAGAGAGAATCGCCGTCCACCGATTTGCAATGGTCAAGGAGGAGGTGAGGAGGCCAGGCCAAATGTTAAGCCACGAGGGGCTGTCATGTGCTCAAACTTGGCTCTCGGGATCAGCATCCAGGTAGCTTGTATTAGTGGCACACGTAGTGTACAATTCATGCCTCCGCATTGGCTGAGAGGAATGTGGCGTTGCGTTGCCATCATTGTTTCAGGAGCCTTTTGGGGGTGATTATTCATTCAGATACTAATTCAATTCTTTACTCGAGCTCTTTATTCCATCCCGTCCCCGTGTACCAAAATTTCTTCCTTCTGATACCAACACCGAACCGCAATTTACAAAGCTAATTTTAGTTTGGAATTAATTGATAAATTACGAGACGAATGCCTTCAAGAAGACGCACCAAGATCTCTGTAGTGGGGTCTCGCGAGTGGTGCTGAAACTTCCTCAGTGAAAGTGGGCTGTAAGGAGGTAGCCATGATTGATCCATGGATGTACTGTCCGGGTCCGTCCCAGTCCGGTCGCGACGTAATCCTCACGTGATGGTCATGGCTGTCACCTATGGTCGGAGCCTTGGCTTGAGTGCCAGGAAGGCTGGGAAAGAGCGGCAAACGGGTGACGGCGGTTCCGACTTCGCCTCCTGATCAAGGCAGCTCCACCCCGCAATCTTCAACCACGCATCGTCTCTTCTTGAGTGTCATTTGCAAGCGACTGATATCGCAGAGGCGCTGACATCAATCTTTGAAAATGGGCGCCTTTTTATCGCTACCGCTCCTTGCGGTCCCAAGTATGGGCACTGTGGGTAACTACCCACCACGCTTTCACCGAGCAAGGTCTCGCTGACCCATTGTCTCCGTTTAGATCTTGTCCTGTGTCGCTAGTTGCTGCGGTGCTGCAACTTGTTCCGTGATATGTAGCGCCTGTGGCAAGTGCGGAAATAGGTATGAGTTCGGCGATAGGTATACGGTAGAGGGGGGTAAATGCTAACATACTCGTTGTAGTGTGGCAACGAGAATCGCATATGCGCTCCTCTTGCTTGTCAATTCAATACTCGCGTGGATAATGCTCACGCCCTGGGCAATTGAGAAGTTGCAACATCTTACTTTTGACTATGTCAAAATTAACTGTCCAAACGGGGAATGTTATGGATGGTTTGCGGCGCATCGCCTCTGCTTCGCTCTCGGCCTCTTCCATCTCATCTTGGCAGGGCTTCTCATCAATACTAGGTCGACGAAAACCCGCGCGCCGCACTTCAAAATGGGTTCTGGGGCCCTAAAGTCCTCGCCTGGCTCGTCTTCATCGTCTTATCCTTCCTTATTCCTGACAACTTCTTTCTCTTCTGGGGTAACTACGTGGCGTTGATGGCTGCGATGGTCTTCCTCGTTCTCGGGCTTATCCTCCTTATTGATCTGGCCCACACCTGGGCGGAATACTGCCTAGCACAGATTGAAAACACCGATTCAAAGCTCTGGCGGGCCGTTTTGATTGGTTCAACATTAGGCATGTATCTTGCCTCTTTGGCTATGACCATTGTTCAATACTATTTCTTCGCATCAAGGGGTGTGCCATGAATCAGGCTGCGATCACCATCAACCTCCTCCTCTGGGTAATCGCCTCCGCAATATCTGTCCATCCAACCGTCCAGGAATACAATCCAAAAGCTGGCCTAGCACAGGCCGCAATGGTTGCGGTTTACTGCACCTATTTGACTATGTCAGCCGTCTCGATGGAACCCGATGATAAAAACTGCAATCCTCTTGTCAGAGCTCAAGGCCCGAGAACTACGTCTGTGGTTATCGGAGCCATTATTACAATGCTGGCTGTTGCCTATACCACTACGCGCGCGGCCACCCAAAGCCTTGGGCTTGGTGGTTCAAGTGGTGGCATTCGTCTTCCCGAAGATGATGAGCACGACCTTGTTACCCAGCAACCCTCAGCCAGGAGAGAAATGCGGGCAGAGGCCCTTCGTCGCGCTGTAGAAGAAGGGAGTCTACCGGCGGATGCCCTCCTGTCAGATGACGACGACAGCGAGGATGGCTCACCTAGCGGCCAGGATGATGAGCGCTCGACAACTCAATACGACTATTGCGTATTCCACATAATTTTCTTCCTCGCCACAGCCTGGGTTGCTACTCTACTAACGATGAATTATGATGATGCGACCAAGGATGGAGACTTTGCAACTGTTGGCCGGACATACTGGGCCAGCTGGGTCAAGATTATATGTGCTTGGGTTTGCTACGCAATGTATATTTGGACACTAGTGGCACCTACAGTCCTACCTGATCGGTTTGATCTTTCTTAGTCTAGCCTGTAGCTTTCAGTATTGTCGTCATTGTCACTAGTCTATATCACCGTCAATTCATCCTGCATAGCGGTCCTCCTTCATCCCGGAGGACTGGGGTTTTATTCAAACGTTGTGTTCTTTTCCCGGTTATAATAGAGTGGGCTTGGTGCGCTCTCATTGATCACTTTTCACGTCATTTTTAAAATATATATATATATATATATAATCGCAGTAAAGCCTAGGAGCTAGCTATTCTTCGAGCATCTTATTCATATCTAGGTGCTATGGAGACTTACAGCTGGATTATAATAGAGGGGTTGTAGGTTCCTGACGCGAAGTATGCACCATATGCAATACTCCAAGCGACTTGGGTAGGCGAGATGGAGACGGTCTTCCCTCGGAACGGGTATATGGGGGCTGTTGCTGCAATGCAAGGGACTGGTCGCTGTGGTATCGGCGGACGAAGGAATGAGCCGTCCGTAACATTGGTGGCAAATATTCACCGAGTATAGCACACAAAGAGAAAGCGGAAGCCCGACTTTTAGCAAAGGTGCAATATTGGGTGATGGGATTCCTTTTATTTGCGAACGCCAGGGATATGGCAAAATCGCCCCAAAATTTTGACACGTCCCTCAAGTATATACAGTGGCGGTCCCGTGAAAATGGGGTAGGTGTCGGCAACACAACGTGCGGTGAAAGTGCATCATTGATTGCAAACAGGCTACTGAAGGCATACTACCATAGCTATTGTTTAGTAGCTACGTAGAACTTGAGTTGGCAGAAAAGCTAGATAAGAGGCTATGCAGCTTTTCCGTTGTCACAGGCGGCTCAGGTTCTACGCGAGTCCTGGCAGCGTGAAATCCATCGAGAGTAACGTTGGCAGCACCTGCTTGTACGAGCTAGAGAAAAAGTTAGCGGGATAGGTTCAGACGGTTGAACATATGGGACCTTGCGCCCGAGTACGTACAGCTCGTGATAGGTCATCAATGAGGTCATTCGCATCTTCTATGCCAACACAGAGCCGAATTATATCTTCCGGCATCTGTCTCTCTTCTCTTGTTTTGGCATCGATGCTTGCATGGCTCATTTGGCAGGGCATGCTAATCAAGCTGTTGACACAGCCAAAACTAACGCTGATGCCCCACAGCCTTGCAGCCTCTACAATGCGCTCTGAGAGAGCAGTATCGCCGGTTTCGAAGGCTAAAACAGCGCCAGCACCCTCGCCATCGACCAATGAAGGTCATACTGGGGATGAGACTTCAACCCAGGATAACGCACACGGAATCCATGAGATTCTAGGAATTCCGCAATAGCTTGGGCATTAGCTTGTTGTTTTTCCATACGGATCGCGAGTGTCTTCACACCACGGAGTAGGAGGAACGAGTCGTTTGGTGCGAGCCCACACCCGGTGGCATTTATGGTGAAGAATAGCCTTTCGCCAACAGAAACATCGTTGCAGCCAATTACACCAGCCATGATGTCGTGGTGGCCTGAAAGATACTTGGTCCCGGACTCATAAACGATGTCGGCACCCAAATCAAGCGGGTTGCAAAGCATGGGCGACAGCATAGTATTATCGACGACAACAAGAGACTTATCGTTGGCAGCGTGAACCATGGCGGCAATGGAAGGAATGTCCACGATCTTGATCAGTGGATTGGTAGGAGTTTCAAGAAGTACCATCGCAGTCCTTGGACAGACCGCTTGGCGTACGCTTTCGGGATTGGTCGTGTCGACATGATGGACAACAATGCCTTGGTTGGCAGCCATGTATGTAAGAAGTCGATGAGTCCCTCCGTAGAGGTCGTCACCAGTTATGACATGATCGCCGGGCCGAAGTAGCCGGCAGATTACGTCGAGAGCACCCATTCCAGAGCTGACTGCTAATGCCCTGGAGGCATTCATAATTTTGGCGAGGTGCCTTTCGAGGTGCGTTCTCGTCGGGTTCCCCGATCGCGTATAATCGTATTCTTGTTGTCCCCCGGTGGCTTTTACCTGCTTGAACGTAGCGGTTTGATAAATGGGCACACTCGAAGAGCCATATTGGTCATTGCTATCAGTATACACGAGTTCTGTAGCAAAGGCATATCGCCGGCGGCCACTACGGGGACTGGAAGGGGCTGGAGAAGGAGGGAGCTCGTGACCGTCAAGATCAACTCTCTTGAACGGCTTCCCCGCCTGTGATGGGAGAGGGGTCATGATAACGATATAAGGAAGGGGGCGGTGGGGTGGAGGGACCAAGAAAGGATCAAGATGCGAACAGCAAAGCAAAGTGAAGGCTTGTCAGATCGCAGATCTGGTTCTGATCAGGGCTGGCGCGATTTTGCGATGTTGAAGGAGTTGTCGTTTGGAAGCCGAGTCACACACTTCGAGCCGAGTTTCGGGCAAGGCGTGTAAAAGGAAGTTAGTCAGCACCGCTAGTTTAGGAGTGAAAAACTGAAAATGTCGCCATCGCTCGCGGTTCGGAATGCGTTTCGCGGAGATTGGTCAATGGAATAAATAGTCGACCCACAAAGAAGTACAAGTATATGCCGACCCGAACCTGGCATCTTGGTGACTACTGAAAATAGATGGTGGGGTGAGCGGAACGCAGGTTTACATCCGGAGACTATTCTCTGGAAATGCTTCAAGCCCGGCCTGTTTGGAACGCTCCTTGAGCACGATTTAGGTGGGCAAGGCGGGTGAGATCAGCCAAAATCTCTGCTCGGAAGCATGATCTTTGACAGGCTAAACTTATGGCCTAGGAGGTATTCTGGGTGGGAAGGGTGTCGGCAGATCATTGCTTCTTCCAAACCTGGGGAGCAGCTCGGGCCTGCGGGGTGTTTGACTCTTTTGCCGGCATACAATCCACAATGGATCTCAAAGCCCCTGCCACCGTCAGCCACCTGCACAGGCTCTTAAGACGATAATCCAGTATTCATAATATCAAGTTCTCGCCAAAGCGACTCGTGCCAGTAGATTTGAAAGTGTGGATTTCACGCTACAAAACCCAAAGAATGCATGTAAGGTAAAATGAGTCCCAAGGAACAAAAACATAGCGAGAACAGGATATGACCAGAAGAACTCGGCCAAATATTAGACGTTGATAGAAGGAAATACTGCTTGAGTTTGTGCCTCCCTTGACTCCCAGTATATCATAACCTAAAGGCAGCATTACACTAACTCCATTGATGCATATGAATACAAGAAACCGGTTACATATGGGACCTAGCCCCCATGAATATCGGCCGAAGACTGCGGAAAGCCGTTCCTAACCTAAGGATTCTGCTTCAAAGTCTACTTCCTCGTTCGATGACCCCTTCTCTGCACGCGCGGTGCTCTCGGAAGTCTGCTTATGGGCCCCAGTGCCTGAAGTCTGACCACCCATTCTGCCGAAAAAGTCTTGAGTACGGATACCACGGATGTGATCGGGGTTTATTGACCGCGACTGAACCGCACCATCGCGGTTTGCGCGAATGTACTCCTTACTGGCGCCATTGCTGCATCGCGGCATGCCTCCTAAGATCGCTGCCAGACATGCCAGCGGTAACTTTGACGATGTAATCCAGATTAAACTCTTCAGGGTCTGTTTTAGTATCGGATAGGACAAGTTGCAGGATACGGCGCCTCTGCTCCGCACCGGGAAGGGCAACCGCGAATTTTTGGGCATTCGTCTGAGGATGGCCTCATCGATGTCATGTATCCTGTTTGTCGCCCCCAGCACTACGATCCTTGCAGGAAGGCCAGAGGAGCTCGCAGAGGTTAAGCCGTCCCATAATGTCATGAATCTGGCCAAATGAAAGTCAAAATGATGCTCATAGGATGCTTTCCTCCCCCAAAAGGGAAAAACCCTTGGACATGGAATCTGGGGATCTTACTCAGCCTTAACCATGGCACTCGCTTCGTGATCACTATTGGCTCGCATCCTCAACACGGCATCAATTTCGTCGATGAATATAATTGCGGGCTGCATTTTGCGGGCTAGAGTGAAAACCGCCCGAACCAGTTTATTTGAATCCCCGTACCATTTTTCGAGAAGAGTTGAGATGTGTAAGTTGATGAACGAGGCCCCGCTTTCCCGTGCAAGGGCTTTCGCGAGCATCGTCTTGCCACAGCCTGGGGGCCCGTATAGGAGCACGCCTGACGGGGCTGACAGCAGTGCACCACCATGGGAGTATAGTTGAGGCATCGTCAAGGGTAAATTACCGACTCTTTCAGCTCTTCGATGATGCCATCAAGCCCACCGATGTCTTATCCCAAATGTTAGCAGCAAGTTTTTGTTCCAGTCGGCGATAGGCTACGCTCTCACCATTGAAGCCAACGTGAATATCCTGAGACGCTACCATGTCCATCGCAACAATATTTTCGTACTGGTTGAGCGCTAGATCTTCCACTCTCGGTCCTCGCTGAGAAGCATCCTCTGAGCCGTTGTCTGCTGATCTCTTGCGGTCATTCTCACGTTGGAGGCGTTCAAGGTGAGCCTTCGCCCGAAGGCTTGCCTGTTCATGCTTCTCGCGTTCGGGGTCGGCGATGACGTTCGATATTACCTGGCGTATGACGTAGGCACCGGTAGCTAGCTGGGGAAATTTAGGAATTCGGTTCCCCTTGAAGTTGTTCTAGGTATCTTACAAGACCAGCGAAAAGGAGAAAATCGACAGCAAGGCTGTCAACTCGCCGTTTATCTGCCATCGCAAAGGTGGCGAGGCGGGCGTGGTCGGACACTTGTGATAAGGCCGAGCACTGCGGTGTATAGCTTAGGCTTCGTGTGTCGGGAGGAGGGGGACGGCGGAGCGTGAGTGTCGTAGGACGAAAGAAGCCAAGCCGAACGCTCACGGACGCTTGAACTTCAATGTTATCTGCAGAGCTTAAAAGAAAGGGCTTGATGATGGCTGCCCAAAGCGGAGGGGAGGCCTGTGAAGAAGAGGGGGAGGGCCAAAAAAAAAAAAAAGAAGAAGAAAGAAAAAGAGGCCCTGGAGGTAATCAATCGCCTTGATTTTCGGTGATGGGAGTGGCCATGTGAAAGTTCACCTCGTTAGGCCGACCTGACACCTCAGGCTGACAGCCGCGAGCGAATCAATTCTCGCACCATCCTCAATATGGGTATTGCCACACCTGCGCTGCGCCTGCGCAAAGAAAGCACAGTGTTAAAACGGTGCCCGGGCACAATCCGAGGATGTTGATGTCTCTTGTTTATTTTCCCAAATAGGATATCGGAAACTCCCCTCTCACTCTTAGTTCACTCGATCTACGAATTTGCGACATTTGCTCGGCGCATACGATCACATACCCATATCGCATTTCCTACCCCAATCTAGCCACCCACCGGTAACATAAGAAAGTTACACAGTTCTTTTTAACGACAAACCGCACGAGCTTTTTACTACACGTCTTCATCGGTTTTTCGTTAGAAACCAGCTCGGCCGCGCCCGCGCGAGGACTACACAATTGGCGACGCTTCTTTAGCCTTGCTTTAGTAAATCAGGAAACAGGCGCAACTTTTCTATGACAGCGGGTACGACGACCAAGAGACCCCGCGGCCGGCCAGCGGGGTCCTCCAACAGGGTGACGAAGCCCGCCCCGAAGACTTCGGCTCACCGGACTAGCGGCAGACTCGCTACAGCTGTTGCTGTGGCCAGCAATGATGTGGAAGAGGGATCAGGGTCTGTTTCGGGTCAAAGGAATAACAAGAAGATGGCGGCTACCAGAGCCACGACTGAGGACGGTGGAACTAGTGCTACCGAGAAGCCCAAAGTGGGCCGTGGAAGGCCGCGTACGGCCCCTAAGCGGCCTACAATACAGGAACCCGCATCTAAGGCAGATGGCGGTAGTGATGGCGATGGCGATGGCGATGGCGAGAGTGGTAAGAAGAGTGGCCGCCCAACTGCTGACGCGGACCCAAGCTCGTGTCTTCCCACAATAATACCAAAGAGGCGCCGTGGGCGCACACCCACCCTATATGACACTGAGATACCAGAGACGCAAACAACAGAACATATGGAGATAGATGACGAACGCGAAGAGTTGGGGGATCTTCCCCAGGTGCTTCAAGCGACGCGGTCGAGGGGCCCGCTCCATCAGCGATTCCACACACAAGCGCTAGGTCCCGAAGGGCACTCGACATGGACACATCGGATGTCTCCCTACGTCGGAAGCTTGGCGAATTGAGCAAGAAACACGAGATCCTGGAATCAAAATATCGCCATCTACAAGAAGTTGGCGCGAGAGAAGCGGAGAGAAACTTCGATCGCTTGAGAAAACAAGCGGAAGAAAGAGCGCAGAGTAAGTAAATGTCGCGCCTCTCTAGGAGAAGTTGTGAACATCGCTAACGTGTAATGTTTAAAGCCTCTAAAGATCTGATCTGGAATCTCAAAACCGAGCTTGAAACCCAGGTGGGGCTTGCAAAGAGGGCCAGAGTTTAGCCAAGACGATGCAAGCGCAAGAATCGATGATTGCTAGTTTGCAGCAAAACTCGAAGATTTAACAGCAGCCCTTTCTGATTCTCGAGCCGAAAATAAATCTCTATCGACGAAGCTCGCGGTGAGTCGGTCAGCCGAGGCAACCTTGGCCAAGGTGCCCGGCAGTGCGGTAAAATCGCAGGGTCAGGCTCGTGGCACTGTAAACTCCGACATCATTCAAGCGGCGCAAATGAAAGAGGACCTTTACAGCGACTTGACAGGATTAATCGTTAGGGGGTGAAGTTTTATGACAAGGAAGATATCTTTGACTGTCTGCAAACGGGGCGAAATGGTAGTGAGTACAGTTCTTCATTGCGCGATGCCCGCACCAAACGTCTTCCCACCAATGCACTAATTTTTGTTTGGTTCCAGCTTTGCATTTCAAGTTATGCATCGAGACCGACGCTACTGGGGACGGGTTTGAGGAAGCGCACGTAACATATCAGCCACAGTTGGATGCAAATAGAGACAGCGCATTGATTGATATACTACCGGATTACTTGAGAGAGGAGATTACCTTCCCACGCCCTCATTCGGCCAAGTTTTATGCCAGAGTGACGAGAGCCTTGACCGAGCTTGCAGAGTAAGGCGGCCCGTTCACTGTATTTCTTTCTCTCCTCTCCTCTGGTTGGGTTGTTTCACGATTGTTCCGTCTAGGCATGCAGTGGGCGTATAGTATTGAATTGTTACGCGGGAATATTGACCTTGGTAACGGATGCGAATTCCTGGTTAGGTTGAGAACCAAGAGGGCACGCTCATTCCTCTCGTTTCTCCACCGGAGATGTGTTGAAGGCTTTGGGGAAGAGTAATAATGAGCTTGCCTGAGAAATATAGAAAGAGCAAAGTACTCTCTCTTTGCCTAGTTTGTTCGTCTTGGATGCTTCTTCCGCACGTGGATTGGCTCCAAAGACCTTTTTTTTTTTTTTTTTCTTTTCGGATGGACCCCTAATATTGTCGGGTTGAGCCGCGAGGACCTGGAAGGCCAGTGATTAAAATTGGCTTTTAACTGAATGATCAATCGAAAGGGGGTGACCCGGATGGACAAGAAATACAGGTGCTTAATTGGTGAAAGGTGCTGAGTCAACAGACCAAATGGTAATAGATCAATGGACTAATAGACGGATCCCACCATCAATTGATCGAAGCGGATCCATCCAGGGGACACCTGGCGCGCACGCGTCGTTAATGGCTGGGCCGACCGACTTCAACTGACGCAGCACGGCAGCTGAAGTCTCTCGACTCACCTCCAAGCTTTGGATTGAACCTTTGCACCACCACAACAGGCCGCTCTCTTCAACAAGCCAACATTAATACTCGCCTTTGTGAGAGACTCCTCTTCACGGAGTTGTCGGATTAGACAATCACATTGCCTCGCACAATCCTTTAAATGGCTAACACGAGCCTCTAGATTTAGGCCTTACTTTATCTATTTTCCCTTCTCTCCTTCGTTTACTCCCATTTATCCCCTTCCAAGTTCTTTTTTTTTTCTTTTTCATAAGAGCTCTAATCCTCATCCTTCTCAGCGTCGTGGCGCACTTCCCCTCCTGCCCTGGCCCTCGCTTCGATCATTCTCTCGCATCTCATAGCATGGCGGGAATCAACCGCCTGGGCTTCTTAGCCCTCGCCATGGCCTTTCACCTGGTTTATCTTTTTCTATCTTTGATATCTACTTCGTTAGCCCCATCGTCTCCGGCATGGAGCTTTTCCAGCTCGAGCGGAAAGAACCAGGCGCGATGCCACCTGCTGATCGCCTCGTCTTGTTCGTTGGTGCGATGAATCCTCAACCCTACCCCATAGTTATCACAATTCAAGCTCCGGTTCAGTGGGAGTTTGATCTCAAACCAACCCCGCGCTAACTACTGTTGCCGAATTAGGAGACGGGCTTCGCGCCGACAAGACATTCCTTTCCTTCCCTGAACCGTATCCCAAGTCAGATGAAGATCTCACCCCCGACCGCTTGCCCCGTTTTTGCGCTCCCGAGTACTCGAGCATGGCACGTTTGGTGTCTCCCATACGAGAGTTCCCACAGAGTCTCGCCCTGGTCATGTTGCACTTATCGCTGGCTTGTACGAGGATGTTTCCGCGGTCACAACGGGCTGGAAGCTCAACCCCGTTAATTTTGATAGCGTTTTCAATCGGAGTCGCCATACATGGAGCTGGGGTAGCCCGGATATCCTGCCCATGTTTCGAGATGGTGCAGTGCCTGGCCGGGTAGATGCTGACTACTATAGTGAAGACTTCGAGGATTTCTCCTCGGATGCTACTGCTCTTGACTACTGGGTCTTCGACCACGTGAAGGAATTCTTTGCCGAGGCTACCAGGAATGAGACCCTGAATGAGGCTCTTCGCCAGGATAGGATTGTCTTTTTCCTTCATCTCCTTGGCCTCGATACCGCGGGTCACTTCAATCGTCCATACTCCAAAGAATACCTCCATAATCTACAGGTAGTAGATGCTGGTGTAAAAGAAATTGTGGAATTAATTGAGTCATTCTATCAAGATGACCGAACCGCTTTCGTGTTCACGGCCGACCATGGTATGAGTGACTGGGGTAGTCATGGAGATGGCCACCCCGACAACACTCGTACGCCCCTCATTGCTTGGGGCTCCGGAATCGCCAAGCCCGTTGCAGTGCCCGATGCGATTGCGCCTGGCCATGATGACTTTTCGTCTGAATGGGGGCTGGACCACATCAAACGCCATGACGTTAATCAGGCGGACGTGGCAGCACTGATGGCTTATCTCATAGGCGCCGAGTTTCCCGCCAACTCTGTTGGAGAGTTGCCCCTGTCATACTTGTCAGCTGATATAAAGGAAAAGGCAGAGGCATCTCTCCTCAATGCGCGCGAGATACTTGAGATGTACCGAGTCAAGGAAGCGAAGAAGAAGGAAACCGAATTGCGATACAAGGCATTCGAGCCCCTTGGCCAGCCGGATCTTACTCCGTCCAAACGACTTACATCTATACAGAAGCTAATTCTGGCGGGGCAGTACGAAGAGGCTATTGAAGAATCGGACTCCCTGATGAAGCTTGGGTTACAAGGGTTTAGGTATCTCCAGACGTACGACTGGCTGTTTCTGAGGGCGCTTATTACCATTGGGTATCTGGGGTGGATGGCATTTGCTCTCGCCACAGTTATGGATGTCTATGTTCTGCAAAGCTCCACCCCTCCTTCACGAACACCCTTGAGCAACATTGCATTCTCTTCCGTTTTAGTGTCGCTATATGCGTCATTCATCATTTCGAAATCGCCGTTAGCCTACTTCGCATACGCATTTTTTCCAGTTTTCTTTTGGGAAGAAGTTTATGCCCGGCGGTCTATTCTTACAAAAGGAAGGCAGGTATTGTTTGGGCATATCCAGTCAGGTCCCGCACTGTTCTCTCTCTTCATTAATGCCACTCTTTACGTTGGATTAATTGTATCCCTGGTACGTTCACGCATCTCAAAGGCTTCCGAAAGTGCTTGCCAGCTACTAAAGAGGGGAAATTTTTCATCATAGGCCCTTGCTTATATCCATCGCGAGATTCTGACCGTACTCTATCTCGTTGGAGTTCTGTGGCCTCTTGGTCACGGTATCGGATTCGTCCAAAAACATGCTGTTCTCTCAGGAACGTGGATGGTATCCTGCCTTATCATGAGCACCTTTACGCTGTTTCCTGCCATGAAGACGGAAAGCATCCCATTGATGTGAGTTGCCATTGCCGAGTGTTAGGAGGTATTAGCGTTAACATTGTTGCTAGCATGGCGGGCGGTGTTCCAATGGCTTTGATTGGAATCTTCTATCTTGTTTTTGAGGATGCTATATTGTCAGGCGTTTCATCTCGCAAATCGCGGTTACCGGGAACTCTCCAGGGCCATGGATTTGGCAGGATTTTAATAGGGATCCAGGTATGTGCATGTCTAGGCCAGTGTAGCGTAGCAAAACGAGTGCCATTTGAAAATACGGCAGAGTGCTAACCTAGCCACCTAGGTCGGCTTTATCATACTCGCGATGGTCGTTACACGCTCGAGCGCCTTGTCTCTCCAGGCCAAGCAAGGCCTTCCACGCGGCAATCAAATTGTTGGATGGGTAGTTATGGGTATGGCTCCGCGTAGACCCTCTTTCCCTCTCGGACCGTGCACTAACTGGGACAATTAGTCGGGGCATTCGCCATGCCACTCGCCTCCCGCACACGCACCAACAAACATTATCTTCACCGGTTGCTCGTCATGTTTCTCACATGTGCTCCAACGTTCATCCTACTCACCATCTCCTATGAGGGCTTGTTCTACGTTGCATTTTCGGTGACCCTTGTCTCGTGGGTGAGCCTGGAACACCGAATCTATGTTGACAGGGTTGCGGCCAGGGCCGCAGCACCCCGAATCTCGAGTGGACCCACAACTAAGGGTAAAGCGAAGACGGGATTCCGCCCCTAGAACTTGCAGACGCGAGGGTCGCCTTGTTCTTCTTTATTCTTCTTCAGTCAGCCTTCTTCAGCACGGGCAATGTCGCATCAGTATCGTCTTTTAGCCTGGAGAGCGTTTGCCGGCTTATCCCGGTATTCGACCCGTTCTCCCAGGGCGCCCTATTGATCCTAAAGATCGTGATTCCCTTTGCATTGATCTCGGCAAATCTTGGGGTGCTGAACAAGCGTCTTGGAGTGGCGCCATCGGCGCTCTTCATGTTAGCCATGACTGTCAGCGATATTGTGACCCTTTATTTCTTTTGGGTTGTGAAGGATGAGGGATCATGGTTGGAGATTGGGTCGACAATCAGCCACTTCGCCATTGCCAGTTTTATGTGTGTCTTTGTTGCGGCCCTCGAAGGTGTGAGTGCATTGTTCATCTCGGGAATAGAGGTTGAGCCGCAGCCGCCATCCACCTGAGAGACGCGCACGAACAACCTCACGCCAATATAGATGTGCACATGGCCAAGCGGCATACACTCCACGCGTAACTTATTAATCACTAATCCCCCACTCATTGTGAAAGGGACCAGCCAGGAATGGAGCATATATATGTAAGCGCTAAGGTCGTCCGACAACTTGCCCTCATGGGCTCACAGGGCCCCGATGCAATTCAAGGCCTCTTTATCTTTATTTGAGATACAGAGTTGCTAGATCAACTATCCTCAATAGCATGGACGGTTGTGTGCGCATTAATACATCCAGTGTCAACCCCAACCCAGGTTTGGTAAATTGTGCTTCACTCAAAGGTGTTCAGACACCTCAGCCTTACCATACATGTAATACTCATAGACTTACCTCGGCACAATTTCAGACGCCGTCATTAGGACCCACCTACATCGCTGAATGAAACAGATCGATCAAGTTTGTTGGACCGAAATTCCCGAAGGCGCAGAGTGACGAGACAGGAAATCCACTTTTATTCATATGACAGGAAGAGCAGACATCATGGTTGTTTAATGTCGGGTTGAAGAGTCGTCTCCGGCATGGCTATTAAATGCGTTCTGATCCTTGCCGTTCTCAAGACATGTGTCAGACCTAGGGCCAAGGAGGATGAACTAGATCCGACGGGGCATACTCGCAGAAGAGAAGAGAAAAGAAGAAGAAAAAACGGGCATCCCTCCTCAGACAATACCCCCGCATGAAGTACTCTCCAACCGTTCGAAAGTGGTAAAGTGGATGTTGCTTACATTCGAAGTAGTGCCGCAGGGCCCAAAGTTTCAAGCGAAGAGACGAGACGTTCCCTTGATTTCCATACGATGATAGATGACACAAGACAAGCAGGTGAAGGGGAGGGGAAACTGAGAGGGGCGGGTGTATCATCAGCCTTGACGATTTGGGGTATTATTCAGGAACAATAGTATTATTACTTGGAGCGAGCCTGTGGCCTACAGGGGAATGTGCTCTTGACAAGATGAGTTTGATACTTCGTAATTAGTCCTCGGAATTGCCGGTTATCATCCTGGCTAAACGGTAACGTTTTGGAGGTTTTGTAGCGAGAATCCAGCCCTGCTTGGAACACTCACAGGGACCAGTAGATCATCGCATCCTTCGCTGAGAAAGCACCAGTCCCGTCCGGGGTATGGGGTTGTTTGACACACGGAAGCCACATGCAGGCTCCATGTCGAAATATAGTGTAAAGAGGAGGAGGAGTGCCTTCTGCAGAAAAGAAAGTAAAAACAAGTCCTCAAACGGTGAAAAAAACTACTAGAACATATGTCAGTTGTATAGTGTGGGGTTATGAGTGAGAACCTCTTGGGTCAATCTCAATATTAGATTCTTTCAGGGGAAGAACATCAATTGATGGTCAGCTGGCGAGCCTAATAGTCCAAACGCTACTGAGGGCCTTCATGACTGATACAGGTCTACTTGCAATCCCCTCATCCTTCTCGTCACCCCTGCAATTTTATACAGCTATCGCCGGGAGGGGACTGCACGAGCGTCGCATGCTAGACCTGTGTCAAGGGGGTCCCTCCCAATCTAGTCTCTGCCCCGGAGGAAAACGGGTGAAATGCCCGAGTTACTTCTTACAAGCAGAATCGCCAAGATATTGAGACAGAGCTTGTCAAGTTGGGGTGGCAATATTAGCTCCTTGACAGCGATGAGAATGTGAGAATGGATGTATTGGGGAATAATAATGGCAATTTGAGAATGGCCATCAGAATCCTTCAAAATCGAGTCTGGAGATGGGCCAAGAAGAGATCCATTGCACAATAGATGGGCCACTCTAGATCGCGGAAAGGAACGCAGCACAGCTTTGAAGCCTCCGTGTCACTAATGACCTGCCCACTAACTTGGAACTGACGCGAGATACTCGAGGTATTATTAGATAGACATGGTGCTTGCAGTTTTGATCCATTATATTCATTGATTTAAAAAGGGACCCCTTTATGAACTTGTGAAGATGTGTCCTGTCTTTCACATGTGATCATGAGATGCGGATGCATTGAATCACGACCTGCCTGCAGTAGGATTTTTGCAACCTTAAAATTGGCACAGGAATTATAGGTTTGCATGTGCCTGTGCCCACGTTTCCGGCTCAGCTCTCAGTGACTTCCCCGCGCGAGTGCAGGGTGGCACCCCATCGTCTCACACGAGCTCGGCCTGCCTACCCCAGGTTGGTCACTTGTGTTTTCCTTCAATACTTGTAGAAATTGGGCTTCACATAATAATAATAGCAATCGAACTGTGGAGGGCAGGGGCAATTTGTGCGGGGTGGAGGGATGGTCTGACGAGCGGAGCACATTTCGCCTCATTGTGGTTGGTGGTTCTGAGCCAGCATTAGCTCGGCCGTAAGACTCCTCTTCGAGAACCGTGTCCGCGCTGGGACATGCGCCGGCGGCCAAGAAACTCACCATCAACTTTACGTTTCGAGGCCTCATGTACATACCCGCGTGAATCCCGTGCACTGTTCATTTCCGGTCCACGGGCGCAGATGGAACCTCCCCTCCCCGCTCTCAGCTTTTCCAGTGCCAAGACCCTGAGAGTGCAGCAGCAAGTGGCGCCCTCCTTGTCATTGAACGGACGGCAAGAATCGATCTGAGCTTGTGATCTTTTGGGGGCGCAAGAATCTAAAGACCAGCCTACTGATGGCAGTTGAATAGAATGTGGGGTAGCGCAAGAGCAACTCGCACGAGAGGCAAAACGCTCACTCAATCAGTGCTACTTATAGTTCGATCCTCAAGAGGAAGCCTAGCCCATCATCATCCTCTGACTCTTACGGGCTTTTCCAATTTACTGGGCCTCTTGAAGGAGGTGAGCTTTCTTCCTGTTTTTTTTTTTTTTTTTTTTTGTTGCTTCCTTTCCATGCTCAATGTTCTCACACTTCTAATTCTCTCCACTCCTTGGTCAGGTCTCAAGTATAACCCCTTCCTTTCTTGTGCATGTATTCGGACTATTATCTTTTATCTTTTTTCTTCTTCCTTGTCTTGGCTGCGGTGAGGAGAACCTGAATAGTGGCTGGTCTCAGCGGCTCTCCATTCATGGAGTTTTACGTTTTACACCATCATCATCATTCTACCGTTCCATCAGTTTAAGTGATCAAGGCGGAAAGTGTACATTGCGCTATCAACGCTGTCGATGTGTGCTCCTCCGGCGCTGCCGTAAAAGTTTGTTAAAACTTGAATAATCAGTCCAGGGTGCACTGGAGCCTTGGGCAATCGTGCTACTCAATTGATCTGTGATACTCCGCCCCTTCTTCTCCAAGCACTGTCGGACCATGCTGCGGGTGGCTCCATCAATATCTTGTTCCGGCATCTTCCAGTCAGTCTGGGTCCACGCATCCATTCCATCAATTGACATGAAAAGTAATTTTTACTCACCCGCCGGGCAAGGGCATGCCAACCGTCTTGAGGGGTAATACTCGAATCACCCTTTCTCAGTCATGGATCCCGACCAAGCAGCTCTTGCGAGCACAACTAGAAGTACCTCCGTAGCTGGGTCCGTCGCAGTTTTGTATCTTCTGTGCTGAGTTGATGGTGAATGCATGGATCCATACTGTCCTGGTTTGAGAGTCCTTCATACAGTGCCTACTGTTGCACTAAATTGCTAGCATGCGCCTAGCCCACACAGGCAAGCGTTGAAGCCTCTGCAAACCTCTTCCAGAGTCCCGCAAGCCCCTCCCCACTTTCCTCCACTGCGCACCCACAACATCGAACCTCGCACCCCAAGACTTCCGGACCCCGGGATTCTCAATCTACGTCGCGGTCTTCACATCCACCGATTTCTTCCTCCCACAGTCCTCTTCCCATACACTCAGGCTGCTCCGCGTCACCGCGTGCCGCCACAACTCCGTTTTCAACTTCTCTTCCAAATTCGGAATGTCATTGTCGAGTCGTCCTCACCATACCTCCCTCCCCACTTTCTGCTTCGTGATTTCCCATTCCTTTCCACCCCCTCCATCCTGCTCTTCTTTCCCCGCAGGAGAACAACCCGTGCTCTAGATCCAGGTATCACTCTCCGGGAAACGAAAGAGTTGGAGATGTCGTCCGTAGACACGCCCAACTCTGTCAAGCAGCCGTCAAGCTCGCCGCCCGCCAATGCCCCCGACCGCTCCGAGCTCGACGGGCTCCGCTACTCCTGCCGCTTCGAGTGCGCAATCGGCGGCGGCAGCGGCAGCAGCGGCGGCGGCGGCAGCTAATCAAGTCAGCTTTCGAAGGTTCGCGCCCCTTTATCCCGACTTGAATTTGATTCACCAGCAATATTCACTATCATTATCGCGTGCTGGGTACTGACAGAAATTGGGTGAACGATTGCAGACAGAGAGCTTCTCGAGCATGTGAGGTACGGAAAACCAACCGGGTAGCGACTTGCGCCGTTGCTTCTCGATGAACCTATGAGTGAGAGACAAGTCGTCTCTTACACCACCCTCTCCCTCCCCCGACGTCGTGATCGGCTTTCGCGTTCCTTGATTTCCCTCGTGCTAACCAAATTCCCACCATCCTCGTAGACATGTCATGCCCGAAAGGTAATGTCGCAAATCATGATCGCCTTGCACACCGCAAAGGGCTTGCGTACTAATCAGTGAGGTTAGGTTCGATGTGATGCCGCGAGCCTCGGAGTGCCATGCACAAATTGTGTAGCATTCCAAATCGAATGTCGCATACCGGTTCCGAAACGCAAGAAGACTCAGACGGGCACGTCTCAGAAGGACGCCGATAGGTATGTTCCCTAAGGCTGCGATCTTTCGCCTAGCCGGATCCCGCTGGGAACCCTTTTTCCTAACTCATGTCGTGCCCCTAGTGACCGTGGCGAACGCAACAATGAGGGGACCGCTGAACACTCTCCCCGAGCTCGTAGTATCACGGCCGGAACCAGCGTTCTACCTCACAGAGCCGCCGTTCCTCCCACTGTCTACCATACAACCGAAGGAACCCCATCTACTACAGTAACCGAGGCACAGGCACGGCAAGGCGAGATTGATAACGGCACCTACGTGAACCTAGTGATGAAGCCCAAGTTCACGAGAGCCCCGATTACAGAAGCTGGTCGAGTTGCTTACCTTGGAGAATCATCAAATCTCACACTTCTCGTACACGATCGCCAAGGCTCCTCTGATGTCGTTCACTACCCTTTGCCGGAAAATGTTAGAGGGTCGAGAGCTCGCCTGACCGAGCTTGACAATATCGAAATCGAAATATTGCATCAGAGGGGGCCTTTCTCCTCCCCCGCGCAACCTCTGCGATGAATTGATCGACTCCTACTTCAAATGGGTACACCCTATCGTTCCTGTGATTAACCGCACACGCTTCATGCGGCAGTACCGCGACCCCAAGAACCCTCCTTCCCTTTTGTTGCTTCAGGCGGTCCTCCTAGCGGGATCTCGCGTGTGTAGCAACCCACAGCTCATGGATGCGAGCGGGTCTACAACCCCGCGGCGCTTACATTCTACAAGAGAGCCAAGGCTCTATATGATGCCAACTACGAGGATGATCGGGTCACTATCGTCCAATCGCTCCTTCTTATGGGCTGGTACTGGGAAGGCCCGGAAGACGTTACCAAAAACGTGTTTTACTGGAGTCGGGTCGCGACGATTGTCGCCCAGGGGTCCGGAATGCATAGGAGCGTCGAACAGTCACAGCTCAATATCGCCGACAAGCGCCTCTGGAAGAGGATATGGTGGACCCTCTTCACCCGCGATCGCTCAGTCGCTGTTGCCCTAGGGCGCCCTGTGCACATCAGCCTGGATGATTCAGACGTGGAAATGCTCACCGAAGATGATTTTATCGAGGATGAGACGGATGTTCCAAGCGACTATCCACCGGACCCAATCCATGTCCACTTCTTCCTCCAATACGTTAAACTCTGCGAGATCATGGGACTTGTCCTTTCGCAGCAATATTCCGTTGCCTCAAAAGGCCGACCGCGGAACGCTATCGATTTGACTCACAGTGATATGGCCTTGGCCGACTGGCTGCAAAATTGCCCCAAAGTTGTTTACTGGGAGATGCCCCGTCATCACTTTTGGTCAGCACTTCTTCATTCTAATTATTACACGACCCTCTGCCTCCTCCATCGTGCGCATATGCCCCCACACGGCAGCTCGCGTACACCCATCGACTCGCCGTATCCCTCTCGAAACATCGCGTTCCAGGCCGCAGCCATGATTACCTCGATTGTAGAAAACCTGTCCGCTCACGGCGAACTACGCTACACTCCCGCCTTTATCGTCTACAGCCTGTTCTCAGCTCTCATCATGCACGTCTACCAGATGAGGTCCCCGGTCCCATCCATCCAGCAGGTTACCCATGACAGGCTGCGAACTTGCATGAACGCACTCAAAGAAGTGTCTCGCGTGTGGCTGGTTGGAAAAATGGTTTACACGCTGTTCGAAGCGATTTTAGGCAACAAGGGCATGGAAGAGAAGCTGCAAAAGGCGAGTGGGAAAAGACATCGGAAAATGCAGCAGAGTCTGTCTCAACTGGACCAGCATGCACGCGCGGATGCCACTAAACGCAAGTTCAATGATATGTCGCTTGATTTTGGTGTCAATAGCGCACCAACACCTCAAGAATCGTACGAAAGGTCGCGTCCCCAGACACCCACAACGAAAGGCGAGTCAACGGCGGGTCACGCGCCAAACCCTATGCCGCCACCGGTTGCGTCCCCGAATCCCGCGCGTCCACCAACGGACGCCTTTATGGGGGAACAACATCGCGACCTCACACGAGACCAACAACGCCATTCAATCCATCATTTTCAATGCCAGGGACGCCTCCTGATCTGTATCTAGTGACCCGCAACTCGCCAAATCTCTCCCAGGCCATCTGGGAGAATTTTCAACCAGACCAGCTTTTCCCGGAAAGTACCATCCCCCGTACCCTCAGCAGTCACCTACGGCAGCCCCTCAGAATGTGGACCCGAACCTAGTCTCTCAAATACAAGGGGGCGGGGTCCATGCCGCGATCTCGGGTGAGGCGATGGATGGAAATGATCCCTTCCAGCAGCAGCGGAATACACAGCAGCAGCAGCAACAACAACCAACACAGCAAGACGCCGGTAAGCTTGTGCACCCTACCTTTATCACAAGCACTAGTAATAACCATATACCACGTTCATTAGCAGGATTCAACACAGCTCAACTAGGCAGCCTATGGCATACGGGGTTCGACACAACAATGCAGGAGGGCATGAGCCCTAGCGATAGCTGGAGTACCGGATCGGCCCAGGGACAACCTATTCCGACGGCGTTAAATGTCGAAGATTGGTTAGTGTTTGCACCCTTATGATTTCCTTTATCAGACCCCCCTCCCCCTCCCTCCCTCTCCTCCCTCCCTCCCCCCTCTTTGCTTCTGGCCCCTAGCTCCCAATATTAATCGAGCCTTTCTAGGTTCCAATTCTTTGGTATCAATGGCGACGCAAACAATCTTAACCTCGATGTTTCGATGACGTGATGAGTAGGGGATAATGACGCGCATCTCTATGTACTAGTCCACTAGAAGAGCTACGAAATATTGGGGTTGGAAGGATATGAATGGCACGGGAGAACGCCGGACAGCCCACCACCCTTGTTGCTAGGTTTCATTAGTTGGGTAATGGAGCAGTGTAAGAGCGAGAGAGAGGCCCAACGATAATGAAACGTTTTCCATCACACTGGTTATTCACGTCGTGTCTGTTGACCCATATGCCATGCTAAGTGAGAGGCCACTAGCTCAATTCAAGAAGCTAGCTCATGGCACTACCAAGACGGATGACCTGTCACGCACACCCCTCCATCGTGTATCAACAAGATTGGTGTATGCGTCCCTAAGGCTTGTCATGTTGATTAACAACATGTGAACCCTCATACAGTCGCTAGCGCTGTCTAGCTTGACTACCAAGCATCATTGGGCTCTGCACAGTACTTGTGAATATATTGAGGTAACCAGAGCTGGTTGCCTTGGGGGATAGCTGAACACGATTTACAATAATAAGAACATTGCAGTTCGTTCGCTCAGTCACGGTGTTTCCGGGTAACTTGAATCTAGTAATAAGATCTTAATTTCCTCGATTGGTAGATGCGGAACCCGGGGGCGACGAAGACATATGCCTCAAGAAGTGCGAGAGGGGGTGGCGCCAGATTGGAGGCTCCCTTCAAGTAGTCGAAGTTCACAGGTGCCTCTATCCTATCGCCTTACGCGATATCCAGTTGCCAGGGTGTGAAGGGCGTGGCTCGATTGAGCTATGCTTGGCTTGTCTCTACTCTCTCATTGTGGAAGTTAGCTAAGCATATCTCAATCGAGCTACGCCCTTCTCTGGTTCTACCTCAGTCTATTCACGATTTATCAAGGGGTAACGGCATCCTAAATCTGCAATGTACCGAGGTATTCGAAGACGACTTTTGTTGTTCTAGGATCTATCTTTCCAATTGATCAATGATCAATTGATGGCCCTTCAACGTGGTCCGGTAACCCGCTAGCCTTGGCGCCGCAAACGCCGGGGGCTTGTGGCTTTCTGGTGGCTTTGCAAAGCCAATTAGTTGCCAGCTAAGCCGAAAGCCAGTGCTGAAATGTTGAAACCTCCCCTCCCGAGGCCCAGCCCCCGCCCCTTACCAGTGTAAGGTAACATTGAACCTTTTGGAGCCACTGAAGGTAACTCGTCAGCATCTAGTATCAATTGAGCACTCTGGTTACGTAGTGCTCACCCTCTCATCAGGACATTGATTCCCTCACTCGACCCATACCGATGCTCGGATCGATAGTTCCATCAACTTTTGCCCACCCCTTTCTATTAAGCCATCAATCGAGGCACTCTCTTGACCGACGCACGAAGTACTAGCACACTTTGTAAACCTGGCCCTTTCTCCCGGCTCACTTCACGTTGTCAATCATTTTCCCAAGTCCTCCCGCAACTGCGCTGATGCCCGTACGCTTCCGACGTCTCCACCTACCGCGGCCCGTAGCCAAGGTCTAGAGCTTCCTTGGGGGTAGATTGAGGACACGAGAGGAGGCAGACAAGCATTCGAAACGGTATCATCCACGGCGAAATAAGCGCGCCACGTCATTTCAGCTCAATATACTACCTATGGCCTCTTCTGCACGTCCAACCCTCACCCATGACCGCGACGCCAGCTCAGTCCGTCCCCGTAACCGCCGTTTAGCTAGCGTCGAGAGTGGCAACGACATCGTCTCTCGAGAGCCGTCTACGATCCGCGGCACCGCCCGTCTCGCCTCAGGAACATCGACCCCACTGCGCGATGCGAGTCCTTTACCCACTCACCGGCTCGATGTTGCCCCCGCCGGTGGTCGCCGTGGCCAGGATAAGGGGGCGAAGAATCCAGTGGGTGCCGGCGCGCCTGGATTAGGGCTCATAAACGGGTCATGGGCTACTACCTGGGGCAACGTGCAAGATCTTGCGGCAGGATGGATCTCGGGTAACAAGGCTTCCGCCGGAAGTGGGTGGCGGGGACCGCCGTCTTCAAATCGGACTGCAGCCGAGGCAAGGGGGACGAGGCAAGGATGTTGCGGCCTTGGGCGCGTGAAACCGCCTCGCCGAGCCCGCGCCCGCGCCCCACAATACAGGATGTAGGCGCGGGAATTATCGCGGAGAGGGAGGCTGCGCTGATCGCTGCGAGGACCGCCAGCGTTCTCGAGAGTCACGATGGTGTCAATGGTGGCCTTGATGTTGCCGGCAGGTATAAACTCAGGACATCTGACGAGTTACCGCGACAGACAAGTGCCTTCGAGCAGCCAGAGGAAACGCTTGTCTATATACACCATGTTAAGCCTACGGATACACATGTAGGTGTCATACTCAAGTATGGCTGCAGAGACGAGGCTTTCAAGAAGCTTAACGGGCTGTGGTCTCGCGACAGTATTTCGACTCGGAAATGGGTCGCTATTCCCGTGGATGCATGCGAAATAAAGGGTAAACCCTGCGCGGGTCCATCAACGCCCTCGCAGAAAGTAGACCTCCTCGCGCCCACACCAGAGATAGAGATCGACGACTATGGTTGGAGGGGGACGGGTTCGACCACCCAACAGCGAGCAGATGATGTCTTTGGGCCTTCCTTAAGCTTGCCCCCAGTCGAGGCTGAAAGCATAGAGGATAGCGAGCAACCTTGGACACATGTTCGGTGGGTGTCGCTCGACTCGCTCGCCGAGCCAGTAGAAATGGCGCGGATATCCCGAAAAGCTCTAGGCTACTTCCCACCGCGAAGAAAAAGGAGCGTCCTCACTACTAGCTCGGCCATTTCCACGCCACGAGAGAGCCTCGAGGTTCAAAGCTCTGTGCTGGGATCGACTAGAAGCCAAGACCGAAGGGAGCCCCTACCACGTCGGTATAGCACTCTCAGCAGTCGACCAACAGTACCAAGCAGCGTGGCTGGCACATCCACCCCGAGGTCGACGCGCAGTAGGATGGGAAGTCTGGGTGCAGATACCCGACCCGTATGGATGCGCCATCCTGGGGGCGTTGGATCATTGAACCAAAGCGTGAGGACCCCAGGACCGGACAAAGACCCACTCAATTCGTGGGCCAAAAACATTTTCCTTCCCTTGTCATAGATTCGGCATCTTCTCTACCTCTCCCGGCCGAGACCACTGATTTACATGGAAACGCGAGCACTCTTGGCGATGGCGATGATGCCTCCACGGATGAACAAGGCACATTGCCCTTTGCGCGGCAGGGAACCGGAATTGACCGAGCGGCAGCAACCGTGGAAACTTGGCTGAGGGGCGCTTTTATGAAGCGGCCGGGGACACCAACGGACCAAGCCCGTTGGGGAGAGAATGCGAGTGATCTCATTGAACTTACTGATACCCAGAACTAGAATCCAGAGGTGGACGCAAATGTATTGCTAGCCCCAGGTGCAGCCCGCCCTGCCCTTTTATTTCTTCCCAGTCCCTATATGGCAGGCCCTTAACACTTTTGCACATACCCTTACTATCATTCATGTCTATAGATATAATTTCCTTGTGTCCATTTTGCATCCTAGCCCCTATCAATGTCGCCATACTGAGCATACTGGATAACATCCAGGACAGGAATAGGGGGAAGGGGGGGGGTTGATGGAGGCCGGGCTAGGCAGGGGACCGAAGGAGGAAAGGGAGGCGACAGCATTGAACCTCCTGGAGCGCCGGCCTCTCCCTGTTGTATTAGCCACCATTGATTTTGAAAGGAGGGCTTTAAGCACCAACATCTTAGTTTTGTATCGTAACGGTACCATCATCTTATCTTCTAAAACGATTGTGTTGAAGTGAGGAAGAGAACGTGTTGACCGCCCAAAAGAAGAAGGGGAAAAGAACTGTCAGCTGGCAACAGCTGTTGACGGATTGAAGGCGAGGTGGACGGGGAGCCAGAACGCCCCCTAGCTTCCAACCGCGACCCCTGTTCACCGCGCCGAGCTGGGTTTACAATTATGGAAAAAGAAAAAAAGAAAGAAAAAGGAATTCGCCATGCTGTATTAACCTTGACAAGCCGCATCACGCCGCTTTCCGTATTCGCCAGTTCGACGAGCAGCGCACCTTTTGCCTTTCCTAGTTGGAGCCAACGATGACGAAAAGTTCGACGATGAAGACGACTCCTAGAACATAGCCTTTGCTTGCTGCACAGTTAGCTTTTGTTCACGTCGCTTCCACCACCCTCTCGACCCCAACGTACTTGCCCCCGTTCCTCCTTGTGCTCCTCTAAAGGGCCTCCCGCAAGCACAAGTCGAAGGAGACCTCGGAATTCTCAAACACCGCGCGTAGCCGGCGAGGCAGAGGAGGAGCGCCCAACGCTGTAGGGCGTTGGAATGCGACATCGACCCTCCCTATGCCTATCTGCATCGAGTGCCGTCACCCCGTCAAAACGTTATGGACTGAATATTCCGGCGCTGGCGGGGCCAAGGGGAGTGGCGGTCACAATATCCGATTGACGGTGTGCCACAACTGCGGCAACTTTTGCGACAAGTATGTCGAGCATGACTTTGTCATCATGTTCATTGACCTCGTCCTCATTAAACCACAGGTAGGTTTTCGATTTCCTCTGAGGGGAGATCGCCTTGATGGGGGCTCCCTTGGTGGTGTCGGTAGGGCTAGAGCCGGAATTTTGGCTAACGTGCGGCGCGTTTTCCCACTCTCAAAAGGTTTATCGACACCTACTTCATAATACTTTGATGCGCGAGCATGATCAGTTTGATGTAAGCTCCATACCGTGCCCTGTGTTAACTAGAAACTCATGGGGATCTATACTAGCCATCCATCATCCGCCTTGGCGTCTTGCTCCTCCTCTTCGACGTCTACCTGACTTGGGCTCGTATCGAAAAGAACGCTGATCCGTCATCATCGGGTGTTCTTGGGCGATTAGCGGAGCAGCCCATTCTTCTCCAATACATATTCTTCCGTAAGCACGACTTCTTGCCATGGGGAGACTGGTCACCCTTGGCCCCTTTCTTCCTCCCTCTCCCACTTCTCTCACTCCTAACACGGTTACCATGACATCTTTTAGTGCTCCACTGCTCGCTTTCAACGCTAGCCTTTCACCTCAGCATCCGAACCCTAACTTCATCCCGCTTTTCCCCGCTTTCACTCTTGGGGTTGATGCAGCGCTACCCACGGCCTAACTCAGTTTCTACTGCTCTCCTCGTGTCGTCATCTACTAAACTGTTTCCGATACTCATGGTCATATGGGAATACGACGTGCCCGCGGCTGCTCGCTCCCTCGGCTGGGCCGTGGTCGCTAATAATGTCGAGGCATTGAAGATCCTCCTGGATTGCGGGTATAGCGTAGCAGGTCTTCTTACCCTAGTAGGAGCGCTCTCTAGATGGGCGGTTGGCAAAGGGGTGTTCTGGCTTGCGGGGATGGATGGGGTTGATGCGGTTGGAGAACTCCAACTATTCTCAGCGGGGTGGAGGATGATGGAGATATTAGGGAGTTATCTGAAGGATGGGCTCAGTCTTCTCGGGGCTGGATAAACGAACTTGAATGGCTTTAAGCGGGTCTGAACAAACAATACACATGAGATGAAGGTGCTATCTGAAGCTCATAGGAAGTAAATATTAATGTCAATAGCCGGAACGCCCCTCATTGAACATGATGCGAGATCATTGAAATGGTGATAAAGTGAAAGCAAAAAGAGCAACATCCGCGCACGAGTAATAGTACAAGACAAGAAGACACTCCTCAAGGTGGCAGCTGGATGATTTGCTTGCCCGCCACTTCCCGCTCTGCGCTCATGGCCTTCTGAGGTTCCCTCACCTCATACCGTCATAGGTCAGACAGGCCTCGTCAATTTTCCTCCTCGCCCGGCTATGAGCGCGCGATTCTTCCCAGCGAGACATGTTTATGGGGTGTCGGTACCGCGCGGCGGCGGCGCGGAGGAATGGCGACAACAACAGCAATAGCACCGGCAAGTCTATCGTCGGGTGGCGGAAGATGATGACGGGGAGATGTCCGATGATCTTGTTCCTAGCAGTGGAGCGGGAGGCTGTGAGGAAGCTAGGCTAATGGCCTCCGGCCTTAGGTCGGATCGTTTAGGGGCGACGAGGGGATGGAGTTGAGCGAGGTAGGTGATGGCCCACATGAGGTAGCAGCAAATAAGGGCGAGAATGAGGGACGACCTCCAGATTCTAGTGTTTCGAGGAAGTGGAATAGATTAGCTTCAAGAAGAGTGTTGGGAAGAGAGCACAAGGCCGGTCAGAATGGGTACTCCGCCCTTCCCCCGCCCGGATATCTGGCGAAATTTGCCCACTGTGCAAGTAGACAACCGACAGTGGCTTATGCAGGTATTCTCCAAGGCTTTGGATGCTCGGCGTGGGAAGAGGGAACGAAGAAAGCTCTGAGGTAGGAACGTACAGCTGAGAGTCGCGGGGAAGAAGCGCGGGACGAAGACATAGGTTGCGGCGCAAAGAGCGGCCACGATAACCAAGACGAAGGCGACGACGAAGCTAAGGGTGTTACGGACTGACGTTAGCAATTCTGGTCGGGATAAAAACATAACACCATTGTATATATGTATATATAGAGAGAGATATATATACACATGAATATATAGGACGAAGGGAGGATGCACCTCGCGATCAGGGGATGCAAGCGAGGATGGTGAAGCTAGAGGGTAAATACTCACAGTCCCATTGTGTCTGATGGGAATGGGGGAGAGGATGGTTGTCTAGTGTTGGTTATGGCTCGGCGTGGCGCGAGAGACTCTGATCTCGATGGGAATTCGGGGGTTTCGAAATCTCGTTGACGAAAGGACTGGGGAGCTATTTTACGTGGACGAGACCAGTTCAATGGTGAGGAACCTGTTTGGGAGTTTCGTCACTGGCTGATTTAGGCACCCCTGTTCTTGCTGGTGGCTTAGTCATCGATATACCTCTTGACCTCCACCTCGCATGCCTCGCTTGTGTCTCACTAATACCTCGAGAGCTCTCTCGGTGAAGCTCCGGGTTTTGTGGAGCCATTGAGGTCGAGAATAGTCCCATTAACAGGCAGAGAACCTTGGTTTCTTTTCTTTTTTTCCTTTCAAGACTAGCCTCGCATGGGGTTTGGGGGTCTTGGGATAGAAAAAGAAAAGATTTTATGAATTGCTCCTTGTATTTATTTACATTGCGTCGCCCGAGTCAAGGCAAAAGGCCTCAATTGTTCTCAAATTTCAAGCCCGCCTCCTTCCGCACCGCCCCGTAGATCCCAGCAATGTCGCCCTTCTCCCCAACGTGCTCGCGGACCACTCGGAGGTGTGCGTCGGCCGTCTCCGCGTTCGGTAGCGACACACCGGCAGCCTGCGCGATGCTCCTCGCGTGCCGGAGGTCCTTGCGGGCGAGGTCGACGGCGAAGAGGGGCTCCTCGCGGGTGTGGTAGTCGCCCGACAGCATGCGGTGCGCGTACGCGGTATACGGGCCGGGGAAGACGGCCTCCACAAACTGCCGCATGGGGTCGGTGCCGAGCCCCGCCTTCTCCGCCACGACCAAGCCCTCGGCGAGCTGCTCCACCATGTTGAAGATGAAGGTGTTGCCCAGCACCTTGAGCGTGGTGGCTTTGCTGTACGGTTGATCGGCCAGGTCAATCTCTGCCCGACCCATGACCCCCTTGAAGTAGGGACGCACAACGTCGACGGCGGCCCGCGGGCCCGCGAGCACGCAGACGAGCTGGCCCGTCTCCGCCATGGCGGGGGCGCCGAACACGGGGGCCGCCACGAATTGGCTGCCCTTGCTTGTGACCAGCTCGGCGATGGACTCGGTGGTCTCTGGGTGGATCGTCGAGCAGTCGACAAACACTTTGCCCGCGGCGGCGCCGTTGGCCACGGCGCTCGTCAGCGCGCCGCGCACCGCGTCGTCGTCGGCTAAGCACGTAAAAATGACATCGGCGCGGGCGACGCCGTCTTCGACGGAGGTGGTGATTTCTACCGCCGCCGGCCCCAAAGAGTTGGCGAGGTCTTCGCTGCGCTTTTGGGTCCGGTTATATATGAGGACCGGTTCCGGAAGACCTCCCTTTGTGGCAAGATTCTTGACCATGCCCTTTACCAAGGGGGGCACCGGAGACGTGCAAAGGTTAGCTATACGGGCGGACACTTTGGGGATATACATGCGGCTTTCAGAAAAACAGATCTGCCTTGGTGCTGCTCACCCTTCCCATATTCCCCAAACCTATCCACATCAATGTAGGTGCCATGGTGCGCGCGTCTAGTGTGTCCGCAGTGGGATCCGGCGTATGGGCCTCGTGAATTCGTATTGGCAAACTATGAGAAGGACCGCGTCTTGGGTTCTTCGGTTACTTTTTAGATAGAAGAGAGAGAGAGTGTGTGTGTGGTTGCGTGGTTGTGTGCTCGAGCAGCTCAGCTCACTTCAGTATATGTAGTGTTTCAGGCATTGAATTATAAATCATCAATTGATCCCATGCAATGCAGCTAGCTCCGCAAGCAAGAGGGGAGCTGCCCTCAGCCTACAGAGCTCACCAAGTGCCGCCCTGCAGAATCGACGTGTGCGGGGAGGGGCCGGCAACACCAACGGGTTTTCCGACCTCGGGGCCACCTCGGGCCCACATCGTTCGTTTCTTCTGGCGCATCTATAGATCAATTGATTCGACTTCGCTTTGGGATAGTGGCAGCACCAATTCCAAGGGGGTCTCTTGATATGCCTGCGTGAGTGTAACAGCGGACTGCTTGATGGATCTCGGCCCATTCACATATACTCGTTGGTCCTAGAATACAATGGATCCATGGATGTAATCCGAGGGGAGGCAAACTCATCTGCTCGAGGAGAAGTAGAGGGGGAACAAAAGAAAAAAGAGTTAAAAAATCATTCGATAGTATTCAAGATCTTGAAAGTTTGTAAAACAAAGAGAAGTGAAGGGTTCACGACTAGAACGCAGACTACGTCAAATATACACACACACGCAAGACCACAGCCATTTCCTCTACAGCGCGCGTCTCACACGATCCACTGCCCTCTCTCTCTCCCTCTCCATACCCGGACCCCGGACTAGACAAGTAAAAACATATCTGACAATCGCTCACTCCCAACCGCCCTCGAATAGGAACGTTGCTGCGAGCATCGGAACTAGATATCGTCTCAAACCAAGGCTCTGCATCCTCCCGACAGCACCAATAAAGTATTCGTTCTCCTCAAAAGAAGAGAAGAAGGAGGAGAAAAAAAAGGAAAAGGTAGTTAAAAGACACTAGTAGCAATCACCCGTGGAAGGGAAGAAAGAAATGAAGGCTAAAAACCCCAAACGTCCATCCGCTGGCCAAAAGGAAGAATGCTCGTCATTCTCCGGGCCCAATGGCTTGTCCTCTCACCCCCTTAGTAGATAAACACCACACCCCTAGACTGTACCGGCTGCTGCACCACCACCAACGTGCTCAACCAATCCTTCTCTGGGGCCCTCGCGACGTTCTCGCGCGACCACATTGGCTGCCACGCAAACACGGGCAGGGAGCTTCCATCTGAGCGGCGGGGCGGGGCCTCCTGCTCGAGCTAGTGCCACCCATCTGGGCAGCGATGGGTGCGCCATGGGCTGCGTGGGCACCTCCGGCGGTCCAGAGAGTGGCTGCGCCGTTGGCAGAACGCGACCAGGTGTTGTCGGCAGGTGCCTTCCACAAGCTAGTGCTAGAGATGTGAAGCGAAGGCTCGCGCATGGCGGGCCTGGGCGAAGGGGCGCGCGGCGGCGGCGCTACGGCAAGGAAGGTCGCAGCGGGGAGGGGAGACGGTTGGGGCGTGGGCATGGGGGATGGTTGAGCGGCGGCCAGAGGTTGCCACTGGCCCTGATAGCCGGCGACAAGGGGCATCTCCCAGGTAGTAGCCGGGGCGGCTTGGGGCATGGCGGGCTGGAAGTAGTCGGAGAAGCCGACAACGACAGGCTCGACCCATTGCCGCTCTTGGTATCCGGCAACGATGGGCTCCTCCCAGACGGGTGCTGAAACGGGCACAGGGACGGGCACGGGCGCGGCCACCGGCGCAGGCTGGAAGTACTCTTGGTAGCCGGCAACGACGGGCTCCTCCCAGACCATTTCGACGGGCTGCTGCTGCTGAACAGGCGCGGGCGTAGGCTCTGGCCACTGCATCTGGATCTGGACGGGCTGCGGGGGCATGGGCGGCTCCCAGTGGAAGCTGCGGATGCCGCTCAGCGCAATCGCCTCGTTCAGGGCCGCGGCCCACTCGGCCTCGGTGGTGGCGGCGCGCTTGGCCACCTTGTTGGGGTAGCTGAGCGCGAGCGCCTCCTGGAGCGCGGCCTCCCAGTCGGCGCGGTAGGCGATGCTGGGCCTGTGCTGGCGGCGGAGCGGCTGCGGCTTGCTAGGCTTGGCCTCGGCCGAGCTGCGGCCGGAAAGCCAGTTGCGAGACGCATGGGCCGACGTCTTGGCGGTCCAGAGGGAAGTCGAGGTCAGGACCGGCAGGGGATCGTGAGAGATGCGGGCCCTGCGCTCCACGTTGAGTGCTGCGGGCTCCTGGGTCGTGGTCCTGTAGTCCCTGCGCTTGTGCGCTAGGCTGAAGAGACCGGCGGGGCTCGGGGCCGAGCGCGGCCACGAGGGCGCAATCCACATGAGGGCCTTCTTTGACTGTTGCTGGGTCTCGGAGATGATGCTGCTTTGGAGACCGACGATGATGGAGTCCTTGCGGCTGTCGCTATCGGTGTCTTCCATGAAGTCGCCGAGCACCGAGTCAGAGCCATCGCGGCGGGGCTGTCGTAGGTCGCTATTGAGAGGCGCGGGCAACAGCGAGTTCTTGGAGGGAATCTTGTCCGTCTTGAGGAGGCTGGCAATCTCCCACAGCGTCGTCTCGTCAAAGTCCTCGTCGCTACCGTCCATGTCGAAGTTGGCGTCCATATCCCCGGGCAGCTCCTCGTCGTAATCGTCGAAGAAGGACGATGAGTATTCCTCGGACTCGAGCTGCTTGAGCGCGCCTCTAGCGCGGCCGCGGCCGCGTTTCCGCCCGTGGACATGGTGCCGGGCATGGCCATGAACATGTGGCTCGGTCGCGGGTTGAAGGAACCCGTGTCCGACCTCTCGCCCCAGGGGAACTGGAAGATTCCTAGCGTTCCGCGGTTGTCGGGCAGGGGCTTGGGGCTCTCGAGGATGTCCGGGAGCATGGTCACCCGACGGCTACGGCGGGTGGGCCGCTGCGTCACGGGGCGGTTGTTGCCCGTCTTCTTCTCCTTTGGCGCGGGGGCGGTAGAGCCCCAGAGGCGGCCGGCGGGCAGAGGGGCCTTCTTGGTCTTGTGCCAGAGACTGGTAGACTGGAGCTTGTCGACCGGCTGGGCCGTGGCGGGTCGCTGGGCAGTCTTCCTCGGAGCCGCGGCAATTTCCAGGACGCTGCCCTGGTACACGGGCTTGGGCACGCGCCTGACGGGCACCCAGAGGAGGTGGACAATCGTGTCGCGCATGGCGTTGGAGGGTGCCGGCGCCCAGAGCTGGGGGCCACGGACTTGGGCGGGGGCCTAGGCGCCATCACGCGTTTGTCGAGGCTATCGTCGTCGGACTCGTCCGTATCGGGAGGCGTGGGGCTGCTGAGCTGGACGCGGGCGACCTCGCTCGGCTTGAGCAGGCTGCCCCTCTGGACGGCCTGCCCACGCGCGGGAGCGACCCTTGTGGCGGCGTCGTACAGGAATCCCTCCGGGGCGACGTCTTGACAGTGGACAAGGAATCGCGGATGCCGTTCTGCATCTCGTGCCAGTAGTCCTCCTGCTGGCCCATCTCCTGCTCCAAGTTGTCGAGAAGCGCTTGCTTGCGGCCCTGGCTGCCCACCGAGTCGCGGGTGCTATCGTCGAGCTTCTTCAGCTTGGACTGGATCTCGCGGTACGCTTGGGTCGGCGACTCGAGAGGCGAAGGCTCCGCCGCGCGAACAATCACCATGTTCTTGCCGGCGGCGCCGCGGCCTAGGAGGAGCGGCGTCGGGGGCACCATCTTGCGCGACTTGGTCTTCTCCTTGCGGTCGGAGAAGGTGGGGCACTGGTCGCCCACCCTGTGGTGCCAGCGGCTCTCGCGGTTGGAGGACGACGCGAGATCCGCCGAAGGGTTCATGACGAAGGGGATGTCGGCGGACCAGGACTCCCTCCCAGCTTGAATGTCTTCGCGGACGCCGTTGGAGTCGTCAAGCATGATGGTCATGATCTCCTCGCCCTTCTTCTCCGTCTTCTTGGGCAGGTACGTCGCCTTGGCCTCGACCGGCTGGGCCATCCTCATCTTGATAGCCTTGGGAGGCGAGTGGAGCGAGCCCCAGTTCGTCGTCGCGTCATCGTACTGAGTCCTATCATCGCTCGTTTCGGAGACGTTGTCGGGTATGTAGGGAATGATGGGAGAAGACTGTCGCTTCTTCCCCTCGTTCACCGGGTAGGGGAGAGCCTGCGTGCTAGGGACCGGGGGCAGCCAAGCCTGGCTGATGCCCGTGGTGGTGACGGTGTCGACGCTAAACTTGGCCGTGTTGCGCATGTCAACGGGCATCTTCTTGATATCGGCAATCTCCACCACGCTCTGGGTCTGGAAGGAGGTCTTGGTCGTACGGTCAGACCTTTCCTTTTCGGTCTCCCCATCCATGTCCATGAATGAAGCGGGGAGGGCTGGCATGGCGGGGATGGGCGACAGGACGGTCTTGGGGGCACCGCCGCCGTTGCTGTGGCTAGATCCGGGTCGAGAACCGGGACGGCTGGAGGGCTCCGGGAAGAACATCTTCATCTTCTCGTCAAAGGTCATGCTCTTGGTGTCGTTGGGCAGAGGGCGAATGGCGTTACCAGGGCGCTTGGGCATAGGCGCAGGAGGAAGAGGTGGCAGCTGGGTAGGGCTACCGGGATTGGACCTAAGGATGGATTTCCTAGTGGTCGCGGACGAGTTCGACTTGGATCGCTGGACCGAGGGTAGCTCGCGAGCGACGGGTTGTTCCTGAGGCGGGGCAGGCTCCGCGGCGCGGGGAGCAGCACCAGCGCCCAGCTCTTCCTCGCCTTGCCGACCCCTAGGGATGGGCCGAGGCCGATGCAAGACGGACATGGTCGTATCTCGCTTATCGTTTCTCGCAGCAGCCTTATCCGCAGCGCCCTGGAGGATATCCCGGACAGCCTCGGGGTTGTTGTACTCGATATTGTTCACAAACATGACGGTCTGCACACGCTTGGTCTCGGCCTCATTCATGAGGGTTCTCATGGCCATGGCCTTGGGATTGCCCGGTAGACCGGCCGCCACTCGTCGCTGAACAGGCGGCTTCTCGGGGAAGGCATATCCTCCACCGAAGGGGGCCGTTGCCTCGAGGGGCGAATCGTCGTCTTTACCGAGTTTTGCCTCGGTAGGATAGACATGCGGGCAGTGGCCATGGGGCCCTTGGCAGGAGAATCGGCGGGCGGGGACGGAGGCTTCGGGAACGCGGCGGCGCGAGGCTGGTTCGGGGGCTCTGGCGTCCAGCTTGCGGAGGCGACGGCATACGGGGTGGAGAGGGCATCTGTGGGGAGAAGGCATGGCGGCCGGCTGCGGGGGCGTGGGGACGCGGGTTGTCACGGGCGAGCTGCTGGCGGCTTGGCTTTGAGCCGCTCGGTCGGCGGACGGGCGTCTCTCCTCGCGGTCCCACGGGAATCGCGGGGGCGACTGGGCGCGTTGCACGGGCTTAGGAATGGCCTCGGGGTCGAATCGCGGGGAGCGGGAGCGCGGGTAACCTTGGGGGTGCTGCGGGGGTTGCTGCGGTGGCAACGACAGGGGCGACGGGAATCACGGGCATAGCTGGCACAACCGGAACCGGAGCAGCCCGCATCGCTGGGGCAGCCGGGACCATGGGAACGGCCGGCACGGCCGGAACACTGGGAGCCATCGTAAAAGTGCGAGCGGGAGCGGGGGCGGGAGCAATGTCGATATCAAGGCTCTCCGGGCGGGCGGGACGCGGGGGCGCCATCTTGACGGGTTCCTGCACGATCCGACCAGGCTTGGGGGAGCGGGACGCGGGTTCTCGAGTTCGCGGTCCGGTTGCTGAAGCTGAGCCGATTCGGCGGGAGGAGGAGGAGCCAACCTCGGCGACCTTCTCCTCAGCTCCTCGACGCCGGGGAAAGCTGCGCCGAGCTGGTGATGGCGGTGGGCTGGGCGTCGTCGACGCTGAGCCTGCCACTGCTGCTGCTGCCGTCGTCCGCCGTGAAGGCAGACGCAACCTCCTTTCTCTTGACGCTCTGCGCTCGCTTCATCGCCTCCTCGGGGTTGCCCGTCGGGGGTGGGGGAGCGGGCCTCTTGGCGATCAAGGTGGAATCCCTCTGCAGAGCGGATTGGTCCCTCCGCTCCCTTTCGTTCCTGGCCGCCGTGGCCAAGTCGACGGTGGCGATCTTGTTCAGGGGTTCTGCTCACCGGCCGCACCCTGAAGGATCGGGCCCGAGATGGCGGGCTTGCCCGAAGCACCCGCTCCGGGACCCTCCCGAGATCGAACAAGCTCTTCTTGGGCCGGACGGAATTCGCACGACCCTCTGAAGGCTTGAGCTGCTGGACGAGGCCGGTAACGGCCACGGCCGCGACAACGGGCGCCGTCTCCGCTCTCATGGGAGGGAAGAGTTGGCCCTGCACGGGAGGCCGCCGACGCCGGTGACGGCTTGGCCGGCCCCAGCCGTGGTGATGTTCGGCAGAGGAGCCTGCTCGATGGGGCTCTCGTCGGCGCGGGGTCCCTCGCGACTCGGCGGGGCGGGGAAGGCGGAGATGGAGATGATGTCTCCGCGCTTCAAGTCTTCGTATCGGCTCGGGGGTACTCGGAGTCGGAGCTGGCATTAGAGAGCGATCGGTTCGGGATATCGCGGCTTGCTGTCGGCCGAGTGGGTGATGGGGCCTCTGGTGGCCTCGAAACGGGGCGGGAGCTGTTCAGGGGTAGTGCGTCGCAGAAAGCAGCAACGATAGCTTTAAAGTTCACCAAGTTAGACCACATAGTGCTCGGTGTGTTTGGAAAGAAAAAGAATCATGGCAGACGAAGGAAGATGGGGGTGGGATAGACAATCTTACCAGCAAGGATGGCCAGCGCGGCGGCAGGGAGCGCGGTCCTTAGGGTCAGGGCCATGCCCGTAATACCGAGGTGCATGGGGATACTCGACTATACAGGTGCTTCTTGTTAGCGTTTTACGGTTACCATGGGAAGTGAATGGCATAGATCAACGTACTGCGAGCCAGACTCCGTAGCCGACCATGGTGAAAGTGACGGCTTGCGCCTTGACATCGCTCCTAGGGTCGTCCTTTTGCTCCCGAAGCCCACCGGCGGCGAACAGCCTAAAGAGGCACACGGAGAGAACGAGGGCGTCGATACCGATGGTGGCACCGGAAATAGGGACGATCTGGGTGGTTGTGACGCAGACGGGGTTGAACTGGGGCCTCTGCATGGCGACCCATACGGCACCGAGAATGAATCGAGCGGTGAGGAGAACCTGGGGCACGATACGTTGAACGGACGTCTTGGCCACGGCGGCGGTCGCCCACAAGAAGAACTGGAGAAAGGCGGTCCTGGCGATCTGGTCAAAGGCGGAGGCTATGACGGTAGCGATCTGGCAATTAGATGGTGAGGAGGGATCGACGGCGGTGGCGGCGAAGTCGACACCGGCCCAGAGGGCCGCGGATATGAGGGATATCGTGAGGGCCAGCCTCTGGCCGTCCTTGAAGAGAGATGTGGTCTTCCCCTAAACATGAGAAACGCAGCGGCGGAGGCTCCATTGATCGCGATACCACTATTCCGGGGCTGATGTTAGTTTCCAACAGAACAAACGTTGTCTTTCGAAAGATGACCCAAGGCATCGGAAATGAGGGGGCCAAACTGACAATGCGAACGCAGCGACGAGAGCCTGGGTGTCAACAGCGGTCGGCGTTTGAGCGAGGGTCGGCGTCGTGAAGACTGGGTTCACCGGGTTGGTGGGCGGAGAAACGACGCCTGTGGCCGCCATGATGGCGAGAGCCGACTTGCGGCGTGAAGGCGACTGTGTACGAAGGAGAGAAGAATAACAATAGAAAAAGAGGAATCAATCCTCGGTGAAGAAAAAAAAGTGTCCCAATCAATGGGATTTAGATAAGAATCGAAAGTGGAAAAGAGAATGAAGAGATCGAACTCGAACGAAAGATCATGAGGCCGGACTCGCGGACGTGAGAAAAAGAAGTGATAATAAGACGCTAGGAAACAACGACCATCCTGTTGGCCAAACGATGGTAATGTCGAAATCACGACATGTTCAAACAAACAACATGCCCGGCAATCTGGTATTGCCTCCCGTTCTGGTGATGGTGATGGTGATTCTAGGTGGAGGAGGGACGACAACAACGGCAGGAGAACAGAGACACACAATGGCAACGGGCGACACACACACACACACACACACACACACACGCACACACACGAAAGACACTGGATACGCTACTACACACGGATTCAAACACACCAGACACAGACAGAAAGCCCAAACCGGGAAGGGGGTCAACTCGCACTCAATGTAACAGACCAGAACTCGCTGGTACTTGCACGCACGAATTCTGCACGGGGGAGAGGGATACCCTGCAACCAAAACAGTGACTTTGATCCAAGGCCAGGGGTGGGGAATGTTTAAGGGTCCAGGGAGGCCCAGAGGCACCCAGAGGAGGAGTCTTGGCTTGGGGAGGGAACGAGGTTACAGCAAACGGAGCTGGGGGTGAGGCAGAGGGGAGCTGTCAGGCCAGAGGCTCGGATGCAGGCGTTCAGCAGCCAGCGCACAATGAAGCCAGGGCCCAAGTCGCGCGAGCAAGATCTCAAAAAACACAATGGATAATACTTCGTACATTGATGGATGGACTGACAGCCGCCCCAAACCCGAATGCCGTGCTCTAGTGTACCTTGCCTTCCCCTTCTCCTCGCCACGTACCGATACCGATTGCAACTCGTCGCTACCACGGCCAAAGGCAGGCAGCCAGCGACAGGACCATGTAGCAATACGCAACGCTGCGTCTCAGGACCAGCAAAAAGGTTTTCCGTGTGAGAAAAGGTTTTGATAGCGGGTAGTGATTGGATCCGACTGCAAGGCTGACAAGGGAAAGTGTGGAAAAGTGTGGGAAAGTGTGGGAAAGTGTGGGAAGTGTGGGAGGGTGCTGGAGCCATCAGTCGCGAGGGTTTCACATGAAACCCGAGATGTCGGAAGAAAGTGGGGTGTCGAGCCAGGGTCCCAGGGCCTTTGCGCCCATTTGCGCCCCTTGGCCCTTTGCCCGCCCTTTGCCCCGGCTGCGTTTCTTGGCTCTTGGCTCTTGGCTGCAAGGTACGAAACGGCTGCGTTTCTGACGTCCACGGCACAATGATGCCGGATCAAAGAGGTTCCTGCAAAAAGACAAGAGTTTGTGAGGAAGCTGCGAAAACCGAGTGTAGAGAAGAGATAATTAGTGAGTATCCGATATTGTAAGATTGATGTTGTAGGCCACAAGTGTCGCGTGCTTCTTTAATCTTCAATTTTCTTCTTCTTTTTCCCCTTTGTTCCCCTGTGCAAAGTGCAAGGGCGACCCTCACGCAGCACGCAGCACGCAGCACGCAACACGCAACACGCAACACAACGGGTCCCGTCTCGTGTGGCGCTGGGGTCAACAGCCTCTAGCCCGCAATCGACCCGCTAACCTTTGCACCCCTTGTACGGGCTTCTCCCATTGGGGGACAAGTCCGGATGGCAGGTCGTGGCTGCAAAAGCGTCTGTGGCACACCCTCCCCTCCGCCCATGCAGGTCACCCACCAGCACGCCACCACTGTTCAAACTCCCAACGTAAAAAGAAAAAGAAGAAGAGACGAGAAGGAGCCCTTGCATCACCCAATCCTCATGTCATCTCTGGGTGGGTTGAGAGCCGTGGCTCGTGATGTCCGGAGTGGGAGCTTCCATTGAGAGATGCGGCATGACGGAGTGGCGATCATGATGGCCATGGAACAGCCATTGTGTTTAAACGGGAGATCTCTCAGAAGAAATCAACAAGGGGCTCAGCTTGCGAGGAGTGTCATTCGTCTTGGCGCGCCGTCGATGGATTCAGTTACATCGGATCCGCCGCCGTCGACAAACGCGGAATGGTAGAGTAGAGTAGACACAATCCTAGATCCTCCCACGAGCTAGCCACTGTCTTGTTATTGTTATCAGTTACATCTATGTATTTTCCATCGGTCTAGGCCCTGCCTTATTGTTCCTGTCCCCACCAGACGGCGCGCCTACGCAATATTGCAGTGTTTTTGACAGTCAATGGATCCATCCCGCCTCAAGAGCGCAGGCGTGAGGCGAAAGGGAATGGTTGTGGACGGAGCTCGCCGCCCATACTCCATGTCATCCCAGCATTCACCCGTCGCCGACATCTCAGCGGAGGAGATGCTGACAGCGGAGATCCGACTGCAAGATGCAAGACCTTGGGGATCTATCCATGTATCCCTATCCCGCACCGCCTCCTCTGGGAAAGCGGGGCAACACTTGCAAAGCTCAACCCAGCTTCTTTGCACTGAGTTGATGTACGAAGTACTACGCCTTGAGCCAGGAGAAGACGCCAGCCAAGCGTCTTCTGATACCTCAAGGCAATCATGGCGGTGTATTGGTATGCACATATCTGCGTGTGTGCCTGCTGCGATCAATCGATCTCCATCTTTTCTTCAATCATTCCTGCGTAAAAACAACCAGCCCTCCCAACCACACCTACCGATCAAGAAGCGGCATGGCATGTATGGCGATCAACGCTTCAAGAGGCCTTCCCCCTTGTAATGTGCTCCCCTTTTTTCTCCTTCTTCCATTCCATCGCTAGGCCTTTGAGCAACAAGATCTCTGGTCCATCTTGTCGAATCCCGATTGTCCCGTACCGCCCGATGCGTAGGAAGGGGAGACTCCCACCGTCTTCTTGCCTTCCCTTTGCCTCCCTCCCCTCCCCCATTCTCTCCCCTTTGTCGTCCTGTGATGTGCTTGGTTCCCAAAAGATTGAATACAAAGGCGGGATTTCCTCTGCACCCTCGTACAGCCTAGCATCATCATCTGCACCGATGGATTTGCAGACAATCTTTCTCACTGCTACCTTTCCTCCCTTCCCACCCCCAATCTTAACCCTACATGGGGGCCAAGGCAAGACAATCAGAGAAGAGCGTAAAGGCCTTTCCAGAGATCTCGTAGTCCAACTGCAAAGTCGCCCCGTCAAGTAGTCCTGCTCGCACCCAGGCCCCGGATATGAGCAGGCAGAGCCGCCTCTTAACTACCTCGGTGCTCTCTCTGTCTCTCTCTCTACCTCTTTCTCTAGGAACACCCCATTAACACCGTCCCCGGCATTTCTATGAATCACAAGTCCCCCAATCCCCAAACACGACCTAAACGCAGTAATCGCTGCCGAGCACTCAGGTCCTCGCATCCCCATCGCAACGCACGTTCTTCGGCGAGAACCGACACAGGGCCCCACGCTCGACGAGCGGCCCGGCACGCAGATCATTCACCACCCCCGACACCGCCTAATCGTGTAAAAGTGCAAAAGAGTGTAGGCTTGGGGGGCGCGGGGATGGGCCTAAATAGTCCCTTCGTCATCGTCCTCCGGATAGGAAAATCCTCGTACGAGAGGAAAATAGATGAATATCTAAAGCCCAAAACCCCTAATTCTGCTGTTCCCACTAGATTAGTTGGCACCGACTGCATCGTGAATGCTGCCCCGGCAAACTGGTTAACCGTTGTGTGCCTGATATGTAGATATCCGCCCCTTCCTTTGCCCCGTTCTTCTTCGGCAATTTGGCAATGTGAATGGATACATAAGGCTACAGAACAAACAGAAGCAAGGGAGTATCACAGGTTGCCGGCGGTGCGGGTAGACCAGAATTTCTTGGTGAATAGAAGAAACATGAAATGAAAGTAAACTGCTTTATCAACATACGCAAGCGTTGTAGCTAGCATCGATGGTCACCGACCACGGCAAAATTCATACAACAGTTCGCCCAACCCATCCACTAGATCCCCTTAATCTATATACACAACTCGCCATTGTAGTCCTACTCCATCAATCCCACGAGGTTTTTCTTTTCCCCTTTTCTTCACTTCACCAAAGCTCCCAGATCTTAGCCGGCAGCACGATCCTCATGACGTCCCAATGGCCCATGGCGCTATGCTCCTGCGACTGAGCCAGCTCCCGCGTGCCGTTGCTAAAGAGGAGGCCGACGTCCTCGGTCGAGTCAAACTCGGCGAGGTCGATCTCGTGCTTGGGGACGAGGAAAATCTCTCGGGACCGGCTCCGGAGGAAGTCTCCGGAAACGGGGAACGGAAGGTCACGGGATCTGCCGTCTTTCGGCAAAAGATGACGGCGTTGATAAAGTCTTGCCCGCTTTCCTCGATCTTGTCCTTGGAAGGCTTCTCGGCCTCGCGGAAGACACGACACGAGGGGAAGACGTGCAGGATCGTCTGCATGACCATCTTGGGCGTGGGAAGTAAAAGTCGCCAGCGTAGTTCTGTTTACAAAGAAAAGGCGATAGGGTTAGCGAGCTGGCCCTGTCAAAGGAACATCCATTTTCCAAGGATGGAAGCACATAGAGCTATTAAGAAGGGGAGAACGTACAATGGCAATGACACCGCCGGGCTTCAAGAGATCATGAAGGCCCTGCAAAAACTCGAGCGTAAAGAGAGGTAGGGGTTCTGCGCCCCCGGTGAAGACGTCGTGGACAATGTAGTCAAACTGTTGCTCGCCAGCCTCGACGAGGCCTCGAGTGTAGCTCACGGCATCGTCGATGACGGCCGTATGCTTGTCCGGCAGCTGGAAGTACTTGGACGCAAACTCATGCACCACAGGGTCGATCTCCACAATCGTGGTGTCGATGCCGTGAGCCACAAACGCAGCGGGCGTGGTACCGATGCCAAGACCGCTATGAACAACCGAGGATTAGTATAGCCAACAACACAGCGGAGAGAAGAAGGACAAGGAAAACAAAAAAGAAGATAAGGCTCGGAAACGGAGCATAAGGCGAGGAATGAGAAAACCCAAAGAGTAAAGGGAAAGAGTTGACCTACACCACGAGAGCCTTGGCTTGGCGATCTTGAATAGGCTCCGGGACCTCGACAAGCCGGACAGCCTCGAGCATGACAAAGACGCTGTAGATGGGCTCCGCCAAAATCGGCCCCTTGACCTTGGTCCACTCTCCCCCGAGAAGGCTGTGATCGCACCGAAGCACGCGAAAGCCTTGCTCGACGCTCTCCAACACAGAAATGTACCCAGTCAGCGACTCCTTGCGGTCCAGGAGCAGCCAGCTATCGGCCTCCAGCTTCGCCTGCAGAGCGGCCGTAGCCATGGGCGTGGGGAGATGGTAGTTGAAAAAGGTGGTGTGGATGATGGCGGGCAGGGTGAGCAGGATGAGCTTCGAGGGCGCGAGCACGGTGTACACGGACGCGAGCAGCATCTGCAAGCCGACCCTGGTGAGGAAGATGGCGCGGCCAGCGTAGACCATGACGAGCCGGCTCGACAAATTTTCCACAAACTTGAAGTAGGCCAGCGAGCCGAGGCCGGGCGCCGACTCGCCGAGGAACCCGGGCAAGGGCTTCAGGCTAACGCCCTCCAGCAGGCCGGCCACGCACGAGGCCGTGAGCAAGGCCACGGGGAACAGCGTCAGGGACTCGATGACCACGGGACCCCATCGCGCCGTCAACACGCTGCTGTACTGGCTGAGAAAGAAGTGGACGGCGGGCGCGGCGATGGCGAAGACGGGGATCAGCTTGGCCGGCCCCACGGGCAGCAGGCGCTCGATCCAGATGCTCCCCGCCCAGCCGATGAAGCACCCGGCGGCCGTGAGCTTCCCGTTCCACACGGCGGAGGGTAGGGACCCGAAGACGGGAGATAAGGATAGCTGCGAGGCGGTGGAGAAGACGCCGAGGAGGGTGAGGAGGAGGACGGGGATGAGATATCTCGCGACGCGCGCGCCCGTCTCCTTGGCCCAGGTCTGTTCTTGCGCCTTGGTCGCGAGGCTCTGGAGCTCCTTTCGAACCTCTCGGGCGTAAACGCCTCGGGGATCGGCTCGGTGACCTCCTTCTTGGAGGATCTGCTTTTGGGCGCCATGGCACCCTGAGCTTACGGTCAAAAAGGTGAATACTGTCTCTCTCTCTCTCTCTCTCTCTCTCTCTCTCTCTCTCGCCCGAAGAAAAGCTGAGCGAACGGGATGAAGCAAGAGGTCCCTTGGGGCAGAAAAAAACAAGCAAAGCCAAATCTCGAAGATGGCCAGGACAACAAAAATCGTAGAGGAAAGACAGAAAAGAACCAAAGATAAAAAAGAAGAAAAACTGCACGAAATTTACACAAGAAAGCAGAGTAAAGGCGTCGTTTGTCACGACAATGGCCCGATGGTTGTTTCAAACAGCCTGCTGTTCGCCCTGAAGCCTCTCTCAATGGTACAAGTTGGTAGCATTGACTATTCTACGGAGAACGTGGCACGTTTCGGCACGGCGCCTTGATGCACCGAAATGATTTTGCTTGGCTCAAGCTGCACGGGCAACTTTTGGGGGTGGAGGGTGGAGGGTGGAGGGTTCGTGCAGCAACAGGTTGAGCTCACGCTCTCTCTGGCCTTTGCGAAGCGAAAATGTGGAGAAAGGGGGCGCCAGCTCCAAACGGGACGGGGCCAGCCACGATTGAGGGAGCACTCCAGGTAGCTGTGGCGCTGGGGCCGTGCACATGAGAAAGAGTTGGGCAGTCAGACTGTGGCTTTCGACGTTCACTTACAAAGAGAAAACGCACCTGAGACAACCTCGAATCCGCCCTCCGTAGACTATGTAGACGTCAGCTCGCCAACAACACCTTAGATAGCATCACCCCTTTCGTCTTCTTCTCCGTCGGCGAGACCGTGCCCCGACTCTCTTCCTTCACAATCTCCAAAAGTTGGTCTGTCGGACTGATCTCTCCTTCACAAGGCTGCGGGGTTTTTTCCTTGCTTGCGTCCGTCTTTCGGTTCCCTCGTTTTGATTCGTAGTGCTGCTCTTTCGTGTCCCTCCCAAGCCACCTAATTAATATAAATCTTGGTTCAGCAAACTGCTTGAATATATAATACCGGACGAGTACACGGCACATCCCGGCACCCGCGCGTCGGCTCTAAGTGGATGGCCGGGTAATTGAGAGTAGAGGAAATGGAAGAAGCCCCCAAAGAAAGAAGAAGAAAAATAGACAAGAGGGGCGAGGCGGAAGAAGACAGGGAGCCTACATGTCAGGAACAAAGGGGCCCGAAGGGCAAAGTCAGGACGAAGCACCCTGCCGCCTCAAATAATAATCCGCACCGAGGCTCTGCCCGCTTCCTTGCAACTGCTTGTAGACTCCTCTTCTTTTAAACAATCCCTGGCTCTCCAAGATACTAGTGCGTCTGCCTTATAGCATCAAGCCTCCGGCATCGGTCAGAAAACCGAAAAACGAGCTGGGGGACAAATGCTGATCGCCAAGCCTGGCTTCGCTGATGGGACACGACGACTTTCGGTGTTACTCTGAATATTTCTATATTTCTACCTGGGAAGGATTTCTAGAGAGAAACGGTAGTAAATGATGATGCTTGCTTCACTATGGAAATTGTCAACATCGCCTGCACATGCCGCGATCCTTCGGGGAAGCAGCCATCAGCCAAAACCAGGCCAGCAAGCGCATGCCTCTTCCTTCCTCTCTTCCCCTATGCGGACAGGAAAAGAAATTGTTGGAGGGGGCAGTGTGTGGTGTCGAAAGTGGGCGGCACCCAATATCGAGTATAGATTATTGCGGCTCGTAACCATCTACGTTATGCGCCGTGGTTGGTAATGTTCCTGCAAAAGAAAAAAATCAGACGGGGCGACGCAACTAGGCTGGGTATATTCCCTCCGCTTCCAAAGACTATTCCTCCGATGTCTCCGGTCCGCCCGGACTCGGGAAAAGCAGAGCCTAACTCCACACACAATGATTCGGTGTTAGGTCGAAGAACCCCGTTCGTTTCTTTTGCGCCTTCTTCTCCATCTATAAAGGGAACCCCGTTCCCCGGTTTTGTGATAGCTGCGTGAAGAAGAGACGAGAGGTTCATCATCCGGAACTATTAATACCAGACTCGAACCTTCCTGTTCCTGGGACTTGATCAACCGCGCGCTACTTTGCAGTGCATCATCACTCGTTTTACAACCACCCAGTCCAACCCTCCGGAGTAGTCTATCAGCACTATGAAGACAAGCACCATCGCCGGCCTTTTCGCCGCTACCGGCCTTGTTTCGGCGGCGTCCAAGTGCAAGAGCCGGGATACCAGTAAGAAGACCTTTCCCTTTATCTCACGTCCCACTTCACGTACAGAACCCAGTTCCGTTTCTAGCTCTACATGAGCACATCTCCCGGTTCTTTATATTCTCCGCGTAAAAATTGAGAAAAGGGAACCAAAAAGAATCTAGGATTAGGAAAAGATATAAAGCGAGGGGAAGAACATCTACAACATCCTGCTAATCATATCCACCCTCTCCTACCATAGCCTCTAAACCCGAGGTCCTTGAACCGGCCCAGAACCGCGAGCTCGGCGCCCAGCGCCTCAAGTTCCGCTATGGACCCCTCCTCGTCCCCGGAGTCCACGACCCGGACACCATGGGCATGAAGGAGTTCCAGGGTTTCATTCAGCCCCCGTGCACCGACTGCTACATCACCCACTACCAGGCCGGCCTCGAGTTCGAAGACGGCACCAACGCCAACGCCCACACGGGCATGTGGCTGCACCACACCGTCCTCTTCGACCTTAGCCAGCAGGACCCTATGTGCGAGGAAGCGCCCATCAGGCTCTTTGCGTCCGGAAACGAGCGCAGCCCCATCGACCTCTCCATCAACGGGTACGTGCTTGATATCCCTCGTTTCTTGCCCACATTTTATCTTCCCCTGTTTTCCCCTTTTGTTTTCTCCGAGCCAAAGAACGAAGACGTCGGAAGTCCCAATCTTCTCTCGTGGAAAGAGCGGAAGAGAGAAAGAGAGAGAGAGAGAGAATGGGGCGAAAGAAGGAAAGGAAGGAGAACCACAAGCAAAAAAACAATGAAACCCAATCTAACACAAGAACCTAGCACCCGCAACGCCGGCATCTACCTCCCCACCAACGCCAACGTCACCCACGTCACCGAACTCATGAACGAGTCCGCCCTCTCTCGCACCGCCTTCCTCACCACCGAGTACGAGTTCCTCCCCGCCGCCGCCGCCGCCGACGACTTCCGCGCCACCACCCCCTTCTGGCTCGACATCGCCGGCCCCTGCAGCAACGGCCAGTACGCGCCCCCGACGACGCCGTCGCCTTCAACGCCAGCATCGCCTGGGACGCCACGTTCGCCGGCGAGATCCTCGCCACCATCGGCCACCTCCACGACGGCGGCCTCCGCCAGGATCTCCAACTCAACGGCGAGAACCTCTGCCAGCATACCGCCCGCTACGGCGAGGCCGCCGAGTTCATCACCCACGTCGGCATGTACGGCAACGAGGACACCACCGGCGCCGAGGGGGCGGACCACGATCACGGCGACGGCTCGCACTCCCACGACGAGAACGAGGACGCCCCCGCGGCCGGGAAGGCGAGGCCGGGCACGATCACGGTGCCGGGGAAGGCGAGGCTGACCATGACCACGGCGCTGGGGAGGGCGAGGCCGACCACGACCACGGCGCGGGCGAGGAAGAGGGCCACACGCACGAAGAGGAGGGCGGCCACGACCACGGCGCCGACGGCCACATCACCCACATTTCGTCTATCCGCAACTGCGATGAGCTCGGCCGATTCGCCGTCGGCGACGAGTTCTCCATCACGTCCTTTTACAACTTCACCCTGCACCCCGCCATGGCTGGGCACCACGGCGGCCTCGAGCCCGTCATGGGCATCACTATTCTGTACGCGCTCAAGGACGAGGAATAAGTAGTTTGTGGGAACGATGTAGAGGCGCTATAAGAGCCGAGCCCGGGGGTGATCAGCATCGAGAATATGGTTTGGCTGGGGTGGTTAATAACGGAATTTCTCCTTAAATCCTCGTAGCTTGGAAAATAGAAGAATATAAGAGTAAAAAAACATATAAAACTAGCCAGGTTCTTTCGTTTAGGACAAGCGTTATCCACACATATCACCTCGTAGCATGGTAGGGTATATTAACATGCTGATCCCTAGACATCATAAAAGGGAGGGAGTCGAAAAGAGATAGACAGACAACAAAAACAAGCCATACCTCTTCTACAGTCACAACCCTAAACCTAGCTTTTTTCCTTGGTGAAAATTTTCAACGAAACCGAGAAATGAAGAAATACCGTCTACGCCCACCCGCCTTTCCCTGCTTCTCCTTTCCCTCCTCGTTGCCATCGATAAAGGCGTCAAGACTGTGCTGTATGGTCTGTTTACTTCTTCTCCCTTCATTCGTGATCCCACCCAGCTTTCATCCCTCCTGCCTTGCGCCGTGAAACAATATCCTCACTGCGGATACCCAATTCCTTTGTATATCAATCCCCGTTGGTAAAAACCTACTGTTTCCTCCTTCCACCTCACTAAACACCCAGCGGCTCACAAAGCCATCAACCGAACCAACGTCAACAGCCTGGCCCCGGGGAATCATCTCGTGCTCCAAATTCCAGCCCATGCGCCGACACAGCTCCGCGACGACGACGTCGCAGTCACCCAGTAGGTCAATGTCGAAGTTTAAGTGGTCGACCGGGGTGCGAGAAATGTAAATCTGAGGCACGTGAGAGGGAGATAGCTGACAATCTCGCTGACGGGGAGACCTTGAGCGAGGTGCCGATGACGACGACGAGGTCGACGAGGTCGCGGTCGTGCTCGGTGAGGCGCTGACCAAAATCGTCGGGCAGAGCCTCGCCGAAAAAGGTAATGTCGGGCTTCATCACGCCGGCCTCGGGTATGTCAAACTCGGAGCCGTCGTCATCGTCGTCGTCGAAATCGTCAAAGTCGCGGCCCCCGCGCTTGCGCTTCTTGGCTTCGGCGCCGCGCGATCGTTTTCGCTTTCCCTTGCCGTTTCCGGCTGGGGGCCGCAGATTCTTGGTGCACTGCGGACAGCGGGGTAGGATGCCGTCGCGGATCTCGGGGAAGATGGACTCGCCGTCGGCCTTGTAGCCGCACTCGATGCATGTGGCGGTGGCGAAGGAGCCGTGGCACTGGACAAGCTTGCTGGGGTGGATGCCGGCCTTGGCCTCGAGGTTGTCGATATTTTGGGAGTAGTTTGTCAGGAGCTTCCCCTTCTCCTGCAAAAGGGCGATGAAGGCGTGGGTCGGGGTAAAACGGTCGGTGGAGGGTAGGATGTCCTTGGCCACGGAGTAGAAGACGGTGGGGTCCGCCTTGAACTGATCGATATCAAACACCTCTTGGGGGTCGCTGAGGCCCAGGTGCTCCAGTTTGGAGTAGAGACCGGTCCCCTTGGAACGGAAGTCGGGGATGCCCAAACTGGTAGAGATGCCGGCGCCGGTCAGGCAGATGATGTTTTTACTGCGGCTAATGAGGTTGGCGGCGTCGTCGACCGTGTTGAACCGCGTCAGCTTGGCGCGCTTGGAGAGCTCCCGGGCGATGGCGAGGAGAGCAGGCTGTAGTACGCCTCGTCAGACTCGCCTTCCAGGAAGGAAGGGGGCCGGATGTTAAAGGCAGATAGTAGCTTCTTTGCTGTGTAGGCGCCCGAATCCACGGTACGGCGACAAAACTCTTGGGGCCCTAGTTGGCGTAGTTGGCTGCGAAGACCAGCGGCCTCTTCCTGGGTACAGCAATCTGGGCCTGTTGTCCCGTGTTGGTCAACATTGTTATTATAACAACGGAAAATAAATGGTGCAAAAAACAAAGAGATAGGGAAAGATAAAAAAGGGGGCAAGAAGAAGTGAGAAAAGAGCGATTGTAAGAAGAACACTTACCCTCAGACCCATCTCGAGTCTCCATCAGCTCCTCAATAACATCGGCCAAAGTAGATTCGGTTTCCCAAGAGTCGATCAGATGCTCATCTAATTCATGCAGCGCCGAGCCCTGGGAGCTCTCATCACCATCCTCGTCATTACCCCCTCCTCATCCTCACCATCACCTTCTTCCCCGTCACTATCACCGGCGCGGGCCCCTGCCGCGGCCAGCCGAGAAGAGTTGTGCTGGCGATGCTGCTGCTGCTGCTGCCGCTGCTGAGTTTCCCTGGCCCTGGCCTGCGTTTTCGCCCTAGAAACGCGCGACGACGATGCGGAGGATGCACTGCCTTCGGGGAGTTGGCCGTCCCACGCGTCGCCGAGACTGGCCCAGAGCGAGTCGCCTGCTTGGCCAACGACGCGCCGTGGGCCCTGGTCGCCGATCTGGAATTCTTCATGGCGGATGGCGGTTGGCAAGAATCGATTGATCCACAAGGGCTCACCAAACTACTTTTGGGGGCGGCGGCGTTAGGGAAACTTCAATGAGCGTTAGACTCGGCCAGCCACCTTTAAACATGTGCATGCGCCTACGGCGAAGCACCCCCACCAGGCTAAGGATAAGGAAGCCGCCTCACAATACGCCCCGGCCGAAAACCCTCCCAATGAAGAACGGGGAGGAATTGAGGCCTAGCACCCTAATGTTTTGTTTTGGAAAAAAATATCGGGATGGACAAAGACCAAAGAAAAAAACCGGAACAGGTAACTAGCGTAGAGCAAGAACAGCGGACGGCAAGGACAGTCTGCCAGCCGTTTCAAGGTGATGCGGAAAGAAGCACGGTGTCCTAAATAGAGAACGGGCAGCCACAAGGCCAGAGGGAAGAAAAGAAGGGGGCAAATGAAGAAAAAGAGAGGTGGCCAGACAAACAACGAAGAGTGAGAAAGAGGAAGAGAGGGGAGTTGATCTCACAAGCAAACTTCAAAACGCCCCAATTGCCAAGGTCCAACCCGCAAGGTTTGTTGCACAACTAAGGGCGAATCCAGGATGTGGAGGTCTATGGTTGGATAGAGGAAGGAGGAAGGAGTAAGGCAGCACCGGACGTTGTTGTCTCCGTGGATTGATGATAATAGCTCGCGCCAACTCGGTACATGTGGGAAATGAAAAATGATGGAATACTCGCCAGGTGCTAGCTCCCTAGAATCTTGGATCGGACGATTTGTGACGGCGTCTTGACGCCCCTCCCACACCCGTTTCTTAATGTATTTTCTACAACGATACCGGAGCCGACGAGCGGCGAGGGGCCGGGAGGAGAAGCTGAAAAAGGTGAAAAAGATAAAGAAAAATGGGAAAGGAAAAAAGGCAGGATCGATGCCTAGATGCACGAGGTGGAATAGGCTCCAGGGTGCAAGGGGCTAGTGGTAATATACAACGGTGAGGGGTTCGAATGGGCGTGACAGGGGCTAGAGGAGGTGCCGGGGAAGAAGAAGAAACCCCAAAGGAGGAGAAGAAGGGGTGGACAGGTTAGGGGGCTCCGTTCCGACTCGAAGAGCAAGTGGAAAAACTCTGGGGTTGTTCCGGGAATGTAGCTCGGTCGATGGAATGTTCGACGGTATAAGCTTAAGTTGGGTTGAATGGATACATTGATATCCATCCATTGTTACATGTACTACAGATGCCGGGAAATGGGACGTCGAGAAAAGTCGCGCCGTGCCGTGTCCGGATCCAACTTTGAAGGGCATCTCAAACATCCCAGGAAGATACGCGAACGCACACACACACACACAGATATAGACAGATGCACATATATATATATAAGTGAGAGAGAGAGGGAGCGGGAGAAAGATGAGGAATGGAGCTGGAGATTGGGGATAGGACTTGAAGGGGTTGCATGTCCGGCTTGTCGATTCCGGTGACAGAAGAGTACATCTTAAGTATTCAAGATGGCGCATGCAGAGAACGTTCCAGTGTGATGGCCTGTGATATTTTAGGCATAGCTGAAAGTGGGAGAAACAATGTGGCATTCGGGGGAAAGTGCCAGAATATTGGGTCGTTGCCGGCGGCAAAGCACAAGTTGGGGGCGGGGAGACTGCATCAATGGATCCAATGGATTGATGTATGGTGGATCATGGATGTATACAGAATGAGCACGATTCAACGACTGAAAAATAACCTAAAGGTGTATCAACCTTGATCCTACATCCATCTCTAGAGGGATCCATCCATCATCCATAAGTACCCATCTATTGATACATATGCCAATACATGCACTTTGATCCATCGAAGGGATCCGAGCAAGTCTGGGGGAGAAGAACTGCAGCTTTCTGATCGGACAATTCATTTCTTGAGTTCTACTTCGTCTTTGGACGGATAGCTAGACTGATGACCAGGAACTGATGGAAAATGTGGCTCATATATCTATTACTGAATACACTTATCAATATAAATGTGAACATACTCAACTGATCCATATCTCCGTGTATTTCACACAATGTAGATTCAATGGCCTCGGCACAGCGTGACGTGACAGCGATCGAAATAGTATCGCGAGGTATGGTAGACGCAAGGGAAATAAAGCGAGGAAATGGCGAGTAGACGGAGCACGAGCACACCAACGGTCAACCGAACATGAAATCTTAGAAAAATCTGTCTCCTTTTTATATTGGGCCAGCGGGCATCAAGAGCACGCAACTACCGCTAATCATACACTAAAGCCTATCCCCTTCCATCTCTCTCTGCTGTGTGTTTGTATGTATATATGTTTGTTTGTTTGTGTTTGTGTGCATATGTGTGTGTGTGTGTATATGGGTGTCTCCTCTCCTGGCCGGTCCCTCTTGGCTAAGATCAAGGGAATTAAAACAAGATATAGCAGAGGAAAAATAGCAACGGCGAAAGAAGAAGGGCAGAGACAAAGGAACATGAACAAAATAAGGCCAAGGCAATTCCGATTTCCCATCAACGCCCCCTTCCAAAAGAGCAAGAGATTCTGTTTCTTTTGGTTTTGCAGCACAACAATAAGGAGAACGAGAGGTAAAAGAAGAAACGATCAAGAAAATAAAAAGGAAAAGAAAACGCAAGGAAACTGATAAGCAAGACCCATGTCTATAGGAATGTTGTCGCTCATATCGTACAAGTTTGGATGCAGCAAAACTGAGGCGGAAAAAAAAAGAAAACGCAGTCAAAGAAAAGTGGTGGCGAGTGGTGGTCGCGGTAGGTAGAGAGACATAAAGGAAAAACAAAAAGAAATGTTGCAGTGGTCATGAAGCAAGCAAAAGGATCATGTTGTTGCTGGCTCGCTGTCGTTCTTCCCCTTCTCCGGCAGAGCTGCCAAAGTCGTCACAGCTCGCGTGGGTATAAAATGCAATGTGCCGTAGAATAATGATTTGCTCAAAGCGCTCCGTGCCGCGTATCGTGTGCTGCGCGCTCTCCTATCCCTTCACTCGGCTCGCTGAATGGTTCTACTCCTCGGTCCTTTGCGCATTCAGGGATGCTTCCCTGTTGAGGGAGAGCTCTCCCCGCTCATCCCTCGAAGCCGACCGATCGATGGGCGACCATCCCGCGGCTACACCCGCGGCCACGATGCCTGCCATCACTGTCGGGGCTCCCAGCGCCGAGTTGGACCTGGACCTGATCGACCTCGACCTCTTGCGGTTGTCGGGCGATGCTGGTACCGTTGGTGGTCCGCCTCCGCCTACCGAGCCGAAGCTATCTTCTCGGTCTGGCGTGCGAGGGGGCCTGATCGAGCTGGTTCTCGAATGCGAGGGGCTACGAGACCGCTGCATCAGCGTCTCGCGCGGATGCCGCATGGCAAACTTGAGGTTGTTGATGCGTCCGCCCTTGATCTTCTTGAGGAAGGTAAGTTCGTCGCGAATATCGGCGAGCGGGGCGGGGTAATGGTTAAATGCCTCCTCGTCGGAGATTGTGAGTCCTGGCACGTTGCTGTCGCTGCGCCTTTTCAAGTAGTCCGGCACCAACTTGAGGATCAACCGGTCAGGGATGAGACGAATCACCATACCGAACGGGATGGAAACGAAACCAAGAACAATCGCCACAGCCCACAATACTGGTCCCTGGGGATCCTTGGTGCCCTCTGGAGGCGTGTTGATCTTGAAAGCGGGTCCTCCGACAAAGACGATCAAGACCTGACAACCGCACATGAGCGCGCTGATGATGAGGAAGATCTTGTTCTTGAAGATGCCTTCAAAGATGTTGAATTCGTTGTCAAGACGTCGGTTACTAGAAAAAGGAGAGTTACGAGTTAGTCAACCGTTTTCTTCGTGCAGCGACGAGGGTGGTTTAGTTTCATTCACTTACTTCCATTGGTTGAAGATTTGCATCCACACAAAAGTGTTGAACACGAGCGTCCCAATTGTCTCATCGTTGAGTTCCCACCTACCCGTCTCGGGAAGAACCTTGTTCTTGCCAAAGTAGATGAGGAACGTGATGGCGAGTTGGTACACGGCCTGTCCGAGAATCATCTTCCACATGGTCACCGAGATGATGGATGCGTTACGCCGTTCCGGCTTGCGATCCAGCACGCTATCGCGGGGGATCTGTGGCCAGGGCGAGCGCTGCCAGGGTATCCATAATCAGGTTGACCCAGAGAAGTTGCACGGCCGTGAGAACCGAGGACTCATCAGGGTTGGCGACCGCCGAAACAAAGGTCAGGATAACTGCAGTAACATTGACAGTCAACTGGAACTGGAGGAACCGCTTGACCGCGTCGTTGACTGCACGTCCCCACTTGAGCGCCTTGACAATCGAGTTGAAGTTATCGTCCATCAAGATGATGGACGACGCTTCCTTCGCGACCTCGGTGCCAGCAATGCCCATGGAGAAACCGACATCAGCCATCCTGAGAGCGGGCGCGTCGTTGGTGCCGTCGCCTGTAACCGCCACGATCTCGCCCTTGTCCTTGAGGCGCTTCACGAGAATGCGTTTGTCTTCAGGGCTGGAGCGTGCGAGGACGTGGAGTCGGGGATAATCTGCTCCTGCTCGTATTTGGACAGGTTCCTGAACTCGGGGCCTTCCATGACGATGCTGTTGGGTTGAAGGATACCGCACTCTCCGGCGATAGCTTGCGCCGTCATTTTGTTGTCGCCAGTCACCATCCTGATGACGACGCCAGCATTCTGGCAGACGCGGACAGCCTCAGGCACGCCCTCCCTCAACGGATCCTGGATACCAACTACACCGACGAATATCATTTCGTGGAACAAGTCCTCGAACGGAATTTCCTTGCTGGTCTCATCACCCGTGTTGCGGCGGAATCGGCGGGGGCCACTGCTCAAAGTCCCGATAGGCAAGGCCAATGGTGCGGAGAGACCGGGAGGCGTAGTGGTTGATAAGCTTGTTGACCGTGCCAGTGTGCTCAGTTGTCATGCGGGTGAGTTCAAGGTCGCGAGCCGGGTCTTGAATCATCTGTGTGCATTTGCCAAGGACAATTTCGGAGGCGCCCTTGATATAGAGACGTGCCTTGTTCTTCTCACGCGCGACAACGATGCCCATACACTTGCGGCCGGAATCAAAGGGGATGAGCTGTAGAGTCGTGGCGTTTTCACGCTCCTCGCTGACGGGACCCATACCGAGGAAGTGCTTGCCGAAGAGCAGGAGCGCGGTTTCCGTCTTGGAGCCGATGAAAGTCATTTCACCGTCAACGTTGCCCTCAAACGCAGTCGAGTTGTAAGCGATAGATTCGACCAAGAGCTGCTTGACGGGTGTCGAGAGGACAGAGGCGAATTCCTTGGGAGTTACATCACCACTGGGGTCCATCATGGAGTCGGCCTCTTCGTCAGCCTCGGATCCGTCGCTGGGGCCTGGCTCACTAGCTCCGAAGCGATGGCTCGTACCGACAGTTCCAGCGACAACTTGCATCTTGTTCTGTGTCAAGGTGCCCGTCTTGTCCGAGCAAATGGTAGTTGCGTTGCCCATCACCTCGCAGGCCTTGAGATGGCGGACGAGGTTGTTGTCTTTGAGCATGCGGTTTGTAGCAAAGGCGAGGGCAAGGGTGACGGCGAGCGGAAGGCCCTCTGGAACGGCGACGACAATGATGGTGACCACGACGATAAAAATCTCCAAGAAATTTTGGCCCTTTTCGGCAGGAGTTTCTGTGGACTTGGGGAGACCAGCCAAAAACTTGATGAAGAGGACGATGAAGAGGAGGAGACCGGCGGCACCACCAATCTTGGCGATGTAAGTGGCAATCACGTTCAGTTTCGACTGGAGAGGCGTGATTTCGGGGTCTTCGTTGAGGGCCATCAAGGTTCTGCCGTAGGTCGAATAAATGCCGGTGGAAGTGCACATAAATGTACCAGCACCCTCCATCACGCGGGCTCCGGACTGAATAAAGGGATCGAGCTTCTTGACACTTTGGTGGTTACGAATGGCGGCGTACACCTCATCAGCCGGCTGCTTCTTGATGATGTCTGACTCTCCGGTTGCCTGAGACTCGTCGCACTTAACATTGAAACCTTGAATAAGAATACCGTCCACGGGGACGAGATCACCGGGTTCGAGATGGAGAACATCTCCAACCAGGATATCGAACACGGAGATTTCTTGCGTTTTTCCAGATCGAACAGCTTTCACGAGACGGTCCTGTTTCTTACGGTTCAAGCGGGCGAATTGGCGTTCCTTGGAGTAATCGTTGAGGGAACCGACAACAACGACAATCACGATGGCGGCTATGATTGCGACACCCTCAACCCACTCTACCCTGGGCTCATCTTCGTGGCCGGGGTTGGGAGCAAAGGTCTGATAGAGGCCAATAGCAAGGAGACGACGGCGGCGGCGGAGAGCAGCATGAGGACTTTGTCGTTGTACGTGATCCACATGAGCTGGAGGAGGCTCTTGCCCTTCTTCTCAGGGAGTCTATTGTCTTTGAAGACGCGCTTTCGGTCGGCAAAGAGCCCCTTGTCGTCGCTGTGGTATGATTCTCCGGTCGACGGCCGCGTGTCGGTCGCTTTTTCCTTGCTATCAGGGACAATGCCTTCCGCAGCAAGCTTCTCGGAAGTTTCGCTGGGGCCCTTGACAGATTCCTCCGCGGTCCTGATAGCTTCGGCATAAGATATCTTTTTCGGAACGTTGACCTCTTCGGCGCTCAAGCCAGCCTTGCAGTCTGTTTGGAGACCCTTCTCCATACCTCGAAGACCACCGAGCTTGTAAAAGGCAGGCAAGCTCTTGGGGTTGAGCATCTTGTTCATTTGGCCGGGGTAAAAGCGAACGGATTGTTGTCGACCGTAAAGTCCTCCTCGCGCCCTTGATCCGGGGTAAGCGCATTCTCGTCATTCATAATCTTGTCGTTGGAAAACTCGCTCGACTGTCTCTTCTTCGACGGATCGGGAGTGTTTGTCAACGCCGCCACAATCGTCTCCCTTGCGAAGAGACCACCGAACGGGACGCATCGTCGGACTCGAGCGAGTTCTGCCTCGACCGTAGGTTGCTAGGTACTGAAAGGAACGTTGGCGCGCCCACCCTTTCGGGGGCTCGAGGAGCAAGGGCACTCGATACGTTGTGCGGACTCGTAGGCCGACTATCTTTGCTGTCGAACGAGGTAGTTCCGCGCAACTCGGACGCGGTCGTCGTCGCAGGGCTCACGCCCTCCTCTTGAGGCGACACCGGCGAATTACCCGATGCTCCAGGCGCGGCGGCTTGGGAGCCGTCATTTGGGTTGATGGCGGTGTCGATCGTTATCGTCGGACTATACAGAGTTAGACATGGTCATGAAGCTCTACAGGCGGAAGAGCAAACGAGGCAGAAAGACAGTAAAACATGCTGTTCGACTGCCTCCGCGAACATTGAGGGAACATACGCTCTAGGCCGTCGGACCGGCGCAGGCTCGCCATTGGCGGGGGCTTGATTGCTATCCGCCATCCTCTCGTGGGTTTTTGTTTGAGGATGGAACCGTCAAGCGCTTCGCGTCGTCTCCAAGTCGGGGGAGGAGGGGGAATGACTGCGAAGGCTTCGCTTGGAGGAGAAGTGGGAATTGAACGGGTCGAACGATGTCGATGAGGGTGAGTGGCCTCCACGAGGGAAGATGGGAAGTGGCAAGGACGAGGGACAAGAACTATATCATTTCCTGGTCGCGGGTAGATCTCGCTGGGCTCAGCTGAGTCGTCTTTTCGGTGCGGAGGGCTCCCGAAGATTTGAGGGAGGGTCTCGCTGCCATACGCGTTCGAACTGCGCACTCGTAGGTTATAGACAAACGGCGTTGACGAGGGCCGAGACAGTGAGGGTGGCTGGGTGCAGTTGTGAAGCTACACTAGACTACGGTTGGGAGGCGAAATTCTGGAGGGGAGGAAAAGGGAAAAAAAAATCAAATCAACAAAAAGTCTCGAGGTGCACAGGTTCCCTCTCTTAGGCAGGTATGATCAAGAGTGTCTTGCAGCACACAAACACACTGGTCTCCACGAAAGAAACATGTCAATTGCCCCTTCATGGAAGCCGAGGAGACAGATGAGGACTTTGATGGAGCAAAAGCGTTCTTCTTCCCAGTTCATAATGAGGCAGTGCAAGTAGGAGCGAGACGATATCATTGGACGGCAGAAGACAAGGGACGGGGTGGTTACTAGGGTGGTGCAGCGATCTTCTGTTTACAGTTTAGGGAAGGTACCGCTCGCGCATCCACACCCCTCTCACGGAGCTTCTAGCGAAGTATTCGGTACCCTTACATACGTGCCATTGTGTCATACGAGCGTGTACAGTGCTCCAGTTCAAGGTCGCCAGTACATGTCAGAGACCGCGGACCTGAATGGAAGGGTCGCCAAAAGCGCTGTGGAAACAAGAGGGGGTGAACGATTTATGGTTACTGCTCCGCGACAGTAATTGGGAAAGCTTCGTGCGATCTGCCGTCTCCACAGACCCTCTTGGCTATCAACCCGTTGTCGCAGCACTGGAAAAAGTCATCGAGGAGCAACCGAAGTTTGGGGAACACGACACACACCCGCAGACCGCAGACCGCAAACTGCAGACGTACAGGTATATATATATTCAAAGCACCTATTGTATCTCCCTCAAGTGTACATTGCTTCCAAGGTGGACGGGAGGAGGCACTCTGGAGCGACAACCTTGACTGTTCCGGGCACAGAAAGCACAGCAATGCCAAGATCAGCCCCCTTGGCTTAGCTGCACATTGCAAGCAAGTCCTCCAGCTCACCGTGCTTCTTGTACTCTCGAGGAATGCTGCCCTCCTTCTTGTGAAAGAGAAATAGTGTATGTACACTCTTACTCAGGAGAAAGAAAGGGTGAAGAATGAGGCAATCGATGAGTGAGAGGTTCTCGCGCCTCATGTCGTAGTGGGGCCTAGATTTGATATCCGGGAGCGCGCTGCCCCTATCTCGTTTCCCCTGTTGTTGTCATTTAGCCACCAACATGGCGGGCTCTCCACTAATAGCCAAGGGCCAGGTTCCCTCCCGGCGCGCGCAGTTGGTGTGGATCTTGGGGAAATGGCACTTGCCATATTCGGTCCTTGGCGATAACTATTACATGTCGAGGAAAACGAAAACCACCGCCGCCAGCAGGGGAAGGAGAAAGAACTAATAAAGAAAAAGGAATGGAGCGAAAGAAGCAACAAAGAGCGCTACAACACGAACTTGAAGCCATCTATGCTTGGATATCGTGAACAACATTGAAGCGACAACAAACTTCAGCACTCAGTGACGAATGACGATTTGATACTACGAAGTAGCATCCGCAGTCTAAAACGTTCAATGGCTCGTTTTGTCTATGCCGTAACCTTTGTTTCGCGTACATCTACCTCGGCATGGATCCAGTATGTACTTGTAACAGCGTCAGCAAGGCAAACAGCAGCAAAGCTTTGGGGAAGTGTATAGTGTATGGGGGGCTAGCCAAGCGAAAGCCCTGGGCTGTGCCAGAAGTATTCTTATCAGGAGGGAGGGACAAAATAAAATAAAAGCAAGAGACGTTGTTGGCGAAGAGGACAGAGGTCAGCCCTCATCGATCAATGGCATCAGCTTTGCGGGCTCCGGACTCAGCCTAAGATGTCGTCGGCGTCGGTTGCTGAGAAGCAAATTTGTCACAATCAGTGGGCCTTTTCAGCGCAGGACGGGAGGCTTAGAGCCTGGCCCACCATTCCCGTGAAGTGCTTCTGGCCTCAAATTCACCACCCGTGGTCATTCTGGATGCCTCCGGTCCTCTCGAGCTGGCTGGCACCAATCCGAATCCATTGGACTAGATCAATCCGATCTGCTGGAATGGCCGGGAATGGTGGTTCATCACTTTTCATGTCGTGAGGCGAAGCGCTTCGTCCACGGGTGTCTTTCTCGGGGCCTGGCACAGGGCACTGCGATTGCACGAGAGGGAATTTTAGAGTTTACGAGTACGAAAGCCCAAGGCGCCACTGCAACAAGTGTCACCATGGATAGCCCCTGTCAACCCCGAGAGCGACTGTTCATGTTCAAATCGATGTTCAATGTTCTCTTGGGGCCAAGTCTAGCTTGACACTAGGCGCACAAGCGCAAACCCCTCGCCTCAGGAGAGGCAGCCAAGGCACACCCGGTGGAACATTACCTCCTCCCCTGAAGATGATGTACCAAAGCGGAAAAGTTGAGAAAAGAAACACACAACAAGGCAAGTAAGAAAGCTGGAAATGGGAGTATCGTGCTTCTTTCTTTTCCTTCCATTACTTTGATTTTTATTCCAACAAAAATAGCAGCAACAAAAATAATAATAACAAATGGAGGGAATAGGGAAATGATGCTTGGTTCACCCACCGTTCTTCACCCCAGCCGTTAAGATTGCAAAATTATGTTTTTGGTAACATTTCCAATGCGGATTTTGATTGCTCGGCGTTGGTTTGTTTTGCGGTTTACTGTCTTGGTCAACACCCTGAGAATAGGATTCTTCCTCAATTGACACTGGGGCTTGTGCTAGAAAAAGGAAGTTTCTGCGCGCTCCGAGGTACACGCACTGGACACGATCAAGCAATTGATCCACCATGCAGGGGTGTGGGAGCGGGTTCGGTGGTGGGGCCGCTCGTCAGACCATCGATGGTGCATTGGAGAATTAAACCATGGACAACGAGCTTGTAATCCAATCGTCCAACGAAGCCCTTGGCTCATCAATATCAGCGAGGGCTCCTCACCCTGGATTCACGATGGCCGTTCAAATGATGTCGGATGTTTGGAGAGGAGAGATGATGATGATGATGACGATGATGTCGAGTACTACCTGTAAGACTGCTCACCGATGACTTGGCCTTCGTCCCTTCCCAAGCGTTCAGGGCCCTCCCGTTTCTCGAGGTTTCCTTCACAGCAACGCACAAGCCTTGCATGTTTCTTCCGCTTTGACTTGGGGTCCGATGACAAAGGGTCGAGGGTGACGAGTGTGCGCACCGCCGCATCACGAGGCAGAGAGTACACGATCCTCAAGCGGCGTCCAGGGAAACAACCGCTCCCCCAACCCCCTTCCCCTTCCCCTCCCAAAAGCCGGAAGACTACAGCGGCATCAGTTGTCGCCGGTCGAATCACGGCCCGGGAAGAGGGGGCACTGCGCTCTCTTGACAAGTATTATTCCTCGGCGACGAAAGCAGCATCCGGTTATTCCCCACAGTCGACTCGGTCAATGGTGGGAACCTTGATTGATCAATCTGATCCATGGATGTCACAGGAGCACGGCAGGCGCTACGGCATTCTCTCGGCGTGCTGTGACGGCCAGGCGGTTTCAGAAGAGGACTCATCACAGACTTGGCGCCCTAAGCAGACGCGCTGGGTGAGGGAGCTCATTCATCCAGTCACTTGCCCAGCCCCATTGTGCCCCTCTTATCGATTTGATATGATGATATCTTTGGATCCGTCAACAGCGATCCTAACCGCCCAATCGTGCTCATTTTTGAGGCGATCCACAGCCGAGGAGGTCATGAGCCAAAAGAAAATCCATGCCGCCCGGCTCTCTTTCGTCTTTTACTGGCTCAACAGAAAAAAGAAAGGAAAACAAGGAGCCTTCAGGAGGAGAGGGAGCCCTAGGAAAGAAAGAGAAGAAGGAAAGAAAATACCGTGGTTGTCCCGGCCGCCCGAGACGAGGCGGAGTTCACACCCAATGACACCCCATTACCCTCCTGTCGCCGCCGTGGCCAAATTTTCCTTGGTCGCTTGATCGCCAACAGCGTGTAGTGTAATATTGAAAATGCGCTTTCGATATCAAAGGCAGACAAGCAAATTAATTCCGAAAGCCTGACGAACCACTAAGAGAGACGGGAGCGGGGGCAAAAGGGGGAACCCACCTTGACGACAGGCCATCTCCTGGATATGGATCCGCATAGTCCATAGTAGTCAAGATTTATTGTGCCCCTCCATCATACCTACTGATTCTGGAAGTTGACACCGTTCCTTGATTTCCGATGCGGCTCCTTCGAGAACATTGAAGAGGTGAGCGAGTGGGGAGGAGGTACGCGCTCGGGGACACCAGCTTGACCAGTCGTCGGCCCTGGGAGCGTAACGAATCGCCACACCCGGAGCACGAGCCCGGAGAATGCGAGACATCTAGCCATCCATGGAATGGATCTATGGAGCTCTCAATTGATCAATCTTGCTCTCGTAATCGCTAGGCCCCGCCACCAAGAGAACTGGTGCCCTCTTACGAGATGGCGGAGCAGCGAGGATATTGGTGGAGATCAGCTTGCGCATTGTGGCAGGGCAATGGATGGTGGCCACCTCTCCGTTCCTCTCAACTGTTTCGAGTGGTAATCCCGGCTAACATGTGGCCGGCGCTCCCCTCAACGATGCGCAACCCCTTCTAGAAACCCGCTCAGTGGGCCACAATGCCTCGGGAGGAGCTTTATTGCCACTTTACGCTGACCAAGGGCAAGGGATAGTTGGCGTCGCATCAATTCTTGTCGTTTCCCTCACCAAACAATG